TTCCGAAGATGCCGATCATCGTTGCAAGTAAATTATTTTGTAGAAAGTTTGTGCATCAGCTTTTTAGGTTGCGTGATTGTGCTCATTTTGGTTTCCTGCAGTATTGCGGTCATCGCTTTGATTGTTTGGTTGATCATGTGCAACTAGACTCAGTTATCGATTTGATGTAATTTGTTTTAGGCGTGACCGCAAAAAGACGGGTCATCACAAGCACGAAATCGTGTCTTTGAATGAGCCCGGTGCTCCGATGGGATCGGAAAAGAACGAATTTTTAAAGGCTAATAAATTATATTTATTTGAGTGAGATCAAAGGCGACCCATTATTTTTGTTGTGAATTTTTGAAGTATTCGTCCGTTCGGCGAGACCAAACACCCGGCACCCGACCGAGTAGAGTAGATTGTCGTGTCGAAGCGGCGTTTATGTCCTTGAGAAGCTAAATGAGAAAATTGGTTAAGAAACAAATCTTAAGCAGTGATTGGTTCAAAGTCTGTTTCAATTTCGCCTCCACACTTTTTTTACCTCTTCGTTGGTTTCATCTGGATGCTCATGTTGCCATTGAATAGCGATCTTGGTGAATTCCGAGTTGACGTCGTGGCAAGCATCGCGAAACTAAAACGGCTTTGATTGTCTTTTCTAACAATAGTTGAAAAATTAAATTACATTTCTGACGCAAATCTCTCCAAATTCTTTGACGTGTTCCATAGTTTGTGCCTGGGATATTTGTCTAAAGATATTAAAACTGATTAATGTAAAATGATGTTCACCTAGTCCTGATGTTCGGCAAGAGTTGCGCCCATGTGGTGATGAGGAGGTCGATTGCTTGTCCTAAAAGTAGAGGTCGTTGCATCTCAAATTTATCCTTATTAGCGCTAATTCATTGAAAAAGTTACCGAGATCAGTCTCCGGGAGTGGGCTATCATCGTTGAGCAGGGCTTCTGCGTCGTTTGGTTTCGGGTTTCCTTCGTCTAAAAAATTGTGCATCATCATACAATTTTCAAGTTAGGGCACGAGTCTTGATTAAGTTTGGCATAGCAAAGCTAAAGCTTCTACATCTTGCCCGTCGTCAATTTGTTTTGACATGTTATGACATACGACAGTTAAACCTAAATCAGCCCGACAAAAGACCACAAGACCGTTAGATTTTATAAGTATTACTAACCTTCTTCCATTGGAGCCTCATCTTCGCTCTCCATCAACTCCTCCAATTGCGATTTGACCCGGCCACTCGTTGAGGTATCCATTTCGAATCTAGAAACATACTTTGTGATTTGATTCGAGGTTTATCACCAAATAAATTTTGCCTTTAACAACTATTTTTTTGCAACTCTAAAATATAACTATTTATTTGACACGCGCGACGGTTGAGCACCAAAAGCTTATAACAACAAAAATGGTCAGAAATGCAGAAATTTCAAAAAAGTAACCAGAAAAAAGATCAAACGTATCATAAATGCAAAGATAAACTTTAAAATCCAACTATTTCATATTGTTGAGAAAGGCCTCTCGTTTTGCTTTAATGTCGCTTTCCGAGTCGATCAACTAAAATAAATTGTTTGAGGGATTATAAATTATTGATTTAAAACGTTGCAAATTGTCAAACGAACCTGAATTGGTATATTCCTAACTTTGACGTTTTGAGATGGGTCAAGGCTTTTCAGCCTGGCAGAATCAGTTTCGGCATCATAAAAACAAGCAAACGTTCAAAAAGCTACAAAAACAGGTACCTCAGAGCTTGGCGATCCTGAAGCTGAGGGAAACATGATCGGCGTCTCGTCGGGATTGTGACATTGTTTGGAGAGTTGAATGGCTCGCTCGAGAAGTTCTTCCTCGTCCTCATTGGCGCGTGAATTTGATGGTTGATTCGTATCTAAAATTCTCCAATAAATTCAATTCACAAAAATTTCAATTTTTTTCAAAAGAACAGCACCAACCATTTGCTAGACTTAATCGGATTGCTTTCTCCATATCGGTCTCGTAATCCGAGGGTCCACCGAGCACCCAAACTTTTTGTATTAGAAAAACGAAAAAATCATTACTTTTTTTGATAGATCTTCAACGATTGAGCCAAGACGTCGACCAATTCCACCCATCACACCAGCTTTTGCTGCTGCCTAAAGTATACATTTACATTATGCTTTTGTTGTTAAATTATAATCAAAATGCTTAGCTAACTTGTTTCGGTGGAAGTGCTTGTTGTTGAACTGGACACATCGAAATTACTTGATCGGCTTCACATTCCGGCAAGAGGCCGCGAACGATGAAAATCGAATATCCTAAAAATTAACCATTACGAAATGTTAAAAATTATAATTGTTATACTATGAAAATGTCAATATTACCTGCTTGCTCAAGTTGATACAAATACATTCCCATATACGTGTCGCTGATCAGCTCGGGGCCGGCTTTCACAGAGTTGAGCACAAACCATTGATCGCCGAATTTGCGCAACGTGAACCAGTGCTCGGATTGATTGCAGATGAAGGCTTTTTCTTTCCTAAAGTAAGCAAAACTTTGTAAATGTCACTTTTTTTCTTACAATGGATCCTTGCGAACATCTGCCACTGATGGGTGCGTGATGCTGACGAGATCGAGGGAAAACGCCTTCACCGCTTCGGAGAGAACCTAAAAGATTAAAAATAATGTAAAAAAAAAAGAAAAACGTCAGTAGTGCCTTTGCTAGTGTACAAAACAAAAAAAACAAACCTATGTGTACAAAACAGTAAAACTAAACCCACTTGAACCGAAAAATACCCCGAATCGTCCATGTTGACACTTTTCAAATTCCGGGAGCTTGAGTCGAGTACAACGTTTTCTTCTTGGTCCAATCGTCGGGCGATCTCCGCTAAGTCGGTGGCTGAAAAGTAGTCGCCTTGAAGAAGCATGTTGAGGGCGTGTTGCGCACATAAAGCCGCTTGCTGGCGCTCGAAGAATATCGTGTCCATGAGACCTGAAAGAAAGAAATGTTAATAGACCTGCAAATTTGAAAAGAAAGACACGAACAAAAAATAGAAGACTGACAACGAGAAGACCATTTATAGCCGTCCAAACCATTTATAGGCTACCTTTATTGTCTAAAATATTAAGTTAAATGGTTTAAAGAGAACTGAATCTCTTTTATTCTTGGTTTTCCCAATAAATTAACGAGTTTTCATTCTTTCTCTTTGTGGGAGTGGGACAAATGCGACCTTTTTTTTGCGCACCCGGCCATTTGTGCGCCTCGCACCTGGCCCATTAGCGCACCTTTTTTCGCGTTTTAAAAAAGCTCTAAAAAGCTAATATTAACCAATTTCTATTCCAAAAGTTGTTTTTCTAGGTAATTTGAGGGTGTAGAATCGAAATTTTGACATATCAGAGCTTGTGGAAGCGAACGGACGGAGTTATACAAAGAGAAAAATCGACAATTTTCTGTAATTTGACCTACCCGTTTTGTCTTTCAAATTGATTCCACACGTTCTGTTATGTCAAAATTTGAATTCTACACCCTCAAATTACCTAGAAAAACAACTTTTGGAATAGAAATTGGTTAATATTAGCTTTTTAGAGCTTTTTTAAAACGCGAAAAAAGGTGCGCTAATGGGCCAGGTGCGGAAAAAAAGGTGCGCAAATGGCCGGGTGCGCAAAAAAAAGGTCGCATTTGTCCCACTCCCCTCTTTGTTAAGCAACCCCAAGACGCATGAAGTAGGTGAGGTGGGTTGAACTTATTTGATTTGTTTTGAGTAGCTATATTGGGTAAAGCATCTAAAAGCAGTATTATTAGCCCCGTCGGCCTAGTATTTATGGCCAGGAGCCTTGAAAATGCGTGCTGACTCGATAGGAGTCGTACCGCTTTTGAATTCCTAATATGGTGAGATTGTAGGAAACGATCACACGCTCTATTTCCGGCCTCTCGCTTACACGCGGCGCCTATTCACGCCCGGCCTTTTGGCTTCTCTCCATAGCTACATATTTCGCGTGTTGTATAACCCTCCTGTTGTGGCTCTGTTTCTCAATGGAGCACATGTGTCCTTAACCCAGCTGACCTGCTGAACGCTTATTTTTTCGGTTTAGTCATTGTTTACTTGCTATCACTGCACATTTTGACTCTTCAGCTTGAAATGTTAAGGCTTTGCCCAATTTTTGGTGAAAGATTATTGTTGATCCCTTGTTTGGCTCTTTTTGATAAGAAACCGCAAGGGAGTTCCTTAAAGTTTGTATTGTTCGTCCAAGATTTACTTTACGTTTTTGGAACCAAGCTAGCGTTGACATAATTTGCTTTTATGTAGATATCCTGCGATCAATTGCCCTCTACATTAGTTAGATGTTGCGAAATCACTTTTTTACTCGTAAGCAACGGGGTTGTTTGCTACCGGGTACGGGCTTTGTTTCCGCAATTTTGGTAATCTGTTGAACGGACTATCCCAGTTATCGATTAGGTAATGAACTGTGCACGTTGTGCTTTTTATGGGCTGATTTATGACTTTTCCCGTTTTTCATAGGCCACTTCTGTGGTTTTAGTTTTATTGTTGGGGAAAGTTTATCAGAATTTGGTACCCTAGGATTTGGTTTAACTTGAGCAAGGATACTTTATTTTGGATCTTTCCGGTTAACGGGGGGAGGTAAGTTTTTTGGCTTACTTGCAGCTGCGCACTTTTTGGGCACCTTACATTTGTCAGATCAGTAAGTTTTAATAAGATTTAGATAGCTTAGAACATCAGCTTTTAGAAACTATTCATTTTATCAAGAGTTATAGTTATCTGAAATCGGGCTCCAAGTAGGCCAAAAAAACTTATCCCCCCCTCGACATTCACTGTACTCGGCCCCGTTAACCGTTAACCAAGTTCCTTTATTTTAGGGGCACCACAACGTTCGAGCCCAAATTTAGGTGATACAGTAACGTGTAAAGCACTCAGCTAAACATTACTCTCTTTGCTAATCTATATTTGATGTTTCGAGAGGCTCATTTTGTGACCAAGTCGTCCAATATTAGGATAGGAGGCAAAAGGGGTTTGTGTTGGGGAACTGTCGGTGAAAAAAACGCGCCTAGTTAATCGATCGTCTCTGCTCCCGTCTCCCCTCTCGAGGCGATCGCTCGGGTGCGCGCGTGAATCATGCACTTTCGTTTCTCTTCCCTCTCCAACCTTTCCTCCTCTACAACTCTATTTGATAACCGTGTTTTTCTTCATCTTTCTTTTCTCCAGTAGACACACCAAAAAATCATCTACCTTTTGAAATTCTCAATTGTTCTCGAAATGGACAATCACATGTTTTCCATAAACCAAAGTTATGAAAAGTAGGTTCCGACAGAAATTTTGGGTATGATTTTGAGAAGACAGTGTTTAAGAATGAGGATTTCACTGCACTATCGTTTAGCGTTTTTACACTTGTTGAAAGAGATTCGTTCTTCAATAATTGAGCAAAAAAAACCTTGGTCTCATTGTTTCTGTTCCCCTCTTGGCTAACACAACGTTGATGATGCATTCATTTGAATGACTAACAAAATTCCCCAGTATTATCAAGAGATCCATTACCGCGAGGATCTATTATCCAAGACGTTTTAGTCACCCGACTGCACCTATTTCAGTGCCACTCCAGAAACCCCTATTTTTTAAAAGTCCATTAATATTCCGCGAACACATAAACAGTCAGTCATTTTTGTTCCTGAAGATCTATGCGTCGGTGTTTATCAAATAAATTGAATAATTTGAATTCTTTTCCGTATTGTTTTCCCAGTTTCAGCACTTTTATTTTGTTTGCGGGATGCTCCGCGAATTTCGCAAGACAACAATTTATCGGCTTTTACGATCAATTTCTGATGAGTCAGTAGATTTTCTTTTGTAAATAGCGAGATCGGCAGAAGCTTCTGGCGCGAAATTTTTTGAGCAAATTCACTTTTCGAATAACACCCCGGATCGCCGCTCTCTCATTGTTAGACCTAACCATCCTTCTTTTTCGTTGAATTGATAACGAATCAGAGCTTATCGAGAAAGCAACCCCGCTATAAACTAAGAGCTCCTAAAGTCTTGTTTTTTGACGTTTATAAGATTGACGTCTTCAGTTGTTACCGCTTTTTCTATATTTTTCGATCTTCTTAATCTTAAATTAAAGCTCAATATTTTTTTTCCAGAGAGCGAAAAATATACTGGATCCTCGACGGTGAGCCGAGCCGGAACTTTGGCGAAAATGAAGACGTTTTACCTTACCGCCAGTCTATTCCTCTTTGTACAATGCAGTGACGCCGTGAGAGGTAAATCTAGAATTTTTCTTTTCTTTAATAATGTCTAACAGCTCGATAATTTCTAAAGATTTTTGTCCACTGGGCCAGCAAGTTTTGTACCTTTTTTTGGAAAACGTGCGAATCTTTAAATAACTGGCTCTCGTATTCACTAATCGATTTTAGAACTAGTGCATAATCCAAGAAGTCCTGCAGGTACGAGAGTGTTTGAAAAGAGTGTTGTGCTGTCTTTTTCTCGCCACTTCTCGATTTTTTTATTTTTAAGCTGCACCTGCTTTTCTAACGAATGGCTTTACTGGTATAAGACTATCGATGCATGACTAATCTTGTACACAAAATGCATGAATTTGGAAATGAAGATTTGGTCTTATTACTTTGAATTTAGCTTGCAACACGTCAACGACTTTTGCCTGCACATCAGAGCCCGGAAAGTGCATCCCGAACTCGTGGAAATGTGATGGGGATATCGATTGTCTGAAAGGCGAAGATGAGGAGAAATGCAGTGGTAAGTTGTTAGTTTGGCTCTTCCTTTGTGTGCTTTGACAAGTGATAAGCGGTGTTTGGGAACTGTCGTATCGTGCTTTCAAATGCCATGTGTGTTTTTGCGAAATACTGAATGCTAATTGTAGATCTGGTGCTTTAAAGGTTTTTTCCATCCTAAAGCTGAAACACAAGAAAATAGCATTTTAATTTCGAAAGATTCACAAGTACACCGCACTAGCAAACTTATAAGTACCCTTAGTACGTACTTGTTGGTTCTGTTTTCTTTCTCTCATCTTTCATTATAAATTTAGATACGTGCCCCGATGACGAGTTCAAATGTGGTGGTGATCAAGAGAAAAGTGGTGGAACAAAAGGTATTACTGAAGTTTTGTTTAAAAGCTAGTAACTTTTTAGCTATCAATGGTTGCATTCCGAAGAAGTGGCGATGTGATGGAGAATTTGACTGTGACGACCATTCAGATGAGAAAGATTGCCCAGGTGGAGCTTTTCTAGGTAAATTTCAAAAATTTGCTTTTCTTTAGAAATCAAGTGCAAAGAGGATCAGTTCAAATGTTCCGAATTTGATGGTCAATTCACGCTTTGCATCCCGAACTCGTGGAAATGCGATGGACAGGTTGGGAAATGTGGATGACTAATTTGAAATTTCGGTTTAGAATGACTGCGCCAGTGGTGCCGATGAAGAAGGATGTCACGATCGTGTTTGCACGGATAACGACTTCAAGTAGTTTTTGGTGTTGAATATCATTGCAAGCTAATGATTCAGATGTCGCAACGGTGTTTGTATCTTCAAGAGCTGGACTTGTGATGGAGAAGACGATTGCGGAGATGGGAGCGATGAGGACAAAGAAGTTTGTGAGAAGGAGCAAAAGACGGCCTGCAATCTTGATCGGATGTTCCGAGTAAGTTTGAAATGAAGGAAATCTAAAAATACTATTAACATGCATAACCTGAGAAATGACAAGGCCAAATAACAAGCATTAAAGCAAAAGTAACTTTCTAGTGTGAATCTGGAAATGGATGCATCCCGCGAGAATGGATGTGCGATGGGGAGAGCGACTGCCGAGATCACTCCGACGAAGAGAATTGCACAGTTGCAACAGCGGCCAGTTGCAGTCACAAAACGGTAACTAAACCTAAAAGCTTTATAAGCTACAAAGAAATTAATTATTGTAATCGTATTTCTTTTTCAATGATTTCTCAACAAGAAAGACGTTCGGTTTTTAGGAATTTGCTTGCAAGACGGGCAAATTCTGCATCAGCTCTCAGTGGAAGTGTGACGGAGAGGTTTGACTCTTTTTAAGCCAAAAATCTAATCTTAATTTTAGATTGATTGCCCGGATGGATCAGACGAAACCGAATGCAACCCGAAAACGTGCGGAGCTGACGAAAGAAGTTGTTCGAGCGAGAATCCGAAACTGCCGGCAGCGACTCTCTGTTTCCCAGAAACATTTTGGTAGGTCCTAAAAGAGAAATATGAACGGTAGCCGGGTTATTTACGGAAGCAGCCCAAACAAATGACAGTATCTAAAATATAATGTAAATAAAAGAAGATTTTATCTCAATCAATTCCGACTTGTAGGTGCAATGGCCGTGAAGATTGTCCCAATGGAGAGGACGAAATGAACTGCACTAAACGTAAAAAATAATTTTCAAGTTACTTGACTTTTTTCTTGTTTAGTTGAAACAAAGAAATGCGGTGACTATGAATACGAATGCCCCGGCTCAAACAATTTATGTATACAGCGTGACAAAGTGAGTAAAAAAGGATAGAATGACAAGTCAATAACTGTACAAATTAAAACATTTCAGCTTTGCTCTACGAACAAGGAAAACTGCTTGAGTGACGACTTTTGTTCAAAGGATATCAAAGATTGCACTCCCAACTCAAACTTCTGCAAAAAAACCGACTCCTATGTGAAAAACTTCTCGGTAGGGTTTGAAAATGCTCAAAATCGTGGCTCTACTGGTCCCAAAAGTTATGTTATCAATCTGGGTCATTTAAATACGAAAAGTAGTTAGTGCTAAACATTAAAGTTTTTAGGTCTATCAGTGTGCCAAGGGATTCAAGGCCGTGAATGGCGTCTGTGAAGGTGACTCGTTTTGGAGTAGATTTGTATGCTTGCTTTTAGATATTGATGAGTGCAAGGAAATTCCCGGTGTGTGCGATCAACTTTGTCAGAATTTGCCAGGATCATATCGATGCGGATGCCATCGCGGCTACAAGCTCAGCCAAACCAAGGGGGGGCTGATACCGACGAAGTGTCGAGCAATTGGTGACTTTTTGAAATCTTTTGCTTCCCCACTAGTGAAATGTCGGTTAGGAAATTCCTTAATTGGAGTTGTAAGAACAAAACAAATAAATCAATGTTTAGGTGGTGACCCGCTCGTTTTGCTCTCGAATCGTGCCACCATTCGTCAATTCGACATCGTAACAAATGTTCACGAAGCTTTGGTTCAATCGCCGGGATCCGCTGTTGCCATGGATTTCCACTTGAGCAATAATGTAGGAGTTATAATCGTTACTTAATCTTGTTCATTTAGACGATTATCTGGTCTGACATCACTCAACAGAAGATCCTTATGTGCAAGGTTCAAAACGGAAACGGATCGGCGAGGAAGAGCTTCATTCTTGATGGAGTGGGTGGCAAAAATTTTGTTGCAAATTGCTTCTCTTTAGAACAATTGCAAGCCTTCGAATCAGTTTGTGGTGTTTGAAGGTGAAGTGCATACACCCGACGGTTTGGCGATTGACTGGGTGCACAACTTGTTGTTCTGGACAGACGGTGGACTTGATCAAGTAGTTTTAAAAAGAACCGATAATGTATTTTAAAGTTTACCCATGATACATAAACTTGTCCAACTTTAGATTGTTCTGTTAATGTCATGTAATTTTTCAGATCAGTGTCATGAATCTGGACACGCGTCAAAAGAAAGTCCTCTTCACTGACAAACTGGAGGAGCCACGAGCGATCGCCGTTGACCCGGAGTTTGGGCTCATCTTTTGGACCGATTGGGGACAGGAGGCCAAAATTGAGAGAGCCGGAATGGATGGAAAAAATAGAACGGTTAGTTTAAAAGCATTAATAATTTACTTGAGACTGAAAAATTCTCAACTCAACCATCCTTCAGGTGATCATGCAAGGCGAACAAGTGAAGTGGCCGAACGGTTTGGCGTTGGATCTTCTGGAGAAGCGGTTCGTTTAAGGATTTAATTCAAGATTCAAGAAATTCAAGGATTTAGTTGATCGCTTTGCAAATTTAGAGTCTACTGGGCCGATGCGAAAGTAAAGAGCATCCTGTCATGCGACTACTACGGAAATAATATCAAGGTGATTTTGCAGTGGCTTCTTTAAAGGCAAATTTCTAGACGGTTCTTCACTCTCACTCATACCTTCGTCATCCATTCTCATTGGCGGTGTTCGAGGATCGAGTTTACTTCACCGATTGGGAGCATGATGGTGTGATCAGTGTGAACAAGGTAAATATTCGATCAAATTTTAACTTATGACTCGAGGATTTATTTGATTATTTATTTACAGTTCACTGGCGGTGATGTGCAAAAGTTGATGGGCAAAGTGAGCACTCCGATGACTGTCCGGATCTATCACAAACAGGCATGTTTTTGCGCAGTAGATAATCCTTTAAAATTATAGTGACTAGTTGCATCTTATTGTTTAGGCTCAACCAGAGCACAGCAACAAATGCAGCAACGAAGGTGAAAGTCCGTGCGCAAAGGAGCGCATGTGTCTTCCAACTGGCGCAATTCGTGGAAAAGATAGGTGAGGGTTTTAAGATTTGAGGAGGGCATATATGAAGAGCTACAAGTTCAATGCATAATATTTGCTTTTAGTACTCAAGAGAAGCCCTACAGTGGCCGTCCGTTCAGCTGTGTTTGCCAGGGAGGTCTGGGCGATGGACTTGAGGAAACCGCCGAATGCCTTGGTTTGTTCAATTTTTATTTGAGCTTCTAAAATTAAAAGCTTACCTGCATAATTGCAACATAAAAAGCCTATAAAATTTGGACAGTTTAACGACTGGAAAGAATAACCAAAATGTCAAAGAAACAATCCCTAATGGTCAAGCAAGAAAAAGTTCGCAAAGTAAAGAAGGTACAATCTTCAGATTGAAAAAATTTTCTTCTATAAGATTTCCCCTTGGCTCCTTTGTATGTCTCATTTTCCAGCCTGTGAATTTGCATCCGTTGGACGAAATTTATTTTTAGCTGAAGTGATCGCTGGAAACCCGGGATTCTCCTTGTCAACGATGCTCCTTCTGGCTGTGCTGGCAATTTTTGTCGTTGGTGTAAGTTTTGATTGACTAACATTTAACCAGCTGCAAAACGCATTAAATTTCTTTTTAGGGTTATGCTTTCTACCGTAACCGCAAAGGAAGCTCGTTCACCGCACTTAACTTTGACAATCCGGTCTACCGACGAACTGTGGAGCCGGATATGAACGATCCATTCAGGTTCAAATTCTTTAATAAACCTTAAATTTCTGTTGTTTTAGTGATCCGTTCCGTGCGGAGGGCACCGTCAACGTCTCTGGACCGACTCAAGTTGAACAACCAAGTCGGCTCGTGATTCACGATGAAGGAGAGGTTTGTTGAGTTCTGTGCAAACTTCAGAAGCTTCCTTTAGAAAAGACATATCTATTTGAAATAAAAAGGTGAAGAATTTTGCTTTGTTGCTTTAACACGCTTGACAAAATGCTTCTTTTAGAGCAAAAATTGCAACTTGATTTTTCTGCTGATTCAAGCTGAGATTTTCTTGGGCTTAAGGTGTTTGGAGTCTTTTTAGATAACCGAGAGTTTATTGATGTCTTTACTTTAGAATGATCGACACTTCACGTAACTGATGCCACCAATACTACTAGCGCCAAATATCAGCTCAGCAAACTACCGTCGTTTGTATTTCCCCTTTTTTGTTATTTGAGTCGTTGTTTTTTGTGCAATATTTTTCTTGTGTTCGCCTAATAGTTTTATACTCCTAGAGCTTTGTCACTTTGAAGCGTCCTGTGTTATTTTTCATCAAAAACTGTTACCTGCGATCGGCTCACTCTTTTAGTGTAAGACTCCTGAGCTTCACCGCGACCAGACAGTGAAAGTATCGAGCGATGGGGTTGCTTGGATCACTTTGAAAGTAGTTGATTTGTAAAATCTAGCGAGTTCATTGAAAAGTATTTGACGGTATCTTCAATGTTCGATTCAATCTCATTGCTCGCCACTTGGCTCCCTAATAAACGCCCTCAAATCCCTGTGATAGCCTTCAGATTTGCAAAAAAGTATACCCTCTTTGTGATTTTAAGCTTTTTTGCTCCTAAAGAAACGCAGATATTCCCGCCTCTAGTTTTATTGGTTGCAATAACGATTTGAGACTTAAAATCCAAAAGTGTGTGTACTTTCGGGTGTTCGCCTTTCGAGATACCGTATTTTCTATAAGTTGGTGTGAATGAGGTCAGTACGGTATCTTTTCCCCTATGCGATTCTTGTTTTCCCTTTGCATAGCTACATTTTGCTGCTATTGTTTCCATTTTGGTAGCTTCATCGCCCCATCTAGTTACGGGAGGCTATAATTGGTGGCCATTGAGTGATCACCCTCTTTTTCTTCTTCAATACGAGTTGTCTTTTTCTGTTTGTTATGTAGCCCCAATCCATATGCATATTCCTGACCCTTATCCTTTGTATTTTGGTGTATTCTGTAATATTTTTTCAACCTGGTGATGTGCTTTTTCAACTCTGTTTATTTCATAAATTCTGGCGTGCATTCGAAAAATAGTTGTTTGCTCATTCAAGATTTGTTTTCTGATTTCGCGTTGTGCCGATGGAGATATTTTTTTAAGGGAATAAAGTTGATTTTCTGATTCGAATACACTTTCTTTGATGTTTTAAGGGACAAGATTTATCAGATTTGCAAATACGAAAAGTATTTGTGCACAAATGATTCCTAGCTCATGTTTTCCAAAGTCTCTTTTGTTTGGCGGATTCGTTCGGAGACTGATTGCACCCCAGATCGTTCGAGCACATCGTCGAGGTGGATCCCGGTGATATCAAGTGACGGTGTGTGCTGGAATTGAGAGTACTGTAATTATTCTACCATCATCGGGATTTTTAAAAAATTTAGCTTGGCATTTCTTGATTCTTGAGCTTTGAGCAATATTAGCTTACCGGTTGAGCCTTTCGAAGCTTCTTGAATTTCTTCTGCATCGTTTTCACGTCGTCGATGTAGAGCGGTTGGTAGAGGTCCATGTCTGGAATTGAGGTTTGATTACGGAGTACCCTAAAGTCGCGAGTATAAGTTCTGTCTGGTTTTCGCATGCAAATTGACGGTGTGTCGAGGGTTCGAACCCCGCTGCAGCATAACTTTTTTGCTTTTTAAGAACAATAGAAGTAAATTTATTGAGGGTTATAGCAATTTTATGCTGTTATTTGTTGCTCCGGGCGCGGCTCGGCGCGTCCGCCCTGCTCCTCTCCGGTGCTCAGTCTTATGGATCCCTCCCTGGCCTCTTCATCCGGCCAAAGTCCACGTCGACGGTCGAAAGAGATGCTTTCCAGCGTCTTCTTCAACACTATCGTCTGGATGTATCCATGCACATAACAAATAGCAATGGTGATAGGCTGTCACCCTGTAGTATCCCGCGCTCCAAGAACAATAATAAAAGTTTATATAACAATAAAAATGTATCAAAAAACCCAACAAAAAGAAATTCAAAGCAATTAAAGCGACATAAAAAAGAATTCTGTGCTTAGCTTCGAAACTGTTTCATCCGTCAAAGCTCTTCGAAATCCATTGATAATGCAAGAAGAGGGGACCGCATCGAAACTTTTCCTTACCCATTCCGCAATTGTCTCGTAGCTCGCTCTCTTTTTTCGTCCTGACAGGGTAAATTGGTCGTTTCGGCTATCGGACATCCATTCTTCCCAGTGAGCCTTTAGATTGTCCTTGAATGGCTTATTGACGCTGATGTCAAGCGGTTGTAGAAATCGAGTCAGCCCTCCTGGAATCACAGCCAGCTTCGAGTGTTGCTGAATTTCAGCCTTGACATTATCGGTTAAGTGACAGCGAGCTGAGTCCAACACGAGCACTGATTCTTCGGATTTGGCCACCGGATTTGCTCTTCGCAACCAAATTTCATCGAGCCACTCCTTCATCAAGTCCGAATTCATCCACCCTGTCGGATTAGCTTTGATGATCACACCGGGAAAAATTCCTTTAGGAAGAGTCTTGCGCTTGAAAATGAGCATCGGTGGGAGTTTCGATCCATCGGCTAGAATTCCGAGCACAACTGTGAAATTCGTCTTCTCATTTCCCGTTGAAGCAATTGAAATATCATCCTTTCCTTTTACTTCGACTGTTCGGTTGGAAACAATATCGAATGGAACCGGAACCTCGTCTAAATTTCCAAAATTGTTTGGTGAAACATCATAAAATTCTCGACAGAACGATCGAAAAGATGATTTCTTGCTTTGACAGTCCTTTGGAAGTGGTTGTCCAACGCTCGTCCTCCGCCGCATCGACAAACCATTCCGCCTCATGAAATTTTGAATCCATGAATTGCTGGGTGAAAACGGACGAATCCTAAGTTTCGTTGCAATTTTGATGGCTTCTCGTTTCATTGCCGGTCCATTTACAGCTCGTTGTTTTGATCGCCTCTCCAGAACCCATGCCTTCAGATCTTTCTCCACATCCGGTCATTTTGCCCTCAATCCTCGGAAAGCTCGATTATTTTTTTGGGTGAAGTCATCAGTGCCGGCTCAGCTTGTTTCCAGCGGTTAATCATCTGTTCGGCGACTTCAAATTCGATCGCAGCCGCGTTCGTTCCAAATTTCCTCGCAAATTTGACCGCTTCGAGCTTCGTTTCGGCGGTGTACGACTTTCTCCTCATCGTATCTAAAATGAAAAAACGTTAGTAAAATAAAAAATAAAAAAAAAACAATAAAAAATAAAAACAAAAACAAAAAAACAATAAAAAATAAAAAAAAACAAAAAACAATAAAAATTAAAGAAAGAAGAAAGTTTTCCATCCCTTTAAATGCCCTTTAAATGTAAATTCAGAACTTATACTCGGATGAACTTATACTCGCGACTTTAGGGTAATTTATGCGTTTGAAATTTATCCATTTTGGATAAGTACATTATTCTTCAGGTTTATTGTAGTACGATTGATGATGCATTCACTTTACCTCGATGATGAGCCGCGTATAGAGTACTTCTACCAGCTGGCGTGGCGATTATTTTCGTTGGTGCGGCGAGCACATCTTCGTCGGGCTCCTCGTCCGAAGAAACCCCAGTCTCGCCGACACGCGCTCGACAATCTCCAAGCATTCTGAATGAGTTTTGTTGTAGATTTAACGTTATATTTTAAAGATCTCTATTGGCATGACTTCGTTTTATCAAAACCATCAAGACTTACAATCTGGACCTCTTTGCTGCTCGAGCCTGGATCCTTGCGTATTGATCCCTTTTTCGTAGAGCCACAGGGTCCACTGGAACAGGTCCCGGATCCTCCCAAGTCGGAGTTGAAATGAAGTGTTGCAAGAGAGCCTGAAGTTAAAATGTATAGGTTCTTCTTATTTGACTAGGATTGAGTAGAATGGAGTAACTCACATGTCTCGAAACGAGCAACTTTTTCAGCAAATTTATGTGGTAGAAGCGAATATAGTGATCGTAGAGCACGCGTTGATCATCTTTCAGTTGAACGCGTTCCGAGGGACGCTCGGTGCCAAAGTGACCACCTGAATTGGAGTTTAAATCTGGCTTTCCTGACAGCTTCATTGTTAAAATGTTCAGCTTAGTGTGAGTTTCACCCTGACGGCTTCACTACTTAGATATGTATTACCTTTCAACTTGGCGTGGAATTTCCCCACAGGATTGCCGAAATTGAAACGTGGGCTTTTTGTGAATACTTTCTTCAGCGTTTCCTCGTTGTCTTCCGGTCGTTCGGATTGAGGTAAAAAAGTCATCAAGTGCTTTTTGGCAGCTTCAGGCAATTTCATGAAGGTCTCATGGTTGATGATCGACCGGAAAGCGCCTTCCTGAAACAAAATGTGGATTGTACCGTAAATATTCTAGTTGAAGACCACCGCCCTGACCCCTCGAAATATCGACTTTTTGAAACATTTTTCTAGCTAAAGTTGTAGATATAGGCCCAGATAGAAGTATTTTAGCATTGGCAGTAAAATTGGAAACGTAGTTTTTTAAAAATAGAAAATAATTTTTTGAAAAAAACGTAGGGGACCGCGTTCGCTTTTTTGGGAGATCGTCCGAGGGTCTTGGGTAAGAAAATATTTTCACTTTTAAACATGTTTTATGTACGTTTTAGGCCAAGGGTTATCACGTAGAGCGGTTTTTAAGAAAAAAAATGTGCTTTTGGTTCATGTGGAGGGCCCTTACTTACTTTTTTGGCCGGCCGATTTTGGGGGTTTAACAAATAGAAGATCATGGTTAGAATTATTACGGTAGTTAGTTTTGAATTTTGAAGGTAAACTCACGCTAATGACGAGAACGGTGGGCACGAGAATGAGCTCTCCGCCGAGGTTGAGCTTGGACATTTCCAGCGGCAAATCTGGATCTTGTGGAGTTGAACAGGCGGACGAGACCGATGTGGAACCGGTGCCTGAAGTGGAGGTTGAGCGTGATGTCGAAGGACCGGCTTCATCCAGGTTCCGAGACGTTTGGAGGTGGTTGCCTGTAAGAACTACTGTATTGCGTAGCTTGTGGAACTTTAGCTTGCTAAGAATACGGTAAACAGCGACTTTGGCATTTTAGGAGAGTAAAGTTTTATGGTTTTTCTGAGTCAAATTTCCGACTAATATGCAAATTTCCTATTGTAAAGTAATCGAAGTTATTAACTGAATACCTTATGAAACATGCGAAAATTTCAATATTATTTTTTCACTTACAAGCCTCATTTTACTAGATTGGCACTTTAAAAACCAACCATTACTCATCGCTTCTCCATTCCCGAAATTCTGCGCAAGTCCATTTGTGGTCCTGGGCCCGTTGTTGGCTATAGGATTTGAAGACATTTGTGTTAGATTGAATATTTTATTCTAATAAGTTGCTAATTTTTAAGCAAGCCGCAATTCCTTCTTGCGCATCTGCCTAGTAATTGCTTTGCTGCTTAATTTCCCCCCAGAACACCAAGGGACGCGTTTCTCGAACGTACAGAGAATTTTCGCGTCACTATTACGCTATTTTCGAACCGTTTTAATTCGATTTTTATGGGTTTGCTCTTTTATTTAGCTAAATTGTAGAAATTTCTTTTATTTTAGGTGATGGACTTTCAAACAGCACAATTCAAGTTCACGGAATTGCTCGAAGCAGTCGAGGAAACGGTTGGTTTTGAGGGAACTTTATAAAATTGGCGATTTTTGGCTATTGTTGGCTATTGTTGGCTATTATTCGGTATTCGGTTAAAGAATTAGTTAACGTTTGATAGTTATAACGATCGAACTTTGCCTGCTTTATGGCTTAAAACATAATTGACAATGATAGCCGATGAGGCCTTTAATGTGAAATTTATAAATTTGGTTATCGTTGATTTTTAAAAGGGTTTGCCAACGCTTAATTGTTATGTCAATGATGTTCCATGTCAATGGCAAGGATTTGGATTTAGAGCACTGAATAATTGTCATATGTATCAATTTAATTTGATCTAGTGTATAAGTTTACCTTTCACCATGCCAAATTTGTCGTCTATCTCATAGAGTTGATGCACAATCATTGTTGATCTAAAATTTGCCAATTCTTTGGATAATGGCAACAGCCTAACTGCATATGGTTTCAAAGACTTGCCTAGTCAGTAAGAATTACCGTAAATACTCTAATAGAAGCACCCCCTAAAGGAGCGTCACCTAGTCTAGGTTTATTCTCAAACAAACGCTCATATCTCAGCACCAGTACGATGGTTTCTGCGCGCCTAAGTATCAAATTAAACTCGAGAGGAAACAATTCGATTTTTCCCACTTGGCAATCATTTTTTCTAAGCGTTGGTTAATGCTAAAAATACGTGTTATATCTCAAAAATCACTTATCCTCTCTACTTTAATTTGATACCTAGGCGCGCAAAAACTAACGTACTGATGCTGAGATATGAGCGTTTGTTTGAGAATAAACCTAGACTAGGTGACGCTCCTTTAAGGGTGCTTCTATCAGAGTATCTACTATATATAAAAAGTCTGTCCGTCTGTCTATCCGTCCGCCTGTACGGGTTTTTCTCAGCCGTCATTGGGCCAAAAAAACTGAGATTTTTTAAAAGAGTCTTAAAATATAATATAGTCGTGCCATTTAAAAATAAGAAAATAAAAATAAAAAATAAAAGGTCAAAATTGAGTGGCACTTCGGGGATCGAACTCGGGGACTCGGGCTGATTTACGGTATATTGCTTATGAAGTTTAATAGGAAAAAGCAAGTATGTGCAAAAATTTGATCACGAGGTTGATCTAATAGGCGATAAGGCGATGTGTTCTTTATTTTTTTTTCTTCTCATCGTCGATTCATTTTTTTCGGGCTGTCCCTCATTTCATTGATTGGCTCGCAAAAACGGTCGGCGGTGATTCATTGATGGATGATGACGAAAAACGACAAAGGAGAAGCCAACCAAAAAGGACACGAGAAGCGATGAAGAAGCTAAAAGAGATAGCCGAGGATTTGAAACAAAAGGTGGGGAATTGGAAGAGTTGGAATTTATGATATTTAGTCATCTAGTCCATAAACAAATTACAAGCCAGGCTTTTGTTTACAGGGTAAGTGAAATAAAGAAATAAAACTATTGGAAAAACATAAATCTCTTAATCATGAATAATTTAGCTTCCTTTCGAAGCAGTTATGCCGACTGAAAGGATCACCTATCCGACGAAGGGCTACGATTCGGATTGTAACGCGACAAATACGGTAGCAATGCTTTCCAAGTCAAATTTTGTTGTTAAACAGGTTCACATTGACAACTTTCTTTTCACTGATGACGATGTGGACAAGCTTGTCGAAGAGGGAAAACTGTCTAGGCAGGTAAAACATTGCCAAAAATTGTTTATCTCTGCGTCTTTTAGAAACTTTTGTCAACAATGTGGATCTAAGGACACAAAACCACTCAATTTTATCTCCCATTCGTTGTCACCGGAACAGGTTTGTAAAGAAATTTAGGATACATGGGAATTTTAAAAATTTGACAAAGTAATAAAGACCCTTTGGCATTGTTAGTTGTTGGCAAAATAATTGTTTACCAATCTTTTTGTTATCTTTTAAGTGAAATGAAAGCTTCAACAAAGTTTAGTTTTTAAAATTGAAACTTTAGATAGAATTCATGTTTACCAAGTTGGTGCCCTTGCAACGGAGGAACGGACTCGTTGTGCTGGACATTGGCTCAAGGATGGGCGCCGTTCTGTATGGGGCTGCTTTGATCGGGTCTGATACAGATGCTGAATTTTAATGAAAAACTACAACTTAAAATCCTATACAAAGACTTAAAAACATCTGTTTTAGTGCTGAAAATGTGACCGCTATTGGAATTGAGTTGAACGAGGAGTTTGTGCAGTTACAAAAGACTATTTGTCAACAATATGGGATTTCTAGTGAGTTTTTGGCTCTGAGAGCTCTTTTTGGGTTAATGATCTCAAAGGTCGACTATTTTTGGAATTGAGTTGTACGAGGAGTTTGTGCCAGGCTATCTTTTTCTTTTTTAGATATCAAACTTTACTGTGATAATGTCCGAAATCAAGGCGACATAGTAAGTACGGCAGATATCGTTGTGATGAATAACGTCTTCAGCTTTTTCATGTCCGAAAGTGAGCAGGTAAGCTTATTTGTTGTAGCTAGAAGGCGTATTAATGATGGCAGGCTAGAAACAACTTTTAATTCGGTTATTGATAAACATAAGGATGGTTTTAATAATTCTCAATCTTTAGGTATCATGTTGGGAGTTCTTGAAGGATAAACTCAAGCCCGGATGTATCATTTTGCACAATCCATCTCTCGTTGATGTCACGGAGCATTTACCGTTGAAATTCACAATTGAGGATTGGTTGGATGAGGTGAGCGTTTGGATTTATGTAATTAAACCAAAAGTTTTTTAGATTTTAGGACCTAACTAAAGCTTGTATGGGTAAAGGGCTAAAACTAGTTTTAAGCCTCGATAAAACTTGTGGAACTTTGTTGTTAAAGTCTTTTTCAATAATTTTTTCCAGAAACCCGTTGAGGACCTAGCTTTCGAGTTTTGTGGAACAAATGAGGGCTCCGAGTACGAGGATTGCACTCAAATGCATATGTATCGGGTGAAGACTGGATGATTTTCATGTTTTGTTTCAGTTTGTCATTTTTTCATTTTTATTGTTAGAGTTTTATTGCTTTCGTTTTTGTTGGCCTGTGAATAAAAGTTAAAGTTTAAAGATACATTCATTTTATGAGAGTGCTTTATTTTAAAAGGCCTAAAAGTATTTGAAATATTACCTTGCTATTTTTGTAATATAGGTATTGGTGGATTAAAATGTAGTTTTTTATTTTCAGCACTCCTCCCAACATGCCAAAAAAGGGGTTGGATGACTCCGGGGTGAAGCTGTCTCCGGTCGTTCTGGATATGAAGGTTGGATCTTTAAATTTATTAAAAACAAGTCATAAAGTAAAATATTGCGCTTTTGATAGATTAAAAATAGAGGAAAGTCAGGTTGTATGATTTTTTTTATCCGGCTATTTGGTAAATCATCTAAAATCCAATTTCATTTTTAAAAGTTGAAGAACAAGTTTCAGACGAGTTCAGTAATTCTGAATCTCCGAATCAAGTTGGAAAAAGCTGGAACTGAAACATTCAAAAGACTTCCCAAACAATTTAGAACCCGAGATATTCAGTCAGTTTACTGAACCTCCTCGTATTGCCTTGGTTTGTGTCCCAAGTAGCCGTTCTTGGCTGAATATCTCCACATTTGTTGAAATTTGAATCGGAATCTCTAAATTTTCTCTTCAAAGGATTTAGCACTGAATATTCAACTTTAGTTTATGAGCCGCACGAAGAAGAAGCTCGAGATGGAAGAACAAAAGAAGAAAGAACGCGACGAGAAACGGCGACTCCTCGGAAACGACCCGCAAATGAGCAGCAGCAGCGTCGAAGTGAAGCCGGATCCCGATGCAGAGTGGTTTTTTGGTTCTAATTTACTGGTTGGCATCAGTTGTCAAAAGGCTAACTGTTAACTGTTGCAGTTTTTGTGGCTTAAGAGACTTGAAAGTTTAAGCACGAAACTTTTTTAGTAAACAGCAGACCAAACTTATAACCGCAAACCTATCATCATTAGAATAGAGGCTACAGTTGTAATTTGCATTCTGTATGATATGTAGAGTCTTAATTTCTATACTCAATTAGTCTGCTCTCTTTTAGACCCCAACTTATCTTCGAGCGCTGCTACGAGAAATTGGAGGATCTCTGCTTCGGTCGAATGTCTTTCAAGGGATTCAATCCGGAAGTTGAGGTAACAAATTTGCAATTGAATCAAGTATAGAATATGATTTTGTTATGAATTTTAAAATTGGGATTGTAAACTAAAGTTCCATTCAATATTTTACTTTTAGAAACTAATGGTCTACTACGAGAACATCCGCCGTGGAATCGAGCCGGGTGAATCGGAAGAAGAGGATGCAGCCGACGTGAACAAGGCTGAGATGGCGAATACGTGAGTTTCTGAGTTTACATTGGTTTTATAGTTGATAAAAGATTTTCACACTATATCAACGATGTACTTTTTAGAATTGGTGGTTCTCTACGCAAGAAGTTCACAAAGAAACGAGATCGTACTGATGAGGTGAGCGGATTTTTGGATACTTGGAACTCTTTAGACTTTTAAAATACAACTGTGGATGGACATAAACCTTAATAAAACGTATAGCAAGCATTCTACCATATAACATTTCAATAATTTTCTTTTCATTCAGGTGAATTCGTTGCGAGATGAGTCGACTGGTGACAAGACGGCTCCGAAGCGAAAATCGGATGAGGCACAAGGATCTGGAGATGGTGATGGTCAACAGCCTTGGAAGCGATCGCGCAAGACGTTTTAAAGTTGTTAAATCTTTCTTTTTCAAAATCGTCTCCTTTTCAATGCTAACTATTTCAATCGTTGTTCATTTTCTCTTCGTTTTGTTTCTTTTACGGGTTAATTTGTTGTCACTTTGTTGTTATTTTCTTTTGCTTGTGAAGACCAGATTTTTAAGTATAAGTAGAAAATTTGTATTTTGCATTAATAAGGCTTTTATACATAGAAAAGTCCCAAGATCACACACAGCAAGTGTCTCAGTGAAAGACCCGAATTGAGAAATGAGGCGTCTAGATTTCAAAAACTAACAAGGTTTGAATTGTCACGACTTCAACAACTGAATCAATTGATTTTCGAGAGTTGATCGATGAGGTCATGAGCCTGCAATGAGATTTTTCAAGTGCTTTAGCTTAGGTTATGGTATCAATAAAGGTTGACGCCAAGCATAACTAACCGGCCCTGGGACGACCCTCATCGGTGGGACGGTGTAGGTGCACGTGCCGAAAACGATCACTTGCGAGTCGGCTTTTCGTATCAACTCACCCCGGGTGTAGCATTGGGTTTTGCCTAGATTGGACTTTATCTAGTATTGTATCTACACACTAAAAGCTTTCCCCGATCCCATTCTTTAAATCGCACCTAATCGCACCAATTCGATGTCCATGAGCACGGTATCGCCGAGTTTTGCCGGCGCGACCACCCTGGAAAAAAAGTGTGAATTTTTGATTAATTACGCACTGGAGTTAGCCAAAACTATCGTTTATTGAGAATTTTAGAAGCTCAACTTAAGAATATCATTTCTGGTTTGAGCTTTCTTTTCAACCTTTTAAGCCTTACGTGATCTCCTGATTGATCGACAGTACCACTTTCCCTCGCACAAATGCGGCCGCCGAACACCCGATATCCAGCAGAGTGGCCGAGCATCCCCCGTGTAAATTGTTGATCGGATTCACCATGTCTTTTGTCACCTGAAAAGCTGTCATAAATCGAAAATTCGATAAGCTCAAAAGCCTCATTTCATTTTTCCATTGTCAACAAATCTTCTTCTATCTTTACCCACCTCGAACTCGGTCCGATATCGCTTCTGGTCGACGGAGATCACTCGGAATTCCTGGAAGTGTACTGTATTTGATTGGAAAATCTATTTTCATCTATTTTGAAACATATCACAGCTAATCCATTCTCTTCTCCCTTTCTATCGTAATCTTGTTTCTATTTTTATCCAATTCATTAGCTTTTTTTATCTTTCAATATCCTTTGTGAACCCTCACAGCATCATATAAAGAGTAGATAGATTGAATAAAAAAGAGACAAGATTACGGTAGAAAGAGAAAAGGACATTTTTTAGAAAATGGGTTAAGAAAGAGGACTAAGAGTGCTTGCTGACTGGGACCGTGAAAAGTAAGTTTCAAAATAAAGGGGTTAAAAACGTATGTTTTTCTCGTAGTTATAGTCGTCGAGCATCTGTTTTTAAAAAGTCAAACATTTTATTGGAATAAGTTATAATAAGATAACACTTATCTCCAACAATATATTAACGTTCTTTTAGAAAGATTCCCACCTCAACCCCGCAATTCATGAAAGGATTCATGTGTTTGTAGGTGGAGAAGAGCAATTGCAAGCGCTTCATCAAAGCCGCCGAGGAACTCATTTTGATCTAAATTTAAAATAACTGTTAAAGTTTAAAGTAAATTAATATTTATGTAGGAATATTAGAAAAGTTGAGAATAAAAGTTAAACTGAATGGTTGTATTGTTGTTGTTGTGGTTCCTTTGTTGCCTCGGGGTGTGCAAAACAGAGAGAAATGTGCAAAGTGCAGACTATAAAATAGAGACGGAAATGATCGGAAAAACGATAAGAGAACGGGAAAAGAGAGAAGGGGTCGAGGATTTGAAACGAATGTGGAATTGATGCTAACTTGTCAATTCTTCGTGTACTTATAGTTAGTGCTTCTTCTTTCGACTATTCCTAGAAACAATTCCAAGGTACAAGTACTGCTTTGAAAGTACAAGTACAAGTACACTTGTACACTTGAAAGTACAAGTACAACAGTACAAGTACTGCTTTGAATGAAGCCATTTCGTTGACAATGAGGTGCAGTTTATATTCTCATTGGAAATGATATAACTAGCTTCAAGCTTCAATGTGACGTTTGTGGATTGCAAATAGTATACGAATTTTTATTTACAAATAGTATTGAGATATTAGTTTACAATGGTTCCTCGTTACTTGATGGCCACCACCGAGGCGAGGAATTGAGCAAACTGAAACTTCTTTTTACAAGACTTTCAAATTGATCAACTCAATTCCAGATAAATTTTTGATTATTTTCAATCTAGCTAGGGAATTTCATTTTACCGACCTTTTCCGGATGATATTTACTTGGAGAGACCACATATGTACATGTGCCAAAAGCCACTAAACTGTCGTCGACTTTCTTCCGCAATTCACCCCGCGTATAGCATTGCGTTTTCCCTGAATTAAGATCTCTAATATGATCCCAGCAACTTACTACCGTACACTTGCTTCTTTTTTTCTTTCTACCTTTTTTTGAATTGATGATCACCAATATTGATTCAAAAAGCCAAAAAGACATGGCTAATCCAATTGTTAAAGGTTTGAGTCAAGAAAAGCTTGGTTTTTACAATAAAGATGGGAGTGGGACAAATGCGACCTTTTTTTTGCGCACCCGGACATTTGCGCACCTTTTTTTCCGCACTCAGCTCATTAGCGCACCTTTTTTCGCGTTTTAAAAAAGCTCTAAAAAGCTAATATTAACCAATTTCTATTCCAAAAGTTGTTTTTTTAGGTAATTTGAGGGTGTCGAATTCAAATTTTGACATAACAGAGCGTGTGGAAGCAATTTGAAAGACAAAGGTCTAGGCTAGGCAAATAAGAAAATTTTTCTCTTTTGACCTAGCCTAGACCTTTGTCTTTCAAATTCGTTCCACAAGCTCTGTTATGTCAAAATTTGATTTCGACACCCTCAAATTACCTAGAAAAACAACTTTTGGAATAGAAATTGGTTAATATTAGCTTTTTAGAGCTTTAGGTTAATATTAGCTTTTTTAAAACGCGAAAAAAGGTGCGCTAATGAGCTGAGTGCGGAAAAAAAGGTGCGCAAATGTCCGGGTGCGCAAAAAAATGGTCGCATTTGTCCCACTCCCATAAAGATTAAAGTAAAAAGTGGATTGTCGACTATTTATGAATAAAAAGTAGAAAAATTGATCAAAAAACAAATGAAATTCAAGTTCTTGATTGAATAGTTTTAGAAAATAGGGAAAAACTAAAGATCATCAAATTTTTATGGGTTAAATAAGTTGAAATAAGCTATTGAATACTAAACTGAAATAGAAAAGAACTTCCGTTCTTTTCAAGCTGATTTGGCTATTTGATTTGCTCACCCAATCGCAGCAACTCGACCTCCATGACGAGCGTTTCGCCGAGACGACCCGGGCCAACACAACTGGAAAGATTACTTCAGTTGAAGCTTAAGCCAATTCATTTAACACAGGCAAATACTTGAAATTTCTTCAAAGTATTTTCCCCTATATGCCACTTACGTCAACTCTTGGTTGACGGAGAGAACGGCCTGGCCACGGATGAATGCCGTCGCTACACAGCCCACATCCAGCAGAGTGGCCGAACATCCGCCGTGCATCACGTCCAAAGGATTCACCATTTCTTTGTTTACCTGTAAAATATAAAGGATTAAAGTTGTAAAATGACAATTAGCTTAGCTACCTTGAAACATGAGATTCTTTGTTCAAAAAAAACTCTGGTGAGACTAGTGGTGTTTCAGTTTGGACCGCGTCTACGCAGAGTCAATTTTATTTCAATTTTGTTGCGCACTGATTTCAAGTCAACAATCACACCCATTGATACCTCGAATTCGGCTCGATACTTGCTCTCATCGGCGTGCACGATGCGCATTCCCTAAAAGCAGTGATTTTTGGGAATCTGCGAGAGCTTAAATCTTTGCAGTATTCGATTGCAAGTAAATACAAATCCCAACAGATATTAACAAACTTTTCGATCCAACAGATTGATTACATTGAAACAGAACATTTTTGCAAAGCATTAGTTATCAATTTTTGTAAAATCTCCTAGTTTTCAAGAATCATGATTGGTATCTTGAGGTAATTGGCTTAAGTTGGTAAATTGGTAAATTTCCACAACGAACCTCAGTGCCTCCACGCATAAAGCTGTTCATCTTCTGGAAACCGTTGAACAAGAATTGAAGTCTTTTTGCGAAAATTGCATTCGTTGACATTCTGAAAAAGTTGATAGCAATAGACTTTTAATAAAAAAAACCATGTTTCTATTTTAGTAATTAGAAGAGAGAATGTTGAAAGTCAATCAATGTGAATCAATGTGAATGTTGAATGTAAATCTCATTTGGGAATCATTTTTCAAGATCCGGATTTCCGAGTAGAACCGAAAGTTTCTCTTTTATCAACTAAAAAGCAGGGTATTGCGTGTTAATCTCTCTCAACTTAGACATAAAGCTACAGTAAGACACTTGTTAATTCCCTGCCTTTAACTGATAAGCAAGTCTACCCGGCAGTGAATAACAGCAAAAGGAAATATTCTTCTAATTGATCCAGAAAGGGCCCAGAAAGGGAAGGGTCTGTGGTCGACCCCGTCCGATCTACCCAGTTGAGCAACGTCGGCGCGGGTTAGTCGTGGGTTCGACTCCCATGGGTTCCCCTCCGAGCGCCCCAGCCCGGCCATCGGAGTATCATCGGCTACGACAACTACACTTCTGCCTCAATAAATGTGGAAGCAGGTTGTGATCTGCGCTAAGTGCGAAGACAGATCAAATCATTATTATTATTATTGATCTAGAAAAACAATGTTTCTCTTTTATTAACTAGAAGAAACTATGTTCAAGATTAATAAAGAGGTACAATTTATGGGCAAAATCAAGAACTATTCTTTGAGGCTTGAAGAAAATGTGGTGAATGAGCATTCAGTTCCTTCAAATACGAGTCTCGATGAAAGAAAACGAGGTTGAGTGTTCTCCCGCGGACCGCCCCCACCGAAATGACAAAGAACGAGCAAGTGACCATCCGAAAAAGAGAAATGGACGCTCTTTGGAGTCACGTGGGGATAAGGGATTTCACTTTTTGAATAGAGATCGAGAAATGCTTAAGTTTCAAAGGTATAAACTAGAAAATACTTTTCAGAGCAGGGCTGGCGGTGTTAAGTAAAGTTTTGGTTTTTTCTATAGTTTTTGAAGAAATTTCTTTGATAAAGGTATGCTAGGTTCTTTGAGATCAGATTTTTAGATAGTCTGATTTAAGCATGTGGTGCGCTGTGAGATGTTTGGAAATGTCAAATGGTATTGTCTAGATACAGAATCCTTGAAAAGCTCATTGGGAAAGTGGGAAGAAAAATGTTTGATCGTTGATTATCGAGTTCGTACGATTCAAAAGGTGTTGATGAAGTGGACGATTTAAAAATTATGTTAACCAAATATCCTAGTTTCAAATTAGAGTATATCTTGAACGAATTGCTGGAATTAGTCTGAGAGAGCTCTCTTTTCGATTTAGTGTTAAAAGTGTCATTTTCCTTTAAAGGTACTTTACTACAAGAAATGTAGTTTTACCTTACTAAACTACAAGAAATGGGTTTCAACTTAAAAAGTATCTGAAACGGATTCATCAAGTTAATAGGAGAGTAAACGAAGGACTCCAAAAGAATCTCAACGTTTGATTGCCGTAAGGATTTTTCGAGAACTATCAGAAACTCATTTCAAATTTTTGTTTGCAGGAATTTGATTAATTACTTTTAAAGCGAAAGCTAAGCAAATTTGGCTCAGCCAAATTAGTTTTGGATTTTTTATCTTAAAGATCAAAAATTGGATTTCATCCAATTTTTGATTCACTGTTTCAATATTTCGCGTGTTCAGGAAAATCTTTTATTTCAATCTGAAACAAGTGCCTGTTGCAAGTGCTGCAAAAAAAAAACGGCAAGTACTGTTTTACATAAAATGAAGTCCACTTTGACAATTTTCTTGACATCTCCCCCAATTTTTGATTCAGTGTTCACAAAAAAATTTGCGCTTTAATATATCTTAGTCCAAATATTGTTATTTTGTAAATACTACCTACTTTAATCTTTTTTTTTGAATATTTAGACACGAATCTTTTGGTTTGAAGAGATGAATTCTCGCGGGGAATTCTCTGCTCGTTCTCTGGAGTCACAGGTAAAAGGGGAACACTTGCACTCACGTCAAATAGCAGAAAGAGCCACTAAAGATCACACATCACATCTATTGAGGAAAAAGGGACTTTTAAAAATTTGTTTACTTTGGCTGAATATATTTTTGGCAGACCATATTGATAAGAAGGATTATTAGGGCTTTGAGGTATAGATGTTTTCAATTACAATGCACAAACTACAAATGCAAGTGTCAGGATCAGCCTGTACCTAAGCCTAGACCCAGTCGAGCACCAGATCTCAAAATGAGACGTAAAACTTTTATCTCTAGCAATAATTATTAATATAAGTCCCGATAATTATTGCTAGGGAAACAAATATTAGACTTGTAAAATGATTATTTAAAATGAAAGACCCTTAGCTTGAAGCACGATCATTTTAAAATACACCTGGCTGAAGCGATTTGTGCTGTAGAGTGCCATGTTTCAATTTTAAGGACTTTTATTGCTGGTTTGCGGCTTTAATCCAGTTGTTCTGCATCCAGTCGATCCGATCGAATAGTCCTTGTTTCTATTTGAAAATGTTCAGTTTACTTGAGAACTTTTTATTTTAAAGTGCTGTAGTGTAAAAAAGTCAATTATAAAGTGCTGTAGTGACACACTGGGACTTTACAGGGTCTTTAAAGAATGAGTTTCAATAAATGAGATCCGAAAGAGTCTTTTCTCTAACTAGTTCGGATTTGATGATAAAAGATATACGAGCAATTACAGAGGCTTTTCTGATTGTTTTAGGACAGCCGGTCAAAAATCAGCATCTCATCCGAAAAATTGATCGAATGATTCTCGACATTCCGGTTGGTGAAAAGAGAATGTTTCAACTTTCACGAAGAAAAAGAATATTTCAACTTTCAGTAATTCGGCGAACCATGTTTCGGTAAATTCGTTGTGCTTTTTTTGTGAATAATCGACCTGTCGACGAATGAATTTTAAGTATTTAAATGCCTTAATTCGATTAAGAGATTCATTTTTTGGCTTTTAAAACTCTTGTCAAATCAGCTATTTTTGCACACTGCAAGCAAAATCTATTTATTTATACAGTAACGACAATAAAATACCCTTTGAAACAGAATCTCACTTCTAGAAGACGGCTTTTTATCTTGAAATATAAATAGCTTTTTATCATCAATCACACTGCTGTTCATCAATTGCAAAACGGGGCCTTTCATGTGATTTTCGGGCTTTATCCGATGGGTCGCTCACCGGAGAGTCGTTGAATGAGTCAAACAAGGAAAAATCTTCGGAGGACGATTTACGAGAAATTGATTGACCCTAAAAAACACTTTTTCCAAAGATTGAACTGAATTCGACCTGAAAAATAGTGCTAAACTTGAAAGGTCGGTTTATCAGGCGCAATCTTCTTTAATATAATTGGAAAGTCCCTCCGTAATCCGTTTCCTAAAACGTGTCTCTTTTTATCGTAATTTTGTCTCTATTTTTATCGAATCTATTCACTCTTTGTATCTTTCGATATCCTTTGTGAATCAGAGAAAAGGTTGGATAAAAATAGAGACAAGAATACGGTAGAAAGGGGAAAGGGGACACGTTTTAGGAAACGGATTCTAGGCTGGGCTATGCTTTTCCTAAAGCATGTTTCAACTTGCAATCTACCCTAACTGTGCTCAGTAATCTAGTGCCATGTGCAGCCATTTGATTATAAGTTTTGAACTCAACCATTTCTGTTTACAGTTAGTAAAGATGGTATCTGTTAGTTAAAAAAACTTTGCGCAAAAAATCATCTTTCAATTTTAACGGCTTTTATTGGCTACTCGACGTCCTAATGTTTTTGTTATGATTAAAGAAATTTCACTTTTCACTTGAACAATTTGAAAGTTTCTTTGAAAGTTTCAGTTTCTTATTAAAGTGATTTTTTAAAGACCTGAGTGGCAGCCTCGAGAAATTCGACGCAAGTGATCTGCCCGAAATTCCGGGCGTCATCGGTGGCGGTGAGTCCCCATCTGGAAAAAAAGGTTTTGCATTTTTACAAATGGAAGAAATGGAACATTTTACATTAACCATAGCTTTTCCAATTAAACAGTCAAGATTTTGAAACTGAACTTTTAAAATCTTTTACTTTTTTTACCCCTTCACCTGTCCTTCACGGTCGCGTCAACCTTGGCAATTGAGACGAGGAATCTAAAGGAAATTTTCTTGAAATGACTTCAATTTGCACTTTACCTAACCATCTCCAAATGTCCCTCACATGCGGCCAAATGTAACGGTGTTCGTTGGTCATAGTCACTCACTGAGAGATCCGCACCTTGCATGTAAAGTCTGTAAGAATTTCTTGATAAAAAGATAGTTTATTTTTTATTGAAATGATAAATCATTACTCATTTACTACTAATCATTACTTTTCGACTACACAATATGCTCTCCTTTTTATTGAAACCGAACTTTTAAAATCAATTGTACCACAGCTTTTCTATTGTGTACTTTGAGCTCCTAAAAAACCCCTTCCTGGCGCACTCAACGAACACTTCGATTTCCCCTTTATGAAATTGAGAATTGAGAAGAATTGAGTGCGCCAGAAGGGGTATGTTTATTTGAGAGCTCAAAGACACCACAATTCAACTCACCGCCTAATCGCAGCCATATCCCCGTCTCGTGCCGCGAAAAGTACTGGTACACATTGATCTCGTTCTCTGGAAAAGCATTCAAGAATTTCTTCATTTTTCAAAAGAATTAGTTGACAATATCAGTTATCTAAAGAAAGATCCTTTTTGAAATACATTCTTCTATTTCTCAATTTCATACTAAGCGAAAATCACTTCCCCTCAAGCCTTCTCCGGGAAACTTTCAAGTAAGATTTTCCAACTGAACTTTAGCAATTGAAACCGATTAGCCAATCCAATTTAATCTGGAAGGGCTCTAGGTTGAAACCCATGAAATTTCAAAGCCATAATTCCCCAACCTTGTATCCCTTCGTCTCGGATCGAATTTTGTGCTTTCCGTGTGCAGTAAACAGTCGTAGTTGTGGAAATTGAACTGTTTGACCAATTCCTAGAATGGAATTCTGCTCAAAGAGAACTGCAAAGAGTAGCTCTAATGTTTTATAGGTTTTTAAAAAGTGAGTTTCATTATTTACGGAACGAAAGAATTCGACAGGCTAATAACGACTAATAACAGAGAATTCAAGGCTTCGAACCACCGTTTGACTGAAAGTCTGGCACTCTGGTAAAAATACCGCAATCTACCGTAACCCTTTACTACAGTACCATTACGTCAATTAGTTTAGGCTACAGTAATCCTTTTGTTCCCTATTGTTTTTTTCTTTAATCGATTTCCTAAAACGTATTCCCTTCCCCCTTTCTACCGTAATCTCGTCTCTATTTTTTATCGAATCTATTCACTTTTTATTTGATTCTGTGAGGGTTCAGAAAGGATATCGAAAGATATAAAAAGTGGTCTAGAAAATGGATTAGAAAGGCATTGAACCTTTGAGAAAGCGACTCCCCGCGACGAGTTTCCCATTTTGTCCAACGGTGGTGACCAGAGAGCGATGCCCATCACATTTGGCACGACCACGATCATGATCCCGGAGACTCCAGATTTCGCTGGCAATCCCACCTAAAGTTGGGTTTGATGTACGTCTAAATTACCATTGCTTGGCTGTATCTGTGACTGATCTTGATAACATTGCGAATCGAAATCTTTTTTCAAATCTAGCCAACTAGATTAAGAGTTAGAATTCAATTTAGAACTTTAACAAAACTTTTGATAACAATTAATTGAATTTAATATGAATTGACTCAACTCTTTACCCATCTTAGAGAGCTTGAAACCAATTTTTACCTTTTTTGTACCTGTTTCAAATGCAAAATATTATCAAATCTACTACAAAACGTACCGAGAACGAGAATTGCCCGCTTGCGTCGTACATGCCTGCAATTTGAATAAAGTCTCTTGAATATTTATGATGGATGTATATGTTGTGTCCGAATCTGAGGAGACGTTCATCTCCGATCCGGACGTCCGAATCTGAGTCGGACGTCCGTTTTAGAGGAGAATGAATCTCCTCAGATTCGGACGTCCGGATCGGAGATGGACGTCTCCTCAGATTCGGACACAACATATATATGATTTGAATTTGGCTTATTCCCTGAGCAATTGGTTCCAGAGCCTTGTCCAATTCGCAACATGAATTAAACAAATTGAAACTTGTAGCTTTATTTTGTTTGTTTTTAGTTTTTAACCGCACCACAAGAATACATCAATGAAAGGACATCACGACAAGCTCCAGGCGCGATACACCGCTCGCCAGTCATCGGGCAAACACCTGCAATTGTGATTTAGGTAGACTATCCAACAGCTGCATTCAGTACGCTATAGTACTACTTGATACAATTATACCGCTCGTTACAGTACACTTTTGGTTGAATCGGTACTTCTCATTCATAACAATCAATCAGTACAAGTTACAGTACCATTCTTACAGTATTCAGTCGTTCCAGTGAGCTTTTAGAAAAGTATCCAACTTCATCAGTTACAGGACACTTTCGGCTACACTACAGTACAATGGAAGAGAGTAAAACAAGTCAAACAAGTCAATCGCAAATTCGTGAACACTACTCAAGTTAAAATTTGGGTTTTTGTTTGATAAAAGGAATGCAAAAGACTGCTGTATCCTTAGAATTTAAAAGTTAATCTTTTTAATTGATTTTTAATGATTAAATGAAGACCTCCATTCGCCAATGTAGCTGCCATGACACTCATCGTCTCGCAAGTTGCCTCAAGGGAGCATAATTGAAAATAGAAATCGAGTGTTTCTGTCAAAGAGGCCACCTAAAGGAAAAAAGGAATTTAATGGCGCTTTTTCTTGGGAACAGTTAAGTTCTTGGTGATTTGAAACCTTTGGGTTTCAAATTTTTCGCCTTCAAACTAACAGACATCGGTTTAATCGATTCTTCCTTGTTTGGACAATGCTACGAAAATTTTTACCAGATAAATTTAAGAAAATTTGTTTTGCGAATATTGGCAGAGCACTGAAATTTTACAGTATCACCTTTATTTGTTCTTGGCTTTAACTAATATAATTAAAAGCCACTGGCTTCAACTTGAAAGACTTCAACAAAGAAAGTTTCAACTTGGAGGAAAGGAGAATGAATGCTTTAGTTATCCGTGTTTGGAAAAGTTTTAAAAGCATTTAATCATGTACTTTTAGCTTTAAATAAATGATTGAAACAAACTCCTTCCGGGAAACATTTGTTTTCTTTCAAAAAGTAGGCGATCGCGTGATTCCGATCGGCGCTCGAGCGTTCGGAAAGAAAACTGTAAAAGAAGAGAACATTTTAGAATATATACTGGAATATATACACTACTGGACAATGAAATATGATATTTGAAAAACGATCGTCACTTTCGCGCGTCTGTAACTCCCTTGTCTTTACCGTATTTCTAAATATTAATATTACCATTGTGTAGCCCTTGAAAAGAGCTTTCAGAAAATGTAGAACACTAATAGTTTAAACTCAAAGACAAGGGAGTTACAGACGCACGAAAGTGGCGATCGTTTTTCAAATATCATATTTCATTGTCCAGTAATGTAAGTGTTGAAAAAAGTCAATGAATTACCATAATTTCTATGACTCACGTTGCATTGTTGAAACCGACAGTCTATTAGTCTATTTAGTATTCAGTCTAGAATAGGATATTCAGTCTAGATTAGCTAGATTACCGTATTTAAACTAGATTAAGGTATTCAGTATAGAATACAGTATGCAGTCTAACCATAATTTCTATGACCCACGTTGCATTGTTGAAACCGACATATTCTCCGCCAGCGATTTTCCTGTATTCTGTTAACACGTGCTCGAAACGATCGGCTGTGTCGAGTTTCGGCTGAATTTTTCAATCAAAAAGATCAAAAAGATCCTTTTAGCTTTGCAAAACAAAGTTTCAAGATAAATAAAAAGAATGGCTCGAAATTGAATCGCATCTACTCACCTGTATCATTGAAGTGACCACAATTGCTCCAGAATTCACCATCGGATTGTGGGGTTTCCCTGGAATATCACTTTTTCTTTGAATTCTACAGTAAACTCGGTACTATGGAATCCAAAGAAAACTACGTAAACGAAATCGAAGTGCATTGTTTGGGTACTTTTTGGGTAGCACAAAGCACATTATTTTGCCTACCATTTGGATCCAAGCAAATCTCGTTGAAGAATCGTCCCGATGGCTCTTGTCCCACGTAGTCGTGCACAAAGTTGGCTCCTGAATTATGATACAATAATTCAATAATTCTAATTTAATATATTAGAAATAGTAGATTCATAGACTTTAAACAAATCTAAATAGCTTATTACAGTCGATTCTCTTTATAACGCAATGGAAGGGATAAAAAAATGTTTCCGTTATATAGAGTGCCGTTATAGATAGCTTAGCGTCGACCGGGAACAAAATTCCATTCCATTCCATTCCGTTATATCGAGTTTTCCGTTATAAAGAGATAGTCGACTGTATTTTCATCATAATTAAAGATGAATCAATTGTTATCAAAGTTTTCAGTAGCTAACCCCTAAAGTTGAAACTTTAAAATCTTATCAAGAGAAATTCAAGCTAATTTCACTTTTTTTGGTTTTTTTAAAAACAACTATACTTAAAACAAAGCTTTTTTCATTTTTTGAGAAATCTTTTTAAATAAAATTTGATGCTTCTAAAATGAACCCAATTCTGAGGCGGCGATCGCGTAGTTGAACGCTTTGCTCACCGATTGCACGCAAAATGGAATCTTCGAGTCGCCCCAAGACGCCTGAATATGCTTATGGTTCTTTAAAGCTTAAAAACTTAAGGTTTAGAGCTTAAAACTTAAAAGTTTAAATTAACGAATTTCTAGTAAAAGATAGAAAGCCGACCTTTTGCCCGTCGACGGTGCAAATTGAAACACCGAACTTCTCCGGATCGCCCCTCGCCAGCTGAGGGATGTACTGAGCGCATTGACCGTCACGAACCTCCTTGCACTAAATATCAAGTTGTTTTGTTTTGTTCTGTTTTAAAGTCTACTTTGATCTCTTCAAATCAAATCCTAATGAACAGACAATGGCCGTTTTTGACAAGCTCACAAAACTTTTGGACTTTGTAAAGTTTCAAATTGAACGGGGTTTTCCATTTTCAAAAAATTTAGTCAGTCGCTTGGCTTGTGCAGTTAAAATAAAGCTAAAATTGTGAGTTTTTTTATAATTTTGGAATTCCTTTCTCATGAGCTCTGCTAAAACGCTGGAAACTAAAGCTATCAGCTAAATCTGATTTTAGAGATCTTGCACTTTAACTTACACTTAAACTTTAACTTGCAAACCATTAGATAAATGTTCTTGATCTTTTCGGTGAAAATCGGCCAACATGGGATGACGAGATTGTTCTGCAGAGCTTGAGAGATCAATGCGGTTGATGGGGAAATGCATCTGGAAAGGAAATCTTTCAATTCTTTCAATTCTCTCAAAATTTCTTTCAAAAGCACTGTAAGAAGTGAGTCTAAATCCTTTAAATTTATACACTTTTAATATAAAGTTTCAAATTTAATTCGTTAAGTGTGTCGTTGAGCTTTCGTAATGAAAATTTCTCTGCAATCTTCCTTAAATCTTCGGTACTTGGCCAACTACCGTAATTCTTCGAATAGAAGACCGGGTAAAGAGTATCATCGCGTACTCCTGCGTAGCAGCCCTTTTTAAAATTTCTTTTCTGCATAAAAGCTTTCAATCAAGTGCTATAGGGCTGGAAAATGGCTCAAAAATCTGTTAGCTCATGTCGTATTTTTGAGTCATTTTCCAGCTCTATATCACTTCATTGAAAGCTTTTATGCAGAAAAGAAATTTTAGAAAAGGGTTGCTACGCAAGAGTACGCGATGATACTCTTTACCCGGTCTTCTATTCGAAGAAATCCGGTATGATATTTCAGAATAAAGAAGTTTACGGTAGTTTCAAGCTAGAGGCCTTCCAATGGAAAAAGGGCTGACTAATCCGTCATAAATGAGTGACACAATACAAATGATGACAAGAGATTAGGCCTTGCATTATCTTACTATCAAAGATATTCAGCTACAAATTTTTTGAAGTTTAACACTTGCAAGTTTCAAGTTTTTTGCAGGTTAATTGCAGCTAGTTGCAAAATAATACAGTCTACTAAAACGCTGGAAACTAAAGCTATCAGCTAAATATGATTTTAGAGATCCTAGCACTTGCAAGTTTCAAGTTTACCGGGTTGATTGTGAGAAAATAGTTATTGATCGTCTGTTTGTCTTACTTATGATCTAGATTGCTTTTTTTTCTTTTAAAAAACGTTTTCTCTAGACGGAGTGATCATTTGGAGTCATTAATCGGGAAAATGAATTGGAGAAATGGATCTGTTTCTCCTAGATCTGATTTAGGTCAAGTCTTTGTATTTATACACATATTTTTTCTAGTAAACTCACAGTCTTAAATTCTTGATTCATTACCGTAACGTTTGCCTATATTGTTTACTATTGTTTTACTCAAAAAGTGTACTTCATTGTCGCTGTCCTATTCGCTGACCCTATTTACACATTGAAAAGGTTTTTAAAACGCATTTTTGAATTGGAAAATGTAACTACTGGACTGCAAGAATTGTTAAAAAGCTGAAGAGCGAAGCGAACAAAAACTTTGAGCTTTGCACTCTTTTCTCTGCCTACTCAATGAATTGATCCTTCGGGAGTTTCCAGTGATTTGGATCACGCATCTCGTGATTCAACTCCTCCTCAAGTTTTGTGAATGTACGAAGCTGGAAATCACTTGGTTTTCTTTGGATCTTTTAAAATTATAAACCCAACCTTTAACATCATTTCCTTGAGTCGGGGATCGTCTCGTCGCAAGCCGAGTCCTTTCAGAACCTAAAGTTTTCAATAATTGAGTTTCAATAAACAAATTAATTGCGTTTTCAATCGAAATTTCACTTTATTTTAGTGATATCATTTACCCTTTTGTTCTATGTACTATTTACAGTAAACGGACAAAGCTAAAGTTTCAAGTAAAGGTTTCCAAGGGAGAGGGCTTTAACTTCATTTTGGCTTTCATGGACGACATAAGCTATAAAGTTCAATTGCAGTTGGTTACTGTAATTCGTGCCGGGGTTACTGTTGCACTTCATTGGCTTAACTGTAGTAAACTATAAAACTACAGTTACTGTCTTCCTGGTCTTCTTTCCTACCGTAATCAATTTCCCAATGGACGCCTCGTTTGTGCCGTTCAGCTTGAATAGATCGAAAACGATGTCCTCTCGACCGCGATTCTCGTGATATGGATTTGAGAGGCATCGAAGGGATTCTGAAAGCGTATGGCATCAAAAATTTTTATAAACTCACCAGATAAATTCTTCGTCGAGCCCTTCTCGAGAATAGCACCGAGTTGTTCAACTAAAAAAAGCAAGTTTCAATTTTGAGTGTATTTGGAGAACTGAAATTTCTCCAGTGAACTCAAACAATAAATCCAAACAATAAACTGTTCAATAAATCAAATAGTTATTGTAAAGATGTAGTAAATCAAGTATTTCTTGTTTCGATTTGATTTAAAGTTTGTGTTTGAATGTTTAAACTTCAAGTGCTGTCCAGTTAATCTAGCTATCATCGGGGTTATACGATTCTTTTTCTAAAACCAACAAAAGCAAAGGTAAATTATTTCAAAAAAATCTTTGCTAAACTTATTATCCCTGCATACAATTGATAAAAACTGCTTTAGAATTAAAATTTGTGAACTCACTCGTTCGATGACTCGGCACCTTGATCAGGGTGGTGTTCGCCTGGAAAGTTGGCTGTTCAAATCACTTGTTATGCTTAAAAACAGTTTTTTTTACTGCACCTGAAACCATCCTCGAGTTGCTGTTGGCGGGGTTGCTTGAGTGGCTGAAAAATATCGAGTTTCAAATTGAAATCAAATTGAAATTGTTTCCAAATTTCAAAATGAAATCAACTTCTGTCTACGTAATCCCGTTCCTCTACAAGATCTCCTTCTAGACCTTTTTATTATTGCAATAAATTCCAAACCAACAATATTCATTGATTTGTTTCAATGAGCTTTTAAAAGCATAGAAAGATGAAAAAGTTCGGTTTCAAGTTTTGAGGCTCTTTTTCTTGAAATCGTTGAACAATGGGGAACACTTCATAAAACAATTCAAAACTCTCATTTTTAGTCAACAAATAAAATATTTTGAATTAATATCTCAGTTTATTAAGCTTAAATGCGTCTTTAATCTCGTTTTTGCTAGATTCTTTGTTGTACTCAGTTTAAGATATCTGTGTTTCAAACAAGTCAGCTTTTCAATGAATTCAAACGCCGTGGGTTCTCATTTCACTCATTCTCGATATGATTGGTGTGCCTCGTGCCCCCCAAATTCCGTGAATATCCCCTTTCTGCCATTCTTCCATTCCATTTTCCCCTCGTGAAGTAATGGAAGAATTGCAGTGCGGTAGAAAGGGGTCTTTACAGGATTTGGAGACCACAAAGTACAGGATAAGACAAGCAAAAAACAGTTTCCTTACTTTGAACAATCTCTGAGGTTCCTGGCTCTTCGATGATGCCCAATCTGAAAAATAACGTTAAGCAAGTTTCAAAGTTTTCTAGTATTCTAGTGAAATGTTGGCAGGAATGGCGGGATTTTCAATGTTGCAGCATAGTTTTTCGTATAGTTTTTAGTACTCGAATTTGAAACGAACCTCTCAATTCGCTCGGAAACAATTTCTTTTGATGTCGGAGTTGGAGACATGGATTGCTAGAAATTTATAATTTTTTAACTAGCTAATATATCGATTACTGATGCACCAAAGTCAGCCAATTTTGATCGGAACTGTGATTTCAGGGAAAAGTTGGCGAGAAAACACAGACGATCGTAAAAAAAACGTTTTCTCTAGACGGAGTGATCATTTGAAGTCATTAATCGGGGAAATGAATTGGAGAAATGGATCTGTTTCAAACATTTTGAAACTTTAAACAACTTGAAAAACTTGAAAAATAGATCTTTCCTCCGCAATTGAGCTGCGCATTGCCCAACCAGAACGTCGAGAGTAAGGCAGAAATTTGAAACACGGATACTCCAAGTCATAACACGCTTTTGGCTTAGGACCCAAAAAAATGATTTGAAATGGTAAAATTCGAGCTGACTAACATTTTAGCTGTTGATATTACTGGTTTCCAGTTGAAACATAGATTTTACCAACGAGTAAACAAAAAAGCGTGTCTCCCCTCAGCTAAAAAGTCCTATTTCAGACAAAACTACTGTAATCTCCTGCCCATTTTTTATTCGATCAGCCAAATTTTGGTATGATTCGATGAGGCAGCACAAGGCTCAGCCAATCATACCAAAATTGAGCTGATCCAATGATCCAAAATGGCGATCATTGTGGATCAAGCTGATCCAAAATGGCGGGTGAATTATGGTAGTTTGTCTGAAAATGGGTGTCTTTCAAAAAAGAGATTAGAGGAAAAGACTCGTACTCAAATCGATTAGCATATAAAATAAAATTCGATAAAATGCATATGATAAGATATTGGTAGAAAACATTGATAAAGCAGAAATCCCCACAAATAGACAGACGGGTTTTCTCGTCTTTTTGTGCAAAAAAAGGGAAATACCAATCTTTTCCCCTTTCTTTTCTCTTTTCCCTTTTTGGCTCAATCGCTAAAGATCGCTCAATTCGGACGTCATTTGATCAATGTTCGGCTGGGTTTTGGCTTGTTTTGCCTTGCTTTGCCTTTTTTGCCTTTTTTGAAACCAAAGAAATGCCAATGATCAACAGCAGTGAAACAGAACTCTCCATTTGATCAGCTCAATTTTGGTATCATTGACTGAGCCTTGTCATTGACTGAGCCATTCCTCACTGACTTTTTCATTCAGCGGGCTGATCGAATGAGAAATGGAGAGTAGATTACCGTAGTTTCGTCTGAAATGGATGACTTTTAGGAAACGAGTGGAATATACTGCTAGCATCACCATGCATCATCACTATGCATGATCACCATGCAACATCACCAATATGCAATACATCGATAAAGCGTTAACTACTTGAAGTGGATACGAGATCGAGAATTAGATCAACTAGCGATTGATGAAACTGTCAGTGTCACAACTGGTTGAATCAGCACATAGGAAAGGACAAATTTCAAAACTATAAACTTGGCAAGCATTTTGTGCAGAGCAATGGAAGAGGGTTGCTATCTTTCAACAAATTTTCCAAGCAAAAGTTCAATAAGTTCTCCAAAAAAATTGCTTAAAAATAAAAGGATTTTTTGAATCGCAATTCATTTTTCTGATTTATGTGCGTAAATAATCGTTCCCCCATTCAAAAATGAATCTCCATGTAACAGAGAAAAACGATTTTCAGAAGTGAAACCATCTCGGAAATTGAATCTTCGAAAGGGAAAACTCCCTCGATCAAAAAGAAAGCGAAAGATCCGTCAAATTTTCGTGTTTCTTTTATTATATTTCAATGCTTCTTCTTTTAACATCAATTTTATGCAATATTGCCTTATCGGTGAGATTTTGAGTCAATTTCAATTTCAATTTTTCGAATTTATGTTTCAACTTTGGCGGCTGTGTTAGAATAGTATTTTGTTTAATCGTCGCTGAGCCTTTTGCGTATGAGTATTGATTAATAATAGCTACACAAAATTGAAGAAAAAGTAGACTGTGGATTTCTTTGTAACTTTTTGAGTTCTTACTGTCAAAGCGAAGTTTTCCAGCAATACGATTCTTTTATCGATCTTCGAAAGGACACTCTTTTCAACGCGGAATCCGGAAAACGATGGCCCCGAAGTACGCCAATTCCGTTTCGATTCGATTTCGCAATACGTGAGTGATTGTGAAATTGTTCGATTTAAAAAATATTTCATGTAGCTTAATATGTAAACCTTGGAATTTAAACGAAATTTAAATTTTTTTTATTTTTTTTTATTTTATTTTATTTTATAAATATTTATTAAATAATTAAATATAAATAAATTTATTAAATTTTAAAAAACAAATTCAAAAGTATTGTTGGAATTTAAGCGATCCGCTAGTTGAAGAAAGTTGAAACTGGCTTTTCTTTCTGGCCAAGATCTAGCTTCTTTGCTTTTTTGATTAGCTGAATATTTCAACAAATAGCACATTAAAGCCTTGAAAAAGTTTGAGAGTTGAAAATTCTGATAATTCTGACAAATATAAATTATATTGACGATGAATAGGCTAGAATAATTCCGATTTTAGGCTTGAAGTGTTGTTATAATGGACTACTCAAAAAAATACACAAATTTCGATACCCATGTTTAGCTTATTAGTTAAACTAATGTATGGTCCTATCACAGAAAGCCATAGCATCCAAAACTTCTTGAATTTCAGATCTCCCGAGTCGTCAAAAAATCCGCCGTGTTCTCCGCTTCATCGAGGAGAAAAGCTGTGTGCGCTTTGTGGAAAATCCGAGAAATGCGAATTTGAATGTTCCAACAGTTCACGTGATCAATGTTCGTTTCGGTGAACAACGGATTTAAATTGAGGGATTGGGGAATTATTGAATGAGTTAGAGTAAAAGAGTTACAATAAAAGAGTAAAAGTCGTTACGTTAAAGTTCGTTAAAGAGTTACAGTCTTACAAAAAGAGTTACAGTAAAAGTCGACAAATTATGAAAAATTATGATAAAATCCATGTCAACTAGGCGTTAAAATTGAAATATTCATTTGAAAAAGAAGAATTTCGGTGTGTTTCTGTTTCAAAGTTTTTCTGTGCTCAAATAAAATGAATTCTATTCTAATTCTAATGTCTAATGTGAACCGTAATAACAAATGTTTCAAGTTAGGAAATGTTAAAGCTGCAACAGTTTGTGCAATGACAAACAACTTTCTTTCGACCAGTTTCAACCTGAAAGCAATAATCTTTTCACGAATGATTGGTGAAAAATAAAGTTTTGTGTACTTTGTGCTGTCTCAAATCCCGTAAATACCCCCTTTCTGGCACGCTCAATTCTTCCATTTTCCCCTCATGACATCAGATTGTTGCTGAAAATGGAGGCGTTGAGTTCGCCAGAAGGTGTGTGTTTATAGGGATTCGGAAAGCACAAAGTACAATCGATGGCTGCTTTTCCAGGATCGGACTTGTTGGTCACGTGTGGGCGCACATTTCGACTCAAACGAACAGAACTTGTCGATTCCGTTTGGGTGCACTGATTCTGTGGGTTTCATCTTTAGATGACTTTTTTTCAAACTGAGTTTTCTAAAACCGAAATCTTTGTTTAGTTTGGTGTGGTCGCCCACGAGATCTTTCATTTGCTCGGCTTTGAACATACTCAGGTAAATTTAGTCCTTTAACATTGCCTTAGCAATTCAAACTGAACTAGGATTTCAGACGCGAATCGATCGAAACAATCACATCAAAGTGAACGAGTCGAATATAAAGCCAAAAGAGCTGAGTCAATACGAGATTGTGAGTGAGAAATGTTGGGTTCTATTTTATTGAAAGAAATACTTTTGTAAGTCTAATTCTTCTATTCAAGTATAACATTTCAATAAATTTATTTTTCATACCAAAAATAAACCTTTAAACGTTATAGAAAAGAATGCCGGCTAATTAAATTTCTAATTTTCATTAATTCATCTCATTTTGAAACATAACATTTTAATTCAAGCAAATTTGTTTTCGAAAAAGATTTCAATGGCAAAACTTAGCATTTACGTTAGATTTGATCATGTTAAACGCTTACAATTTCTATTGATCCTATCAATCTTGAAACACGACTTTTTAGCACGAGGATCTCCCATCAATCGTCTATCGTTTTCCGTATGAATTTGGCAGTGTTATGCACTATGCGGCTTGTGAGTGCTTAATCGAAAAACTGAAAGAAAATCTGTTAAGGTGAATATAAAGGAGTAGCAACGAGTTAATTCTACAAACTTTCTCATTTAATTCATTAAATTTCGAACTTTCGACCTCGATTTAACTCTGAGACTTTTGAAACTCTGAAAGTTTGTTAAAAAAATATTTCTATTAGTAGTATTACAAAATAGAAACTGATAGAAAGATGCTAAAACACCAAGACTAATCCATAATACACTTGATTTATCTAGAATACCTTGAAACTTGCACTTATTTAGATGGAAATTCACTTGACGCCGATCATCCGACGATTTTGCCGAAAAACCGTGATTTCATTCGAACAATCGGACAACGGGTCAACGATTATGTCTATTTAATATCTATTTAATGTCTATTTAAAAGCTAAAACTTGCTTTTTAGCTAAAGCTAAGAGCTAAAGCCAAACTTTAGAATAGCAAAACGTTTTCAGCTTCGAATCTCTTTCCTCGACTTACTCCTTTTAAACGAATTTTATGGATGTTTCGGTAAAAAAGACTTGAAAACATTTGAAACTTTTACTTTAGATCCATCAAAATGCTTGGAGATAACGTGCAAAAATGGTGGAGTGCCGTTGAGCGAAAGGCAAGTAAAATAAAGTTTTTCCAGATTAACAGAGAGTAAAGGGCTCAACCTTGTTTGATATTGAAACTTGACTTTTTTTTATCGTGTTAAATACTGTAGAACTTATATTACATTTCAAATAGTTATAACCATTTAAGTATGAGATGGAAAAACTTTTTTTTTAGAAATTGCTCATGTTTTTGCCCAAAAGGCTTCTCTGGAGAACGATGTGACGATGTTGAGCCAGCTTCTTCAAAGAATCCCAATTGTAGTACAGTTTTGGAGGTGAGATTTTGAAGAATACCAAAAAAATTTTACCAGGCTGCAACCGGACTTGTCAATTTCCAGATTCTGAATGAAAATCGGCTTACTTTTTGATGATAAAACTGGCGTATTTACAGGCAGATTCCCATTGGAAAGCTCATAAAGTCGAGCTCGATTCGGGCGTGCGCAACAACGGGGAAAACCTCTTTCAACCTGAGGAGTGCTGGGTGCATTTGGAGGTTTGTAGTGCAGTGGACAAGTTTTATTTTTTTTAAGTTTTTATGCCAAGTTTGTTCAGGCACCTCTTGGCCATCAAATTGAAGTGAGGTTCGTCGAGTTTTCGGGGAAATGCGACCACATTTGCTCGCTGAACGGCGTCGAGTTGAAAACGAGGGATTTTGAGATGACCGGGTTACGGTAGGAGAGTTGCAAAAAAGACAACTTGTAAGAGAGACAAAAGTGGATAGAAAGAGATAGAAATAGAAAGATTACGGTAGAAAGGGATGGAAGGTAGAAGATCGATAAAAATAGAGTCACGTCGATCTTTGTTTCAGCGATTGTTGTGCTGAATTGCTTCTTTCGAAAACGTTCACTTCGTCGAAAGAGCGCTTTGTGATCGGAGCATTTGCTAGGAACAATGCCACAATCTTCTCGTTTCAATTTCGAAGTGGTTAGTTCAAGAAAGTTTCTCAAGTTTCAAACTTTTACAATGTCGATCTTGATTTGAGATCGTAATAACCGTAAAGTTTATTTGAGCGTTTAGTGAGACGGGAAATCGTCGACGAAGTCATTCAATTGGACAATCAGATTTGAATGAAGTCCGTAATGAAGCCAAAAAACCTTTCCAATGTTTTAAAGTTGAATAAAAATTCTCTACAGATATGAAAATGTTTAAATGGAGATAGAATAGACTTTCTAAAAGGTTGGAGAAAAATCTATCGTATCTCTGCTATTCCTTTTTGGCACCGGAGTACGGTAGCTTTCAACAAGTCGTTACAGATTGTTTTTTGACTAATTTTCGATATATTGATCTGATGCTTGAGTCATTGAAAACTCCCAGTGACATAGTGACAATTTCAAAAGAAAACATTTCCCATTTATTCACAGATACAAAGATTTGTGCTCTTGTTTGAAACATTTCCCGTTTCCCCTCCTTTTTCACGTGACTCTCACCAGCGATGGCGGATGGAATTGCTGAGTTTTCCCGGCCGAATCATTCTGACTGCTCGCATCGATGAAACGCTCGATGCAGAGCGTTCCCATCGCCGCGTTTCGGATTTTGCTTGCCTGGAAATTAAATAGTAAGTGAAATGCTTAATCTAGTCTAGTCTTGCCAACTAGTCTTGCCTTTAGTTTCCCTTAAAATCTCATTGTCAGCCGAATTTTGTGCTAAACTATACCTTAAACCTTAAAGTTTAGCTTTACAAGTTTCAAAGTATTTAAGCTTAAAGCTAAAAGTCGATTTACAAAATAGTTTCAAAGCAAGAGTTGTTCTCGTAACTAAACTTTTTTCTAAAAGGCACCAATTTCAGCTACAGTACGCCGGATAAAATTTTCAAATTAGATGGCGTCAATTTTGTCAATTGGACTCTAATCATCTTCCATAGTGGAACTCTAGTATCTAGCTTTCGTTTAAGAATCTGAAAACTTCTGGCACAGAGCTTCTCCAACAGTTAGACACATTGAAACATGGTTTTTTATGGGTTTAAAGATTTGACTTATACCTAATTGTCTTACGATACTTTCCCCAAAACCTACCCTAACCAAAGCGATCAACGGAATCAAAAGCGTTGTCCCTATCACAGCGTAGATATTCGCCGGCTTCGTGAACCAAATCGGCAAGACGTACCCTGGAAAATGATTACTGGTTTACTATGGCTTACTAGTTGTGCTGATCTCCCGAATTCTTTTTCTCGACCTAGCTACAGTAACGAAATGTTTTGAAAAACACCAAAATATAGAACCGTTTCCAAGGTTTCAAATTGACCCTGGTGCTGGAGTTGTTAGTTAGCTCCATAATAATCTAGTTCATTCACACTATAATTAGACCCAATGCATCAGCCCATATTCCATAGTACCAGGGCTTGAAGCTACAGTACAATTACAGTAATACGTACCGTAAATACTGCAATAGTACCCCACCCCCCTCGTACAGTCGGGTAGTCGTAAAAGTTTTTTCGTATTTCATTTTTTTCAAAGCGCCCGTACTTTCAAAAAATGCGTCTTTGGTATCAAAAAATAGCCCTGAATTTCAGCTATTTTTTGATACCTAAGCGCGCATTGTAGCATAAACCAGTGTCGAGAAAAACGCGTTCAAAGCTAGACTACGCAACGCTCCGCACCGTCATTATGGGGGTGGGGCAATATTACAGTATTTACGGTAGGTGTTTTACATCACTTGAAACTCACAATTCGAGATCACGCCCAGATTCGAGATGACGAAGAAAGTCGTGGCCAGAAAGGGGACCCAAGACTGTGTGTAGATTACGGTGGCCAGTTGACGATCGTTGACACGAGCACCTGCAAATAAAACTATCAAGCCTGCCTTCTAACTTCTAATAAAAAAACTTGAAACTTCAGGATTTTTCCACCTTGTTTTTGTAGACTCGCCACTTTAATGAGCGTCAATTTCCCGAAGAGAACTCCCGACGCGCTGACGAGGAAAATGTACATTGTGTAGAGCTGAAAAAAAATCCTGATCAACCAGCAAAAACGACTCGGCTATGAGCGCTAAAGCGTGACTCAGTTACCGTAGTCCTTTTCAATTTACAGAAACCCAAGAAGTAGTAAACTAAAGCGCTACAAAAACCAAAAAGTCAAATATAAAGAGCTAGACTGGCTACGGTAGTTAGGAGATACGATTGAGCGGCTACACCTAGACTATAGTATGGTGATTCGGGGCTGGTTATGGCAACTGGGGTGTCACTCAAGTTCTCAAGTAAAAGTGTGATTTTCTTCATCTCTTGTAACTTTGCTTTAAAAGCTCACCTGTGGTATTGGCGTTAAATTCACGTACAACCAAGATTCGCAAGTGTCATTTTTCTGGGGAGTGCCGATGAAAAAGGACAAAATGTCGACAATCATCTTAAATATTTCATGGAAGAATTGAGTGCACCAGAAAGGGGATGTTTATAGCGATTTGAGAGAGACAAAGTACAAGACTTACCATCGGAAAGTACACAATAACTAGCGTGAGAATCGACATTCTCAACGATGAGTGCTTGTTGTGAACGATGAGGAGATAACGATTGAAGGAAACCACCTGAAAGAGATTCAGATTCATCAGAACAATTAATGAAAGTAAAACTCACACTTGGTACAACGAACGAGCAAAACCATAGCGACAATGTGGACACCTTGAAGAAAGTGCACCAAAAGAGAGTGAATTTAAAGTTTCCATTAGTGATCTCCATTCCGATAAAGATCATCACATTGTACCAAACGATTGGAGTGGCCGTGAAGAAGCATCCGAATGTGATGAAAGTGAGCGTGTTCTGGAAAATAGTTTGAAATTTTCAAGAAGGGCCATCATCAGTGTCAACGAGTTACATCTAACATTCGGGGAAATTGAAACTTGAAAATTTCAATTTCTCGATACAACTCTGCAAATGGGTTTACTGGTTTAGTTTACTTTGAAAACTGATTTCAAAGTGCCAAAAACGAACCTGATACTCGATCAGAATTTTTCGGTGAAATAATAGCAAAAGACAGAGAAATCCAAGAATCGCCACACACGGGAGACCATAAATCTGAAGGGGGAATTGGTGTTGACAAGGATTTTAATCTCTAAAAAGCATTAGATAATTTTTCATAGTTGATTTCGCAAATTTGTTTGTAAACTGAGGCACGCTTCAGAATTAGAAAAATGTTTGCAGCTTCGAGGTTAGCTTCATTGAAACATTAGTTTTCTAAAAGGCACCTCTTATAGAGAAACTACTATAATCCGCCGGCTAGTTTTCATTGGATCAGCCCAATTTTGGTATCATTGCCTGAGCTTTGTGCTTCCTCACTAAAAACTCGATAATTTGTTCACTCACCGTCACCTCTTCGGATGGACCCCAGAAACCCAGAGCGATCTGGGTGGGTTGACCGTAAAAAGCTGCAGCCGGAATGATATTGCCCATTTTTAGAGAGGAATTTGCCTGAATATTTCGAAAAAAAGTACTGTATTTATTAAAAGCGAAATGAAAGGTGATAAATATTGCAAATAAATGGGTAAAATAATTGGCATTAGTCATCAAGATTTGCAAGAGGAAAAGAATAGGTGCCAAAGACCATCGGAAATTGGCTTATTACCCTAATTTTCTTATGTTTTTTTTGCAAATAAGCAAAAAAAAACTAGGCTTTAGTTTTTTGAAAAGAGTCATCTTTTGCTTAGATTTACTTTATGAGGTTTACTGGACTTGTACTTTTTATGTACTAAAAGATGTACTTTTTAAGTCTTAAGAAAAACCCTGTTTCAAAATATTCGGCTACAAGCTATTCTGGAAATGAAAAGAAACGAAACGAAGGGAAATGGAAGAATCGAGTGCACCAGAATGGGGTTGTTTACGGGATTTGAGAGCTCAAAGTGCACCGTCAAGTAAGATGAGTCATTTTTGATTCAAAATTCAATTCAATTCAATTCAATTCAATTCAATTAACTTCAAAATTCAAAATTCAAAAATTAACAATTAAAAATTCACTCAAAATTAGCGTTTACCATGTGCATTTGAAAGTTTCTCACAAATTTGACACAGCTTCGAAAGGAACCAAAAACCCCGAATTCTCTTTGTCATCACGATCGTGGGAATATCGTAAAAATCCCGAAAAACGTTATTTACCAAAATTTTAAATCCTCGTTTTTTTGTGAAAACCAACTTTCGTGTCCTTTCTAGCTGGCTTTTTCCTCGAAAATTTGCGTGTTTCAAAAGAAATCAAAAGAAAATTCGAAACGGAAGCGTTTTCCTTGGTTTTACAAAATTTCCTTGAGATTTTAGGCTAAAAATAAATGTTCCAAAATTTCTGTTCCAAAACTTCCAAAACTAACTTCCTCCAGTCTGGGTACAAGCACTGAATGTTTGAAAGAGGATTTTTCGAAAACCGAGAAAAATGTAAATAAAACTCAAGCTTTTTTTTATACGTCAAAAAAGTTGAAACATACGGGCACACTGTGATGGAGTTTGAGACTTTAGATGCCTTTCTGAATACGTAAAAATCGTTTTAAAAGTTATTGCACAAGAAGTAGACAAGGATTAGGTACTTTTCTTTCAAAGAGTAACATCTATAATAATAAGTGATCCATTTTCTCCACTAAATTACACTTCCTTTGTTGTGCTTCTAAGGGCCAAACTTGAAACTGCCTTTTCCGATCCAAAGCCTAAGCACAAAAGGCTCATTATTATCTAATCTTTAATGGAAATCATGATCAAATATTTACCAATTCAATTTCAACAAGTTTACAGAGTATAATGAAAGCTCACGAGTTAAGAAACGGAATATTAGTGGTGCTAACCCACCTTGAATCTTTGGCACTTTGAAACTTGCTTTCTCAAAATTGACTTTTGCTGCGTGCTCGTGTTCAGGCTTCCTGTATGGAATCTAATCTTGATTCAAAAAGAGAAAAAAGTGCATTAAAAGTGATCTGGGTACTTGAACTTGAGCTAAGCTATGAAATTTACAGAGAAAAGGCTTCAAGTCTACTGGCTAAAAGCTGGGTAAAGGCTAACCAAGTTCTAGGTTCAGTTTCAGAACAATGATTAGGTTCAAATTCAAAAAAAAACTAGCAAGCTTTTTACTTATTATTTAATAAATAAACAACCTTTCAACATCAAAAAGCCCAAAATTCGCAGAAAACCCGATTTTGTTCCTGATTTTCCTGATTACTCAAGAAAATGACTACAAAAAAAGCTTCCAGACGACCCACAGGCTGAATTTTTTCGCGTTTTTATGGGAAAGTTTTGAGAAAAATCTTAAGAAAGTTGGGTTAAAGACTTTAAAGATTTCAATTTGCAAATTGTGTTTTCCATTGAGGCTAGAGGTTTCTCAAATTAGTTTCTCTACAATAAAACTTGAGCTGAAAACTTTGAAACTAATAGATTTTAAGTACTTTAAAGCTAAGAAAAGCGCAGAAGTGAAAGCTAGAGTTCCATCTTAATGTCAGTTTTGAATCCTCTTTGGAGAGGATTCAAAAATGATTCAAAACTGAAATGCAAAACTTTTACAGATGAACTTTTGTAATACCGAAATGCCCGGCTTTTTCTAGAGTTTTCAGGTTGAAAACCTTTCAGTTTCAAAGTGTCTCCCTTGACTTCTAGATGAAATATTTAAAAATAAACTTGAATTAAAAACGGAGAACATTTAGCTTTGCAAATCCAAAGCCAAAGGAAAAAGTGGAAGGGTGAACAGGCTTTTCGCCTTGTATTCTAACCCACTGCCACGCTTTTCACGCTGAAAACCTTTCAGTTTCAAAGTGTTCGGCTTCTAGCTCAGACAAAACAATTTAGCACATTAAACTTAGTTTTTAAAATTTAGTTTTTAGTTCATCACTTATTTAGGTTGTCAATTTTGAAACCAACGCTTTTGAAAGTCTTTAGATGGATATTATAAACTCAAAAGTTTCAGATTCATAATTGGAAAAGCAAGAAATTCATCTATTATATTGTTTTTTTAATTTATGCGGAAAAAAAATGGAAAACTTTTTGCTCTTTGGTTTACTCAATGAGGAAATTTTCCAAAGCTACAAAAAAATTCCGGGGTTTTAGGCTGTAATTCTAGGTATTTTTTCTGTATTTTCTCATCAAATTACGAAAAATCTAGATGAAAGTCTGGTTTAAAATGGAGAATTTTGAAAAATGTACTTTTAGATCTTCACCCGACATTTTATGCATTCTGCTCTCCGAATCTCTCGTAAACACCCCCTTTCTGGCGCACTCAATCCTTCCATTTAAGAGAGCTACAAAAGAGAAATATCAGAAAATATCAGAAATCAACTTACGAAAAATCTAGATGAAAGTCTGGTTTAAATGGAGGATTTTGAAAAATCCAGACTGGCGGTGTACTTTTGGATCTTCACCCGAAATTTGATGTATTCTGCTCTCCGAATCTCGTAAACACCCTCTTTCTGGTGCACTGAATTCTTCCATTTTCCCTTTACAGCAACGAGGCGCCACGACGGAAAATGGGAGAATTGAGTGCGCCAGAAAGGGGTGTTTATGAGATTCGGAGAGTACAAAGTAAACCCCAAGTCTACTTCCGGTTAAACCTAGATTTAATGTTTCAATGTTGACGGCCACAAAAGAGCAATATCAGAAATTTCATGAAAGAAAGGTTGTGTTTACGTAATTTGAGACAGCACAAAGTACATCATTTTAGTTCTAATAACAAGATTCAAACTTATTGTTAGATGATCCATTTGCTCACACTATTACAGCTGTTTTGCTATGATCCTAGGCGCCAAATTTGAAACTTTATTTTTTGAGAATGGTCTTTTCATTAAGAGTTTTTAAAAAGTGTACCCGGAAGGTCGAAAAATGTTTCAAAAGATGTCTTTTTTTATAAAACTCAGCTTTTTTTTGCTTTCTGCAGATGTGAGCAAAGTTCTGGAAGGTAATAAGCCAAATAATGATCGTCTTTGAAACGGGCATTTTCTTTTCTCTTTCAATTCTTGACAATGTTGATGAAAAATGCATGAATGATTTCAAATTTGTTTTCAGACATCGAAAACACATTTTTAATTGAAAGTCGACTCTAATTTTGAACAAATAGAAACCAATCGAAACCAAATTTGATTCTTGATCATTGATTGAAAAAAATTTAAGGAAATAAAGATGTAAACACAAAAAATAAACAAGAAAAAAAAGAGTGATGTCGCTAGTTTTTTTTGTAGTCGTTGCTATGAAAAAACGGAAAAAAGCACTGATTATTTTCCCAGAAGTGTTCCAATTTGAAAGTAGAATGTTTAAATGGTCAGTTTGGTCAGGCTATGTTAGAGGGAATACACTTTTCTAAATCTTGTCTCTATTTTTTATCCAATCATTCACTTTTTGTATCTTTCGATATCTTTTTGTGAACCTCAGAGAATCGGATAAAAAGCTGATAGATTGGATAAAAATAGAGGCACGATTATGGTAGAAAGGGGGAAGGGGAAACACGTTTTAGGAAACAGATTGGAGAAGAGACTACACGACGCTATACAGGGTGCGCCAAAAGTTCCCGTACTTGTATCTTCTGCATTTTTGGTAATTTTAGATAAAAGATGCGATTTTAAAAGTAAGAAATTCGAATTCCTCGCGAAAAACTGATTTAGAAAACGTTTCTGGTTAATTTATAAGTACAACGCTATTTAAGACAAGTCAGTGAGAAGAGGGTCCACTCAGGAGCGCTTTGGTCGCACAGTTATTTCCTTTGATGGAAATTTGCATGGGAAAACCAAGTTCTAACTCGGTCGTTGACCGTCTAAATCTTGTCTCTATTTTTTAGCCAATCATTCACTTTTTGTATCTTTCGATATCCTTTTGTGAACCTCAGAGAATCGGATAAAAAGTCGATAGATTGGATAAAATTAGAGGCACGATTACGGTAGAAAGGGGGAAAGGGGATACGTTTTAGGAAACAGATTGGAGAGACTACACGACACTATAGAAATGGTACGAAATAGACTTCGGAAAACAAAACTTAACCAAAATCAAAACTACCAAAACCAAAACCATAACAAAACCAAAACCAAAACAAACCAAAACTCGCCAATATCTCGCGACTGGGAGGAGCTAGCGAAAATCTGTTTGCAGATTTGAAATCAGCATGCAAAAATCTATCCCATAGGCTATTTTTTGTTTCGAAATTTCGAGGTCGTGTTTTGGTCGATGAAGTGATCGATCGATCGGCCCTTTTTTCGGCCGCGAGATTTTGTGGAATGAGAAAAAGTGAAAGGCAAATTTGCATTTTACATTAAGATTTGCATTTTACAATTTTAAATCAACATGTTAATTTATATGCAAATTAAGTTTTGGTTTGTTTTGGTTTTGGTCTGTTTTGGTTTTAGTTTTGTTTGCCGAACTCTAGTACGAAATGATGAAATGATGAGACTACAGAAATGATGCAAAGTACTATAGGTATGTATAGCATTGAATTTCAAATTGCAACTAATCTTTTAAATAAAGTGAAATGCTCAAGTTGTCAGATGGTGAATAAATTGAATATTGACGTTGATGAGTACTGAAGTACTATACTACTAGTACGTTGATGAGTTTTATACTAAATGCGATTCACTAATTTCGAAACTATAAGAATCCAAGTGACCGGTAAACACCCGACTAAATCTCGTGATCCCTTCAATCGTTCATTTTACATTTGGTATCAAAAATAGTAGAGATTTGGGGCTTTCTTTTCGTATATAAAACATGATTCTATTCAAAAACGGCACCGAGTAGCGAATCTTTGAAAGTTAGTGACTACGCTTTGCTACGGGTACTCCCTATTAATTTATGTCGGAAATTTGCACTTAAACGAGAAGTAAAGCAGAGAAGCCGGAAAGAAAATTAATTTCTATTTTCTTGAGAAGCATCAACAACTTCTTCTGGTTCATTACCAGCATAGTGAGTTTTTTTAAATTTTTGTTACTTTTTGAACATTTGACACTTATAACTAGATTATTAAGCACTTAACTTGTTTTTTTCATTGAAAATGTCACTTTTCACTACGGTTTTTACCCTTTACCTACAGTTTTGTCATAAAATTTGCACACGAGCCTCATTTCGTCTTGTTTTTTTTCACCGATCACCAATAAGGTGCACCCATTTCACCCAAAAAGTGAAAATTTATCGTTTTATCGTTATATTTATCGTTATGGTGTACTGCTTTAGCTAAGTGCAAAAGAAGCTATCATTGGCGTAAGAAAAATATAAAAGTTCAAACTATTTTAGAAATAATTATTTTTTATCTTTTCAAAGTTGTATCTTCATTCTTTAGAACTCTCTGTGTTCACCATTGGATGCGGCAAAAAGAAGAAAAAGGTGGGAAAATTTTAATGCTATTTTTTGACGTTGATGTTTTCAAAATTGATGAAAACTTTTCGATAGCGCTTAAATTGAGTCGATTGTAGCAAAGAATCTTTTAATTCATCTAACTTTTTGTAAAGTTCTTAAGTGAATACTCTTTGATCTAGTTGATTGTCTTATTTTAGCCAGCAACTGCTGAGAAACCGGCACCCGCTTCAGCCAAGGCGAAGATAGAGGCGAGTTTTTGAATTGTTTATGGTTGAAAGTTGATTGTTGATTATCGATTGTTGATTATTGATTATTGTAAAATAGTAAATTTAGAATTGGACTCTTTGATAGCATTGCAACATCTTCCATCTTACAAAAGTAGTTAAACCTCAGCAATGCTATTTTTTTAGAACCAGGACGTGGCGTATGTTGCCGAAGGACCCAAGCTACTCGGAAAGTCGAATGTGAAGCATGAGCTCTCCAGTGAGTTATTTTATGATCAGATGTTGGAGTTTAAGTGTGGTCCCATCCTAACTTATCCTGTTTTTTAGAGAAACACATCACCGAGGGCGAGAAGGCGCCACCAGAAGGAGCTGAAGAGAAAAAGTAAAGAAGCAAGAGGTGAGCATTTTGAATTGAAAACTAAACAAAGTATGAATTAGTCTTTAGTTCTGATTCAGCACTAATGAGCTTAACTTTTGCTATGTTAAATTAATGAATGACTTTAGATCGATCACTTCATCCAATTCAATCAGATGCCCATCAAGTCAACTCTTCTCCAGCCACATTCGTCTACATTCTTTATCGATTGCCTTTTCTCGTTTTGTGTCCCGTTTTGTGACAGTTTGTTTCTTGAATTGCCCTTCTCTTCTTTTTTTCCTCTCCATTTGCTTTTCCGAATTTTTCTTTACCGCTTTGGGACTACAAAAAAATTGTTCAGTGTTTTTTTGGTAGTGGCTGTGAATTGGTAAAAATGAGATCTTTTTGAGCCAGTCAACAAATGGACGGTCGATTTTGTTGTTGTTAAACGCAAAAGGAATCAAATATTGTAGCTCAGAGAGTACGGTAGCGGTACATATAAAATTTACAAAAATCTAGCTGCAGCAAGTCTTCATTTCAAGCTACACTACCCCAAAAGGTCTGTAATAGGGAGTGTCGGCGTACTTTACTTAGGCAAAAATGGTCAAATTTTTAACGTTCAAACTGAAACGGGGCCAGTCCCGAAGGGACTGACCTTATTCCACCTTTTCCATATTACTTCTGCTCATCTATAAGTTTCTTTTAGACGATGGTGGATGTAATTCTACTGTAGCATTGCCTCAAAGAACACTATGAGGGTCTGAAAGCTTATATATTTAAACATTATCATTCAAATGATACAAAAATTACGTCAAATAAAAGAAAATGAGTTACGCTCAAAAGTATTCATTTGCTATTGGCTTCTAGTGCTTCTATTCGTCATTCACCGTCATATCTTTTAACGCTCAACTTTTAGGGACAAGTTGATTCGGATCAAGCCCTGAAGGTAACTCTGTATTGCTCTGTATAACTCTTTTATGTTCTTTTTTTTTAGTCTAAGCCAACTACTTGCATTCCGGATAACGAAATAGTCAACACCGAGCAGACGCCTTTCGAAAATGTCAGTTGTTTTTAGTTTTAAGAATTAGTTTGATATTTCTTTAACTTGTTCATTGATTGTTTTAGGATATAAACGCGGCGCATGTCCACGAAAGACCCAAGGAACTCAAATCAAAACCCGGTCATAAAGAGGTGGGTATACTGATTTTTTAAAAATCTAACAACCATTACTAGACTGCCTACAGACTAAGTGTATTACGGTACTACAATACTTTAAACCTTAACTATAATTTTTTTTAGGATTACAAGAAGAAGAAAATTGATGAACACTACGAGAATCTCGAGATGTCTCCCAGCCATGGCGAAGTCGGGTCCACAGACGGTCGTCCCTCCGCCACCTCCACCGACCGGCGGCGCAGGACAGATCTACGAGAACATCTGAGAACCTCTCCCTATGAATATGAAATATGAATTCAACTTATCAAATTTGCATTTATGCTTGCGGGGATCCATGCTCGCATCTAAAATCGATATTCTTTCTACATTCCAACAGTGGGTTTTTCTTATTCCACCTTTTCCATATTACTTCTGCTCATCTATAAGTTTCCTTTAGACAATGATGGATGCAATTCTGCAACTACAACTGCTCGGATTCTTTGTAACGCTGGTGATGTCTGCTTCGATACTACTCATTTGTGGGGGCAAGAAAAAGAAAACGGCGAGGATTTTGATTGATTAAATCTGGGAGCGGACTAGAAAACATTTGGAAACACGATTTCTTGTGTTTTAAACTTTATTAATATCGCTGTTTTAAAAGCCTGATGCTAAAACCGCAGCTAGCATTAATCTACGCTAACGCTAATCCATAAACCTGGCTGCTCACCTTACTAGTTAAAGTGCTATGCTTTTCATTAGCATTTTATTTTAGGAACCGGCGCCTGTTCGAGCCAGGAGGATCAAGTCAACGATTGGACGAGTCGACCACAAGAATCCGCCTCCCGGGAAAGTCAATCAAGAAGTGAAAGCACCGCAAAACGAGAAGCCAGCCGGAGACAAGGAAAAGGTAAATGAAGCGGTTGCATATTTTTGAACTTGATCTTGTTTTAGGAGCCTAGAAGCGGAAAGGCTGAGGGAACGGGATCTCAGAAGAACGTCGAGGAAAAGGAGAAAACGACAAATGTAGAGTTTTAGTCAGTTACATGTTTACTATTGAATTTTAGACCCCACTCAACCCAAAGAAAGATATCGGAAAAGATGTGAAAGCGCCGGCAAAGGAAGAAGAGAGACCACGGTCTGCTAAACCGGTAGGCTCTATAATTTGTGCAAAAGAGATTTTGGAAAGTTTACAGGTTGAGAAGACGAAAGAACAAAGCTCGGGAGGAGGAGACGAGCATCAACAATTGGTTTCGAATCCCTATTGCACACAGGTAATATTTTGGTCATCTTTATAAAATTGTGATCAAGTTGTAAAGGAGGTCGTGTTTTTAGGTAACTGACGAATTCCCGACTATTGAAGGAGCCGAAGGCGCGGTCCCATCGCCAGCAGAAGAAAAGGACAAAGCTGGAACCACGCAGGTGAAATGCTTTGTGCTAAACTCGTTAAATTTTAAAGTAATTTTGTTCTAGTAGTTGCCCTCACGCGAATCCCTCAAATTTTCTTTTTAGCAAACGCAAAGATTGGATAAGAAGTAAGGCTTTCAACGATCGCCTAGCCTAACTCGTGGAGTCAAAAAGTTGAACCCTTTAAAATTGCGTTCTTTGTTTGCCCAATGAATTGTTTGTTTGGGTCTTGAATTGTTTTGAACCTAATAAACTTTATTAAAATGTTTCTAGAATGTTTCTTTTTGTTTCTAAATGGAAAATTCTAGGCTGGTACCAAATACGAAAACACCCGGGCGATTTCTCCTGGGCGGATACTTTGATTCTACACGAGTTGTACTTTGAAGTTACACCCCCAATTTTTAGCTACTATCAGAGAACTTTACCCGTCTTGTACAAAGTATTTCCTTCAACAATTCTGTGATGAGGTTACTGTAACTCATACTCACTAAAAGGTATGGAATATCAAGATTCTAGTTTCAGATAAAGTAATCTAAATGAGGAATTGACAAAGGAAGAATCTTGTTAGAGATAAAAGAACTTTTGTGATACGGCCCTTGATGTCACTTCAAAAGTTGCGTGTTTCGTTTTTTCCAATTTACTGTTAAGCATCGCTAACCGCCAGGCTTAAGACAGAGCTCAGGAATTTGCTTAAAGTGTTTGTTCTATATTCAAAAATAAATGCACTAAGCACTCTCTCCACCATCAATTTCTTGAGGCTGACAAATGTTGGCTGAACGTTTACATCTGACGATCGTCCGATGTTCGTGAGGGGGATGATTGTGATGAAATGATGAAATGGGATGAGACCTGATCTTCCATGATTCTGAAGTTGATAATTTCGTCAGTTATTTCAAATTTGTAATGATACTCAGCTAAGTGACTGACAAACTAAGAAATTGGCAAAAGAGTTTGAAACTCTAAGCCCCTTGATGAATAATCTGATGGATTAATTTCAGTAGCTACTTTTTTGTGAATTTGACTTGTCGACGTAAAGATTTCTTGATATCCTTTGAGCATATGGATTTCATTGAGAATGAGATTTCAGATGAAAATCGAATGTTCCTTGCAAGCAAACGGTGATGACGTTAGCCCAAACACTTTAAAACTGTCATGGCCGTTTCTAAATGATTTTTTCGTTAGAAAATCAATAGTGGATATTTGATAGACAGATCCTGGTTTCTTTTACAGTAATCTAGTAGGAGATTCAATAAATAGAACACGTTGTGCAAGAGTTACAAGTTTAATGAACAAACTGCATACAAACTCTGATACGGACTCCGGAGGAGCGCTAAAGTTGAAACGTCACATTTGTGACAGCATAAAAAATTTTTTTGCTTACTTTGTTGATACAATTTATGGTAACGCTCCCATAATACCCTATATTATAGTTTTATCTACTTTGTGCGTATTTAAACTGATGCACTCGATTCTTTAGTAATAGACAAATTGTGTTTTCGTCCCTTTTTCTCTTCTTGGGTGGTCTTGTGTTACACAAATCTCTCCAATTAGAGTAAATCTATTCATTTTCGCGATATTTTCTCACGATTATTAAGAAACAGCTTTTTCCCGGATAGAAAACTTGATAAGGTGTAAGGTGTTTGATTCAGTCTGATTCAGATTCAAAGAAAATATTCAGATACAGATAACATTGAGGTCTCCTTTTGTGATACAGCTCTTGATTTCTCTGACTAGAATTTCTGAAAGGTTTCTCTAGTTAACGTTTGAGTTCATTACTGTTAAAAGCCTAGTAAATAGTAAATAACCCAAGGATTGTAGATTTTTATTCGTTCCTTCATCAAGAAGGCGCTCGGTTCTATAGTAGATGGCCGCCTCATTTCACCTAATCTTTCTCGTGTATATTTCGCAGATCAGTTTTTAGTTTAAAATTGAAAATGCTTCTGTAGATTCTTATGCTAAACACTTCCTTGGCTACAATTTGTGCTTTGGTACCTCTTCCTCTTCTTGGTTTGGTACCTCTTGCTCTTCCACCTGGGTGATCTTGTTTACTCACAAATCTCTCCAATTACAATGAATCTTGTCACATTTTGCAAGATTTCTCACGATTATCAAGAAACATTTTTTGCGAATCAGAAAAAAAATCAAAGAAAAACGAATCAAAGATCAAACAAAAGAAAGAAAAATCGAAAAAACCTTCTCTTATTCAAGAGCAGATTTTTTAAAAGAAGTTTTGGGAAAGCAAAAAAGTGAGTTTCAAATTAGGGTAAGAAGGGAATCCAACGGATTTGGTAAATGAAATACGGTCGACTCTCTCTACAACGGAACTCTATACAGCGGAAGACGGAATGGAATTTTGGTCCTGGCCGACGCTAAGCTATAGAAAACGGCACTCTATATAACGAAAACATTTTTTGGTCCCTTCCGTTCTTAGAGAGAATCGACTGTACCTTTCTACGAGTTCTGAAAATTTTGTTATAAAAACTTGCTAGAGACTTATGAGTCATCTCAATCATCTCAAATTACACACTTGAACTTTCTAAAAAGCTTTGCATATTATAGTACTCTAATTCTTAGGCTATGAAAGTTTAATGAAATTGTGAATTCCTGGGCTTTTGATATACTGATAGTGTCAGGCTATTTGGCTCAGGCGTTGCGCCGCAATATACCGCAAAAATCTTGGCGTTGCGCCGCAATATACCGCAAAAAAAATATTGCTAGTTTCACTTTTGGCGGCTTCAGAAAGAAATATTTGAGTTTAATGGCTGGTTTGAATTGAATTGAATTGAATTGAATTCGACATGCGACAACGGGATCCACATCTTCATCATATTCTTACTGAATTTAAATACATTTATTCACAAGTTTAGCAGATACGGTACAGACAGGAAAAGGATACATTTTGGAATTTGATAGTTTTCAAAGGCTTCAAAGAACAAAGCAAATATCAAAGAATACTTGATTTTTACCATCAAGATTTTTACCATTTTTACCATCGGCCATCAAGATGTATGTAGAAATTTAAACAGAGATTAAAATAATAATTAAAGAGGAATTGCATTTTCTATTGTCTAACTACAGTATGCCGTCAAGATTGATTATCTTTCAAATTCTTCAACTAACGCTAAAGATAATCATTAAACAGTAATCAGCCAAATGAAAGACCCGACAGTATGGATCGTATAATTACAGAAAGATATCGTAACGAGCCAAGAGATTGGAGCTTTATAGTTGGAAGTCTGGAAAGTTAGAGAGCGCTCCTCATTGTTAATCCATTTCAGGCACCATTTTAGGCAAACTACCGTAATCCGCCCACCGTTTTTCATCCGATCAGTCCAATTTCGGTATGATTCGATGAGGGAATCACAAGGCTCAGTCAGTGATACCAAAGTTGAGCTGATCAAATGAAAAATCGCAAGTGGATTATGGTAGTTTGTCTGAAATGGTGCCTTTTGTGAGCTGAATACTTGGTATACTGTAGTGAGAAAACAACTACAATACTTTTAAGAAACGTGAACAACCGAATTTAGGTTTGCCGAGGCTTTCGTAGTATGAATCGTGACGGTGATCTTCTCCTGTGAAGCTTTTTGTGCCGTTGCATAGGTGTCCGCTGAACGGAGCAACGATTTGGGTAGTAACGCGAACGCGGCGCTGCGGATCTTGCTGGCCTGGAAAAGTTGAAATGAATTATGAATGATAAAGTTCTGATTTGAAATAGGCCTGTATTTTGCGGTGTACTTTGTGCTCTCCAAATCCCGTAAACATCCCCTTTCTGGGGCACTCAATTCATCCATTTTCCTCTAACATCTACTTGGTTTCAGAAAGGGAAATGGAAGAATTGAGTGCGCCAGAAAGGGGTTGTTTACGGGGTTTGTGAGAGCACGAAGTACACTTGAAAAACACGGCTATGTTCGGGATTTAGCTGTAAATTTCTAAGCACTCACCATTCCCAAAGCGATCAACGGGATGAAAAGCGTGGTCCCGATCACAGCGTAGATATTTGCCGGCCTCGAGAACCAAATCGGCACCGAGTACACTGAAGATTTGTTCTTTTTCTTTCTTTCCTTAAAATTGGACTTTTCAGCGCTTTTGTTTCACTTTTGATGACTTCAACAAGAAGATGAGTAGAGCTTTTTAAATCCTTTTAAAATTAAGTGGAATCACATTCGTAACAACTTTAGCTACGAGCTTTCACTTACTATTCGTGATCATTCCGAGATTCGAGATGACGAAGAAAGTCGTGGCCAAAAAGGGTATCCACGTCTGCACGTAGATCACGTTTGCCAGTTGACGGTCGTTGATTTTGGCGCCTGAGAGTTGATTTTTATAGTTTTCGAGCATTTTTATATGCTTTTCCCTTTTGATTAGCTAATTTTTGAATAAACCAAACACTTTATTGTTTTTAAGACTCTAAACGAATTCACTCTTGATTCCTGATCTTTACCGTGTGAGATGATCTGCCGTTTCACTTGAATCAACGTCAATTTTCCGAGAATCACCCCTCCAGCGCTGACGAGAAAGATGTATAGGGTGTAGAGCTGGAAATAATGTTTGGCTTTTCAAAAGTTTTCGAAATCTTCTTATAGAAATAAGTTAACTGAGCCTTGTTTTAAAAATGAAGCAAAGCTTTGTCAAGCAATTAAATTCAATGTTTCAAATTAATCAACCACAAATTTTTAAAAGAGACTGTAATGATAGCCTAAATATTTAAACTCTTAAATATCTTTGCCACGAGTTTCAAACTTTTCTCAACTTTAAGCCCACCTCAGGCACCGGCGAGATATTCACGTACAACAATTTCACGCAAGTGTCATTGTCCGATGGGCTGCCGATGATGAAAGCCAACACGTCGACGCAGAACTGAAATTTTGAAAGCTAAAAAAGCTCAAAGTTCGATACTAAAGCTTAAACTTGACTGTGGCTTTAATAAAATTGAAACTCATTAATTTTTTGCTCTTTGTTCATAATCAAATTTGAAAATCTTTTCAAAAATCTGTTACCATTGGAGCGTAGACGAGTAAAAGCACTCGCAACGAGAACCAAATCGACGTGTTTTTCCCGTGAATGATTAACAAATAACGATTGAAAGCCACAACCTGAATTGAAGAAGATTTATAGAATAACGCAATTTGCCACTCAGCCAAAAAACTAAAGCATTCAGGGTCCGGTCCTGACTTTTACCTGGCTTGGGACAACTTTCAGAATGATTCTCGAAGGAATTTTTTATTATGCAGGCCTGGAAGGGCTCTGACTGGACCGGACCTGATCGAAGCATCTCTAGTGTTCGACTTTTGTCTCACTACATTCACTACAGTATCTAGAGCACAAGCATTAACTTAAGTTGAATAAATTCTAAAATCCGTCCCGTTACCATGTTCTTAATCACGCTTATTACATTGCCCAACTGGCTAGAATTGTACCTAAGTCTGGAGCATGTGTTTGAGATGTCTGACCACTCACATACCCAACTTCTAACCTATGTCAAAACTTTTTATTTTTGTGAACCTTCAAAACTCACACTTGGTACAACAAACGAGCAAAACCATAGCGACAACGTGGAGATTTTGAAAAAAGTGCATGAAAAGAGTGTGAAATAGAATTTCCCATTAGTGATCTCCATTCCGATAAAAATCATCACATTGTACCAAACGATCGGAGTGGCCGTGAAGAAACACCCGAAACAAATGAACGTGATCGTGTTCTGGAAAAATAATTTCAACTTCTGTTTCTTCTATTAATACCAAAATGAAGGACTAGATCATGATTAAATTGAAACTTACAAATTTAAAATGCGTGCTCTGATCTATTTTCTAAGAGACACAAATTTCAGACAACCTACCGTCATTCACCGTTTTTGTTCATTTGACCAGCCCAATTTTGGTATGATTTGATGAGGAATCACAAGGCTCAGTCAATGATACCAAAATTGAGCCGATCAAGTGAAAAATGGTGAGTAGATCAGGATAATTTGTCTAGAATAAATGTCTTTTAGAAAATGGATTAATTGAGAGCACTGTTTGTGACTCTTCTGCATTTTCTCTGCTTTCCCAACCTGATACTCGATGAGAAGTTTCTTGTGAAAAAGCAGCAACATACAGACGAAACCCAAAATGGCCACACACGGCGTACCGTACATCTAGAAATTCGAATATTTATAAGTTTACTGTTTTAAAATTTAAATCGAATGTCAACAGGCACTCTAATAAGTATTCTGAGTACTTCTTGCGTCTAACATCCAATTTGAAAGGATTCAAAAATTAATGTTTCAATCTAATATAAGTGCAATCGTTAGGAAATGTTGCAATCCACGCACGTAATTGGTCGCTTTCACCCACACAAAATGTGCTGATGTCTCCAATCAAGACCAAGGCTTGAGAGTGTACTTTATGCTCTCACAAATCTCGTAAATACCCTTCTGGCAAACTACAATTCTTCTATTTTCCCCTCACAGCAACGATTTGGTGTCACGAGGGGAAATGGAAGAATTGAGTACGCCAAAAAGAGCTGTTTAAGGGACTTCAGAGCACAAAGTACACTAGATAACTCTATAAAACCCACCGTAACCTCCATGGAAGGACCCCAGAATCCGATCTGGATTTGGGTTTGATCGCCGTAGTGTGAAAACGTGGATCCACTCATGGCCTCATCCGTGGCCATCGACCTTAAAAAAATCGATCATTGACCAAAGCTTAAAGCTCTAAGGCTTAAAGCTTAAATTTCGAAAGATAAATTGAAATTTTAAAGTTTCAAGATTTTTAATCATAAATATCAATCTTTGGAGCCGAAGCTGGTACTTTTTTTTTGTCTTAAAACTTCAGCTCTGACTCAAATTCAAGCTTTTAGCTTTTGAAAAGCTAAAAGCCCTCGATGATTAAACAAGATAAATTTCTCAATGTTTCAAAGATCTTAAGACTAAACTTAAGAGAAAGGGAACTTTTAGAATTCAAATGAAAGTTAGTGAAATGGAAACCGGCGATAGCGTGGAAATCAAATTTCGAAATTCGAAAAAGACGAACTGGGCAGGGAAGTTTCTCGTTGTTATTTGCTAGTTTCGAAAAAAGAATTCTACAAAAAGTCAACCATGGGAATTTCAAAATGTTTTTGCACTAGACTTTTTTTTTGAAACTTGCGATTTTCAATTTTTTCCCCTCGAACTATCCCACGCCAACGACCGGAAATGAGTAAACTCATTTTGACCGTGATTACTGTAGTTTCTTTTGCGAAATAATATTCCCCTATTTTTCTGAATAATGGGAAATTCGAGTTTTTTTTTCAGGGTTTCAATGACTATTTTTAAATTTTTGAAACGTCACTTTTGAATGTTTCCCCATTTAGAATCAATGAGAAATTTGTGTTTTGGTGAGAAAAATTGTTAATTGCATAAAACATGATCATCAAAGATTCGGGGAACTTGGAAAGAATGATAAAGTTCGATGTTATTTACTCGCATGCTCAAAAATGAAGTTTCAAAGTGTTAAGCGATCGAATACTAAGAAGCGATCGGTGATTCGCTTGATACAGTAATCCTCAGTAAGAGCTATAGTACTTATAATACCCCAAATTACCGTTTCTTTCTTCGTATCATCAAGCGAACTACCGATCGCTTCTTAGTATCAAGCCTATCACTTTGAAACTTCATTTTTGAGCATACGAGTAAGATAACATCGAACTTTATCATTCTTTCCAAGTTCCCCGAATCTTTGATGATCATGTTTTTCAAAAATAACTTTACTAAAATCTCAAAATTACCCAAATCCATAATTCAGAAGTTTCAAAAGAAAGTTCAAAAGTTTTCTCCTCTCATCTAGTTCCAAAAACTTTTTGATTCCTATACATTAAGAAACAGATTACTGTCCCTTTTTCTATGAGCTTCCTGAGTTTTGTTTTGCTGCGTGCTCGTGTTCAGGCTTCCTGCATGGATCTAATCTTGATTCGAAAAGAGAAAAAAGTGCATTCAAAGTGATCTGGATACTTGAACCTGATCTAAACTATGAAATTTACAAAGAAAAAGCTTCAAATTTACTGGCTAAAGCTGGTTAAAGGCTAACCAAGTTCTAGGCTCAGTTTTATGACAATGGTTAAATCCAAATTTAAAAAAACTAAAAAGCTACGTCTCATTTAACAAGTAAACAACTGGGCAAAGGCTAGCTAAGTTCTAGGTTTAGTTTCAGAACCTTATGGTTAGGTTCAAATCTTAAAAAAACTAACAAGCTACTCATCATTTAACAAGCAAACAACTTTCTAGCATCAAAACAACTAAAATTCCCAAAAAACCTTTGTCACCGGTTCTTGATTTTTCAAGGAAATGACTACAAAAAAACTTTCCAACATGCTGAACTTTTCCGTGTTTTTATGGGAAAGTTTTTAGGAAAAACCTCAAAACATAATGTTCTTGAGAAACTTAAAAACTGAATTAGGTTAAAAAAGACGAAATTTGTTTGGCTAAAAGCTGGGTAAAGGCCAACCAAGTTCTAGGCTTTGTTTCAAAACAATGATTAGGTTCAAAAATTTTAAAAAAAAACTAAAAAGCTTTTTATTCATCATTTAAAAAGTAAACAAGTTTCCAGAATCAAAAAAAAACCAAAATTCAGAGAAAACCCTCGTTGTCGTGCCCGATTGCTCAAGGAAATGACTACAAAAATTTGGATTTGAGAAAAAGTGTCATTTTGGAAATCGTGTTTTCCATTGGGTATAAAGGTTTCTCAAATTAGTTTCTCTACAATAAAACTTGAGCTGAAAACTTTGAAATTAATGGATTTTAAGTACTTTAGAGCTAAGAAAAGCGCAGGAGTGAAGGGCTAGAGTTCCATCTTAATCTGTCAATCTCAGTCACATCTTTGGAGAGGATTCAAAAATGATTCAAAACTGAAATGCAAAACTTTTACAGATGAACTTTTGTAACACCGAAATGCCCGACTCTTTTTAGAGTTTTCACGCTCAAAATCTTTCAGTTTCAAAGTGTTCGGCTTCTAGCTCAGACAAAACAATTTAGCACATTAAACTTAGTTTTTAAAATTTAGTTTTTAGTTCATCACTTATTTGGGTTGTCAATTTTGAAACCAACGCTTTTGAAAGTCTTTAGATGGATATTATAAACTCAAAAGTTTCAGATTCATAATTGGAAAAGCAAGAAATTCATCTATTATATTGTTTTTTTAATTTATGCCGAAAAAAAATCGAAAACTTTTTGCTCTTTCGTTTACTCAATGAGGAAATTTTCCAAAGCTACAAAAAAATTCCGGGGTTTTAGGCTGTAATTCTAGGTACTTTTTTAGTATTTTTCTTTAAACTTGATTAAAAACGGAGAACATTTAGCTTTGCAAATCCCAAAGCCAAAGGAAAAAGTGGAAGGGCGAACTCGAACTACAGCCTTTTCGCCTTAAACTCACTGCCACTCGGTCATCACTCCTTCCTGAAGCCTCTAAGAAATGTGCTTATAAACTCGAGGTGTGATTTTTGAAACCCCATACAAAACTTTGCACGCTTATAATTTTTGACAGAGTGCTCCTTAGCAGAAATGGAAAGCAGATTCGGATTCAGTGTGAAATTTTGCGTCAAATAGTTTATGGCTCATGTTATTTTGATCATTTGATCTTCCGTTGTTAGCTCAAATATTAAACGATTCAATCAGAAATGATCTTCAAAGTATCAGCTAGATGAAGTCTCACAAAAATCATAAAGATTCAGTTGTGAATAGTTGTTTTGTGAGTCAGAGGTAGAGCTACAATAGTTTGAAATTAGAGTATTCAGCCTATACCTGCTTCCCTGGTAAAATCTTTGATCAGATTCGTAATAAAATTTAAAGGAATTTATTTTCATTTCTATTACTTTGAAAAAGAAATTTAAGCGGTATTAAAGACGATTTTTTTTTGTTTTTAAGCACTTTGAAACTTCATCAATTTCATTTCCACCTTGAAAACCGAAAAATCTACTAGAATTTGAAAATTTCTCCAGATCTTCGATGATTCGCCAATGATTCAGGCAATTTCTCATCTACTCCGAAACTTTATTCTATCTCCTTTCAATGGGGAATCATTTCCTAATAGAAAAGGCCGAAAAAAGCGCCTCTTCCCAACGATGCATCGACTTTTTTCCTTCCAGGGATCATCGTGAATATAAAATTTGTCTTCTATCATCTTTTTCCTGACTTCTTTTCTCGTTTTCTCATCCATTCACCCTCCATTTTATTTATTCGATTTGCCACTCCGGCTTGTATCGACTTTTTTGACGAAGAAATCACCGCTTTCTTCATTTTTGTTTGGAAAACAAGGTTAGTTAGCTGAAGTTTTGCAATCTTTTACCATGAAAATGAGCTCAAAGTGGCCCTAAACGTTTATAGCCGCAGCATCAATTCATTTCCAGCTTGAAGCACACAATTTTGAAACATGCTTTTTATTTCGAAATAACGCTCGTTTCTTTTGTTTAGATGAGTCGTTTCCCCAAAATGATTCTACTTTTCGTCGGCCTTCTGCTCCCGATTGCCATTTATGCATCGGTAATTTTTCAGAATTTTTAGCCAACAGAGAAGGCAAAATCAAATGAATGAATGTTTTATCACTTTTTAGCCAGTTGTCGAACAGACAGAGCCCGTCAAGTTGACCCTCGAAATAAACGTCACTGATCCGGTAAAAGCTTTGAAAAGTTAAAGCTTTATTTTCAAAAGTTAAAGTTAGAATCCAAAATGAAGCATCTCATCCATCTTGACCATCTTGAAAATCCAAAACGCAAAAACTAGCTTTGTTTCACTTCGGCTTCACGTGATTAGCCAAACTTTTGGCTTTTCAGGACTCGTTAACTCTAGTTTAAAAACATTACTTACAAATCATCCGTCCGAAATGTTAGATTACCTTGTGCTAGCTGTTGCCAGCTTATCAAACTCTTGTTTCTGCTTTAACCTTTATTTCCCACAAATCAATTCCAGCTCGACGCCGACAACTCGACCGCCAAGGGCAAAGAGGAATCCCCGTTCACGCAAGTGCTCAACTTTACCAAGGGACTCTTCGAGAATGTAAAGAAAATTGCCGAATACGTCGCAAAGGTTTCCACCAAAAAGCAAGCATCGAGAAAAGAGTTTAAAAATACACCGCACAATGCTGGCTCCTCTCAATTGAATCCAATTGGAATTGAATATTTTAAATAGTAGATCTATAATAACAAGTAATCCATTTTCTCCACTAAATTACACTTTCTTTGTTGTGCTTCTAGGCGCCAAACTTGAAACTGCCTTTTTTGATCCAAAGCCTAAGCACAAAAGGCTCATTATTATCTAATCTTTAATGGAAATCATGGCCAAATATTTATCAATTCAATTCAAAGTTTACAGAGTATCATAAAATCTCGCGAGTTAGCACGTTAAATGGAACATTAGTGGTGCTAACCCACCATGAAACTTTCTCAAAACTGATTTTTGCTGCTTGCTCGTGTTCAGGCTTCCTGTATGGATCCAATCTTGATTCAAAAAGAGAAAAAAGTGCATTCAAAGTGATCTGGATACTTGAACCTGATCTAAACTATGAAATTTACCAAAAAAAGCTTCAAGTCTACTGGCTAAAAGCTGGGTAAATGCTAACCAAGTTCTAGATTTAGTTTCAGAACAATGATTAGGTTCAAATTTTAAAAAAACTAACAAGCTACTTCTCATTTAACAAGTAAACAACTTTCTAGCATCAAAAAAACCAAAATTCCCAAAAAGCCTTTGTCACCGTTCCTGATTACTCAAAGACTACAAAAAAACCTTCCGACTACCCCCAGGCTGAATTTTTTGTGTTTTTATGGGAAAGTTTTGGGAAAAAGCCTAAAAACCTAATGTTCTTGAGAAAGTTGAATCAAAAACTTAAAAAATTAGTTGCCTTAAAAACACTTGAAATTTGTTTTTTCAACTGACTGCTTTGTACTTTGCTCTCCGAATCCCGTAAACACCACCTTTCTGGCGCAATCAATTCTTCCATTTCCCCTCATGACACTCGTTTCTATTAGGGGAAAATAGAGGAATTGAGTGCGCCAGGAAGGGAGTGTTTACGGGATTTGCAAGCGCGCAAAGTACGCCAACACAATGCCATACTTCTCTTTGATCCTTTCTAACATCTTCAGGTCAAAGACATCGTCGTGAAAGCTTTTGAAACGGTGAAAGAGCTGCTGAAGAAAGAAGAGGAAAACGCGACGACGACAACGACAACGACAGCGAAGATTCTCATCGAAATTTATGAGGTAGAGCTACAGTAGTCCGAAATTAGAGTATTCAGCCTATAAGACTGAATATCTTTCAAATTCTTCAAACAAACGTAAGATTTTTAGTTTTGTTAGCTACGTTACATCATATTATTACTTTGACACTGTAAGGTAAAAAAAACTGGTAGTTTACAAATATCTAAAAGAAACTATTAATTGGAAAAAATAGCTGAAAAAGATCAAGGCATCAAGATCATTATTTGCCAAATATCCAATAGGTACTACCCAAAGTTGAAACTTAATTAACTAACTGAAAAAAAGAGACTGAAATTACACAATGGCTAGTTTCATTTTGGTGTAAAAGGCATTCAATAAAGCAATTGGAGCAAATTGCTGAACAATTGTTGAGAAATTGAAATTCGAATAGTTAGGGAGAAATAGCCGGCAAACATCGAGGCATTGCTCGAGAAAGCACATTCAGAGCATGGTTTAGCTTGAAACTCGGTAAATTTTGCAATCAGTTAGACAAGTTAGCTATTATTTTCGAAAACAAGGTATATTTTTTATTTCACAGCTCACTTTATTGTATTGTATTGTATTGGAAAACCCTTATCAGACAAATATATTTTCAGACAACCACCCTGAAGGCTATCGCATTGGATAAAGAGGAGAAAAAGGTAGCTTTTGAATAAATGGCTTTCCATTGAAAAATTTATCTGAACTCTGTACTGAGCGAATATCGGAGTCGAGCTGTACCGCTGAACCAATTCCTTTCTAAAACGTGTCTCCTTTCCCATTTCTACCTTGTTTCTATTTTTATCCAATCTATCCACTTTTTATATCTTTCGATATTCTTTGTGAACCCCAGAGAGTCGGATAAAAAGTAGAGACAAAATTACGGTAGAAAGGGGTAGGGGACACGTTTTAGGGAATGGATTTGGAGAAGATATCGGCACTCAATCGTGGTTGCCCCTTATTTGTTCCAAAATTTTGCATGTTTCAAAACACAAGGGTACATGATTGGGTTTAATTTGCTGATTGCTGACTGCTTAAGACGAAAAAAACTACCCGATTTGTCTAATCTCACAAATTTCAGGATCATCTAACCGTGCCTCCTGCTTCACCCAAAGCATAACTCGTTCAATTGAATAAATTTTTCAAAGCAAAGATATTTAAAAGATGCTAACTTTATTCCTTTATACCACCAAAATGCCACTAAAACAGAGTACAGCCACAAAAATACCAGTAATCGCATTGAAAACAAAAAGGCTTGACAAGATAAAAATCATATCGAAATTTCGTAAAAAGTATTGCTAAAATGGCTAGATTTGAGGGTAAACATTGAACTCAAATAAAAAGAAATATCACAAAGAAAATAAAGCCGATCTCTTGAAAAACGGACAGTACCCAGGAAAAATTTCATAGACAAGAAGCGTTTATCATAAGAATCTGCAGAAGCATTGTAAATTTTAAACTAAAAACTGATCTGCAGAAATATACACGAGAAAGATTAGATAAAATTAGGCGGCCATCTACGAAATTTAATGAGTTTAAATCGTTGAATTTTAGTAATTTCATTTTAGGACTTCATAGATAACCAACTTAGACAAGAGTTTCAAAAAAACATACTACTCAAAATGAAAGAGCCAAGCGTCGAGCGAGAAGAATGACAAAAATCGCCGTGCAAACAATCACCGCCGGCACGATGAGGAAGAGTGAACGATCGATTGATGACTCTCGTTGTTGCGATGGTCGACTGGGTGTTGTGGATGACGGGGAAGCTCTCTGAAAGTGAAAATATATTGATGAATTTTGCATTTAAAAATTTTGCCCACATAAATCTATTGATATCTATTGTTTTAGAAATTGAATTGAATTTGCCATTCAACCACTTTCCAAACCTGAATTAAAAGTTTAAAGCCAAAAAAGTCCATAGCAAGTTGCAAGTTATCTTACCATGGCAACGTTTTAAAGCCATTAAAAGCTAAGTCATATCAAGACTTTCAACAAGTTGGCAATACAAGAGCAATACAAATTTTGTATCAAATTTTATACCCAAAATCAGCTCACCGAAATGGAGAGACGCCTGACGGAAGCTGGAGTCGTCGTCTCGGTCTCCACACTCGCTGTCATCACCTCTTCAACCGTTTCAGCTGCATCGCTCGTTGACTAAAAAGTTTTTATGCTTTATTTCTTTTCTTTAAACTTACAAAATATTATGCCTATAAAATTCCTTCTTTATCAAACCCTTTATAGCCAACTCACTTGCGCCGAAGTTTGAGCATTCGTCTCAGCACTTGTTGCAGTTTCAGTGGCCGCCTTGCTGATCTCGGCCCGAAGAGTTGTTTCATCCTAAAAATGTTGAACATTGAACACTTTGAGACCTTCAACGCAATTCAAAACTTTCCTGATCTAAAAATTCTCAAGGTTTACCTGAAATTTGAGTTGTTTCGCCAACTCTTTCGCTTCGTCTTGTAGCTGGGCGGCGGCTTCGGAAAGTGGTCGAAGCGCGTCTTTCATACACTTTCCGCACTCTTTGCACGTCCATTCAAGGCTTCTAAAATTGTACATAGTTTGAATTATACCTAGTGGAACTTATTATTTCGCCAAAGTCTGTGTAAATTTAAAGCTCAAGTTGGATCGTTTAAGTTAGAAACTTTATAGTCTCAAATCAAAACCCACTTCTTCGCTAACCGCTTTCGTTCCACTGCCGGGTAGTCGAGACTTCCGATCGCTCCAGCGCCATCTGTTGGCATGAATCCGACAAGCGCCAGCAAAGCCGTTCTGACTAAAAGGATTAAATTAGGATCAAAACATAGTGCATAAAAATTGCCTTATAAAGTTTTTAGTTGAAAAACTCACTTGACCAACTTGGCTGCCATGTTTCTGGGTGATAGCCGGAGATCGATAGACAAATCTTCTTATTCAATTCGAAGCGTCCATTTGGCTAAATAATAAACGTTAAAAAAGATAAATTTGTAATGAATTTTCTAGCTCTTTTCCGTTTTCCACTATCCAACATATCACTATACATAAATTAATGATCGTGAAGTTTAACTATTAGAAAGGTTACTTAAGCACTGGAGAATTTAGAATAACAACTCACTGTAAGTATCATCATATTCGGCGGTTTCATCGGATATTCGGGCGGGAAAATGATTCGTCCATGGTAGATTCCGCCGTCGAAATCCGAGTCGGCTGGCCCGCGTACCGTGAAGTGCCATTCGAAGAGATTATCCTAAAAAAAAATATTTTTTTGCGTTTACATTCCTTATTAACTATTTAAGACCTTCATTTTAAAGTTTTACAATCCTGTACTTTCAGGCTTCCTGTATGGATCTAATCTTGATTCAAAAAGAGAACCAAGTGCAATGTAATACTTGTTGCAATCCAACTCAAAACTTTCAATGTATCTATCTCATTTAATATCTCATCTATAGAATTTATCTCATTTAATTATGTTATCATTAGCGTCTAAATGCATTTCATTAATAAATTTCCATCCAAACTCTCACCTCGATTGGTTGCGCGGCAAAAAGCTCGGTGGGCTCTCGCAACTCGCTGGCCTCTTTCATCAAACGTTTCACTCCTAAACGAAAAAAGATATTAGATTTTCAAACAAATCAATCAATTATTCATTATGAATCAAATACACATTTTAAAGAACCAAATTTTACCGAAATTAGTAGTGAAACTTTCCCCCACCTGCACTTTTCGTGTTGTATTGTCCTTCGAACGACATCTTTGTTAGCGATTTGAAAGTAAAACTGAACTATACTTGTAGCTAGAACGCAGAAAAAATAAAGTGATTCAACCGAACAGAGAAATTTCGAATTCATAACTTTAACTAAACTTTAAAAGATCTCAAAATTTGTCATGGCAAGCTTGATCTCAAATAAAAGATCTCAAAATTTTTCATGTTAAGCTTGATGAGCTGAACAAGAAGATTCTTGAACATTTCATAGGCTCTTATTTTATAAAAAAAAACCAGATTTATTAAGCTAATCAATTTGCAAGAGAAGCCTGCAAACTCTTGTGACGAATAAGCATAACTGACACGGATATAAACTCCATCCAACAAAGACTACGGTAGCTTCTGGAAAAGGCCGCACTTTAACATCAAATAGAGTAGGCAACTGGCAAATATATTTGTGCAAAAACGATATTTATAAACAAAATAAAAAGCCAATCAAAATCTTTATTACATCCCTTTCAACTAACGCCAGTCGATTGCTGAGAACCATCAGTCAGATGAAACTGTCCTAAAAGAAGTCAACATTAATGCGAATGTCAAAATTTGAAGCTCATTAATCTCCACTTTCTCCATTCGTTGAATAGCTGGACTAAATTTAACGTAAAGCTTCTCACCTTTTTCTCAAAGTTTTATGCCAAGCAATGAAGTCGGAAGGTGCCCTTGGCCACGTGTTCCCGCGAGAGTTCGCCGGCCAACGGAAGCGCTGATTGCTTCGTCTTCAAAATGGCTTCGTCTGGCTAAAACGAAAAGATTGGAAAGTGAAAGTTAGTTGATTTAAAATAATGTAACTTAAGTTTTTCCACTACTAGCCATAAAATGACGACGAAAAGGAAAAGGTTCATGTTAGAATCCTTGTCAACATGAAAAATTTTAGGGCAAAGCTGAGCTGTATCTAACAGCTTTACTGTTATCTTTCGTCACTAATGTCTAAAGTCTTTTAAGCGCATCAAAATACGTAAACTTAGCATTTATGCTCAGATTACAAAGTAGAACTTGTGTCATGTTAAGCTCATATTTTTGCACAAGTCAGATAAAACTATTCGTCAACAAATCAACCTGTAAAATCGCCTCCAAACCGTCGAGCAACTGGCCAACGCGATGTCGATAAACTGAAGTGATCCATTTCCTGGCTGAACACCGGCTCGAGGTTCGACTTCACGATGCTCAACTTCGCAGCGCACTAAAATCAGACAATTATGGCACTTTCCGAGTAGGCTACGCAGCTTAACTATGCTACATTTATCATAAAAGTACTCAAACTTCCTTACATCACTTCAAAAACTAATCTTTGTGTAGAATTTCTCGAACGGCTTCATCTTTTTGCGTCCACGGCAATTTGCTAAACCGACAAAATTTACAAAAGGTTCAAAGTTTACTATAGAACCTAGATCAAGAAGAGATAAAGGCTATACTTAAAGATTGATGCTTTAGCTATAAAACTTGATGATACATAACTGTAAAATGCCATAAAAAGCTAGATAAAAATTTATAAGTCAAAGTCAAATTTAATCCATCTGCTGAATTTTTTAAACAAACAAACTCCTAAAGAGAAACGTCGACTTGAGGTAGCCTTAATCTTCACTAAATATCTGCAGATTTCCGCAAAATTTTTAGAGATTCAATCGATTTTAAAAGAAAATAACGTTAAATTTACTTAATTTTAGCTAAATAAATCAAATTTCGAATTTTTCATGGTTTTCACCCATGTGTGGGACCAAATGAATGACAATTTCGCAAAATTTTTACATTTTCTACTTGAATTTGGCCAGGATTGCACGCAGGACTCTAAATGATCTCAGAAGAAGTCTTTTTGAACAGGAAAACCCTCATTAAGCTTCTTTTGAGCCCTTCTTATAGGAAAATTATAGTGAAAAGCATTACAGAGACTTCAAGCCGCTAAAAGTCGGACTAAAAACGCATTTTTCCAAGTTCCCACTATGAAATTCGTGATCTACGCAAAAAAACCTACCCCAGAAAAAGTGGTTTTGGAAAAAAAATAGAAATAGAGTACCCTGCCCTAATTTTATTAGTACCCACTTTTCTCTTTTCCCCAATTTACGTCCATCATCCATGTGAGGTCATTTCATTCCCTTCCCGAAAAATTTTCCCCCCAAAAGGGATGAAAAACAATTGAGCGAATTCTCCTCGTATCAATCACTCTCTGCTGTGCTCAAACTTCTCAAAATTTTTTGACCGATTTTTGAAACTCGAAATTTTATCGATATTTTTTCCTAAAAAATCTCGACAAACACGTTGATTTCTAAACTTTTTGATTAACTTTATTTTCTTTAAAATGCCCGACGTCGAGCTGGAATCGCAGTTCCTCTTGAATCAAATGATTGTAAGTTTTTTTTTTTAACTTCTCATCATTAAGCAAAAGCACACCATTTGAAGACTGTTCAATTTGAAACCAAAGATCAAATTTGACTGCACGATAAAATCTGACTAGTAAGAATAGTATACCGTAAATACTGTAATAGTACCCCACCCCCATAATGACGGTGCGGAGTGTTGCGTAGTCTAGCTTTGAACGAGTTTTTCTCGACACTGGTTAATGCTACAATGCACGCTTACATATCAAAAAATAGCCCTGAATTTCAGCTATTTTTTTGGTACCAAAGACGCATTTTTTGAAAGTACGGGCGCTTTGAAAAAAAATGAAATACTAAAAAACTTTTGCGACTACGCGACTGTACGAGGGGGGTGGGGTACTATTACAGTATTTACGGTAGTAATAGTAAAAATCAAGATTTAGGAAAATCTGCCCAAAAATCAAGCCCTCGTCAAAAAGATCAACGCGGTGATGTTGATGAATTTCGAGAAAGACGGAAAACTCGCTAAACAGTACAGTAAGTTGTGTAATTTGAAGAAATTTCTTTAAAAATTTCTTTAAAAAACACTTCTTATGTTCTAAAAGAATTTTAGCTTATTAAAATTGCACTGATTTTAATATTTTTTAAATTATACTCTTTTAAAATATTGCCGATTCTAAAAGGAAAGTTTAAAGTTAAACGTCGTCCTGAATTTTACTTGTAATCCGGGAAATGATATCATAGTTTAATCCAATTTTAAAAACAAGACCTTTAAATTAAAAACAGAGTCGATTTCTGTGGAAAGTTTTCGAAATATCTTTTTTCAGCTTTCGATTTCCGTGTGAAAAGTCCGTCGATTCACGAGGGAGACGACGGAAATGCCAATGTAACAATCAACACTGATGATGCTGATTTTGTGAAACTATGCTTTGGACAATTAGATACGGCAAAGGTATGGAAAGTCAGCTATAAAGATTATCATTGCTTTGATTCAAGGCTGTTCCAAAAGCCGGATCAGACAATGCCAGAGCAGACAAGTTGGACTGGGTCAGGCCTGGACTCCGAATTGGCTCCTGGCGTTGCCTGTCCTGATCTAGCCTGGTTTTGTTGCAGTCTTAACCCACTAAAGTCCATTGGCACGTCAGGAGCCAAGTCTGGCTCTTGTTTGGATTACAGCCGCAAGTTTCGGTAAACGATTGCTGGCTAAAATGCTTGAGTTTCAACTTCAGCGCTGTTCAACAAAACTCTGGGCTCTAATCAAAAAATAGCTTTCACTAATTAACGAAAATTTTTAACGATCTAAATTTCAACTCTAAAACCATTCTTTGTGCCACAATTTAGGGTTTAAATAAACACCGAATAGAATTTCATTTTGTATCAAATTTCAGGCCTTTATGACCCGCCGCATACGAATCACCGGCAATATGGCGCTTCTGCAACGGATTCAAGCCGTCCTCAAGTCCGTGCAAAACAATTCCGCGAAAGAGAAAAGCAAATTATAAATATTTTATAAAAATTTCGATACATAATTCACAAATACCTAAAAAGTTAAAAAGATACAAACTCATTATTGAGCTGTATTTCATCATGAAATCTCATCATGAAATTTGCATCAAAATTTCATCATGACCCACAGGGCCCATGATGCAAGCAGCCTCTTTGCTGGCCATTTCAAAGATTTCAAAAAACAGAGTTTCAAATTTATTTAAGTAAATAAAATAATTTTGTTTGTAATTAGTTTCTTTTAACTATCCATCCATGCCTAATATTACCGTTCGGAAACCTTTGCTCAAGTTTTTAACTTTTCATCAATTGAAACTCATTGCCGCTTTGATGAGTTGATGTTTCAAACTCATCAAAATGTGTAGAACAACTCGCTCAGTAATGGGTCCCTTTAAATATATCTCTAGTCATTCCTTTAAATTTTGTTCCTTTAAAAATAAACGCAAAATTTTCCAATCAATTCTTTTTATTTCTTTTCCGGCTTTGTCCACTTGTCCCCTTTACTCATTGTTGCTTTTGAAAACCTAAATTTAGAATTTCATTTTATCGATTTCCATGAACACGTTCTGTCCACTTCTATAAATTCTAGATTCATTTTTATTTATAAAAAATTCGCACGTAAAAATCCGGAAACTTTGAAGTTGCGTAGGTTTAAACTTAACTCTCGTTTCCGCTCGTCTCCAGGGAAAGCATATCTAATAAAAAACTTAGAAAACTAATCCGTAGTCCGCCTGCCATTTTTCATGCGATCAGCCCAATTTTGGTATCATTCGATGAGGAATCACAAAGCTCAGTCAATGATACCAAAATTGAGCCGATCAAATGAAAGATGGCGGATGAATTATGGTAGAATAGACGCCTTTCAGAAAATGCATCTCTGGCTCTATTTGAAATACTTTTAAACACGACCCAAACCTATGCGACTACAACTAAAATTTCCCTTAAGTTATATTTTAGCTTGAAACTTGCTTTTCAAAACCAGTAACCCTAGCTGTTTTGTAACTTTCTTTCCATCTTGCAATCGAAGCCTTCATCATTGAACAATCCCATCACCTTTCAAATCAAATCCATTTCCTAACCGCTTTTCTCAAGGATTTTTTGCACACCTTTTCTCTGTAAGTGATCCATCATTGAACGAAAAAAGAGACCAAAAGACAAACCTCGCCGAACTGATCAAAGGAAGCAAGTGTACGAATCATTGAACGTTTTTATCAGGTAGACAGGTTAAAAACGGATTTTTTCTTGCAATTTTTAAAGCGGAAAGTCTTACGGAAAGTGAGCTCTTTTCATAGCCAAGTTTCTTTTTAAATTTCTTTGGAAAATTTTATGATTCATTTCTAAATGTTAAATTTTTAGATCGTTTTTTGAAACTAGTTTTTAAAAAAACGGCATTTCGTTGTTTATTTCTATGAATGTTTCTCTCTCATTATCTTTGAAAAATCAATGATCTAACCAGATTAGGGTTGTTTTGAAAGGAAATTTTTTTGGGCAAAGCCAAGATCAGACCTTCTCTGGCTGGTTTTACTGTAGGCCAAACCTACAAAGTGTACCCGAGCCCACCTGGGTCCTTTTTTCCCCATTTCCCAAACCAAAAATTAAAAACCCTTTCATATACAATCTTTTTGAACGTGCGACCATTGAATACTTTGAAAGAAAATAAGACTTTTATCACCTCAAAATATTTTTGGATGGTTTCAATTGGCCGATTGGCCGATTGGCTATTTCTCTGCTCGGGAAAGCAGCTTGATCCTTGCCCAGATTAACGCAAGACAAGAATGATAACAGACACGAAAACTTTGAAACACTTTCACAGATCATTCAACTTTACTTTTTAGGGTTTTAAGGCTTAATAGATTTAAAATTTAGCAAGGGATTTTCTAAAAGGCACCCATTTGAGACAAATTACTGTTATTCGCCCACCATTTTCAAGCGGATTTTGACAAAACTCATGGATGAGCTTTTCCCCTTTTCCTCCGCAAGTCCAATTGGTTCTTTTTTAAAAATTGTTCTTTGTTCTCACCAGGGAAAAGAAATGTCAAAAAGTCAGCTGTTCTTTCTGTTGGGTTCACCCCGTTCCCCAAAGCAAAAGCTAAAAGAATTTTTGAGATCAGTTGGAGTTTTGAGTTTTCTGGAATATTTTAAAGCTTATTTGTTTTGGGGAATCAATTCTTTTTTGTTTCTTTGACAGTCTATGAGTAATGCGCATTTGAAATAAGTTGTTAGTTTCAAAATAAACAAGGACATCTTCTAAGTTTTATATTTAATTTGATGCTTGATTTGATCAATAATAGAATTTTTTAAGGTTTCCTTAGAAAAAGTTTCTCTTGAAGGTTTCCTTTGCCTGTCCCAAAGTGAGCGGGATCTTTTTGAATAAAAATTTGAGAATAATTGAATTGAACTCGAGAGCTCAAGTCTGACTTTTTCAACTTTTTCGTTTCTTTTCTCAAAAACTCACAAAAAGCTCGTTTTTCCATTGTTAAGACAAAAATTTGTATGGAATAAATGATTCTTTTCCTCTTAAATTTGTGGGAATATAACAGAAAGTACTTTAAAACTTCGAGTTTTAACTTTTCAACGTAACGAAAAGTTTTGAAGTCACAATTCAAGTGAAATATCAATGTTCTTAACATAAAAATCGACTTTAATCAAATTAAGCATAAAAAAAAACTTTAAGTTTCAACTTTTTTTAAGTAAAGAGACAACTTTTAAGGAGAATTCATGGCGTCAGTCAATTGAAGTTTTGAGAACTCGGAGGTTTTTGTCGGTCACGTACAATTGTTAGAAATCCAATTGTAATTGAATATCAAGTACAAATCCTCTCAAAAAAAAGCTCTTTTTCACTTTTTCGTTGCACTTTGGAAGCAAATTATACTGGACAAATGATTTCCTCTCCCCCAAAATTTGTTTACCCAAAAGATTAGATTTGTCTCTTTTTTTTTGTGACTCAATTACCCCCGTACAAACACGCAAATTATCAGGTTACCCCTCTAAAAAGAGTTCATTTTTGAAGCAAAGTTTAAAGTTAAAAGTTGAAATTTTGGGTTTTTTGAAGATTGATCTGTTCTTGAGGTTTTTAACATAAAACTATTGAATTCTTTTGAACCATTGAATTCCCGACTCTTTACCTGAAGGCCAGCAAATTGAAACTTTAAAATCCCTTTTGCATATACAATTCTTTGAGCAGCTTCTCAAACAGCTTTCCTAAATTGGCAAAGGCTGCAAGTTCTGAAACTTTCCGATACACTTGAGAAATTCGGAAAAATATGGTTGAGTATAAGTGGAATTGAGGTTTTCAAAGCGATTAACAGGTTGGAAAGGCGTTAAATGCCTGGCTCTTCACCTGAAATCAAGCAAGTTGAAACTTGAAAAATTTTGTTTGTTCGAAACTTTTATTTAATCCGGTTGAGTACTTTTTTGAGTACCAAATTTGAGCTTTTCACGATTGATTTGTTCTTGAGGCCTTGGACTTTCCGATGACATAATACTATTCATAAAAATTTAAAAAACGATAACATAATACTATTCATAAAAGTTTCTTTATTTTCCAGCCCATCCGAAGCCCATAATTCCCCTTTGATTCCTGGTTTTTCACTTTGAAAGTAATGTTTTTTTAGAGCAAAACATTTTTGAATTGTTCCTATTTTATTTCAGTAGCTCAGTCGAAATCAAAATGATTTCTTTGATTGAGTTTTGTTTACATCTCAAACAACTATATGTTTGGCGTGAGTGAGAAACTGATAAGGACTCCAGTGGCTCGAAGCACTGATTTATCTTTCAGAAACTTTACTTACAAGGTTACTTTGGAGCTAAACAAATTACTAAACTCGTTTGAGACTAGATTCTATCAAAAAAATTATTAATTTTTAATATTTTTAAATGTAGATAACATTTAATACCTCAAAAATTCTTGCGAATTACAAATCATTGTTTAATTTTAACCTTGTTCACCTTAAAGCTGGCCTTTTGAAAGCTTAGTAAAGTTTAGTAAAGCTCGAAATTTCTGAACCTAAAATTAGGCAGTTTGCAAGTTTTTAGACCGATCAAATTTCTAAGCTGATAATATTTTTTCATAAGAATAAGATTAGAATTATCTTTTTGACGGATTAAGCGCCCAAAAAGCTTTTCACGGCTTTGTCGCTCGTTTCAAGTGAAAACGTGAAAACGAACATTTTCTGTTCTTTTGAAGTTGCTTTGGAGGACTAGTCTAATTTTTTTAAAATTCTGTATTGGACTTTACTGGATTCTAAAACTTCGGCCTAACGTTAGCGAAGTTGAAACGATCTTTTTTTCAATTATGAACAACTTAATAGCTTCACTGAGAAATTCAAGAGAGATCCAAATTTATGATCGGCATTACATTAATTAAAGAAGGATTTTCCTGTTTAACATTAGTTATTTTGAAACTCGTACTTTTCCTTTCAACTAGTTTCTTTGGAATACTTTGTGCTCTCTAAATCCTGTAAACACTCCCTTTCTGGCGCACTCAATTTCTCCATTTTCCCCTCAAAGCAACGATTTCGGGAAAATGGAAGAATTGTGTGCTAAACCAGAAAGGGGATGTTTACGGGATTTGGGGTGCACAAAGTATGCCAAAGAAACTAGTTGAGGGGAAAAGTACGAGTTTCAAAATAACCAATCTGAAACAGGAAAATTCTTTTTTAATTAACATAATGTTGATCATTGGATCTCTCTTCAATTTCTCATTGCCAGTTAACTGAAATCAAGATTTGGCATTTATGACTGATGATTCTTTTCCTGTTTTTTTTCTCAAAAAGCACTCATTTTCCTTGTTCCGAGTGAAGATTCCACGTGTCTTTATCTACCCAAAACAAATCTGAAAGTAAAACAACGCCTTCGATATCAAAAATCTTTCATTTTAATCCTTATTATCAGATTTTCTCTAATAGTAGTGCACCCCGGCGAGCCGAGTTGGCGACGATTTTACGGTTTCCAAGCTTTTGCCGAAGCTCAATACTCAAATCCCCCACTAGATCTCATCGTCAGCTACATTTTCCGACCCCACATCGATGGGTTCTGATAAGCGGTTCTCGAGATTTCAAGGAATTTAGACAACGCTCAGGGTGCACTACTATTAGAGAAAACACGGTACTCATTTTGAAACTAACTTTTTGAAATCTTTCTTTTCTTTCTTTTTCTCGAATTACATCCTAGAATGGAAAATTTGCCCAATTTTCGAAAAAAGAACGGAAATTAGAAGATTGAACATGAAGCTGACCTGAAAAGCTAATTTTTTAAAACCTTTTCACTGCTACTGACTAACTAAACTATTGTGTTCAAGAAGATCAAAAAATTGAAAAATATTTTTTCGATTTTTGGCAATCTTGTCAAAGTTCTAAGCTAAACTTTTTAAAATTTCTGAAAAATTTGAAAAATTGCTCGAATTCTGAGCTTTTCAGCTCAACCCAATCTTCATTTTCAATCAACTTAATGGTTTCCCCAAAAAATTCTCCAATAGCGATTTTCCCAACTTTTTCTTATTCAATCCAACACTATTCTCAGAGAAAAAAAAGCCCAAATCGGGTAGCCCTAAGCAAACATTTCGTTGCGGCTTTTGGTGGCAAAAGGAGAGAAAAAGAAAAGAAAGGATTCAGAGGAAATCTTGTGTTTCAATTCTATTTGGCCCCTCAGACCTCTTCTTAAATAATTGATTCCACTAACAACAAGCACACCTTTTTGCAGTAGTTTCCCCGTAGTACTCATCGGTACTTTGTACTCCCAAACTCCCGTAAATGCACCCCTTCTGGCGCACTCAATCCTTCGACGCACCAAATTTCTACTTCCCTCTAACATTCTCTAGTTGAATTTCCAAACTTTGATCAAACTTACTTAATTTTGAAACTAGCTTTTTTATTCTAAGTCAGCAGTCAGTTTCTCAATTGGAGCAGTTGAAATTAGGATTTCTGCATTTTTTTTCGATTCTAACAATGACTTTGGCTTATAGTTAGCCTTCAATGACACTTTTTTATACATTAGTGCAGTCACAGTCATCATTTAAAACTTTAGTCGTCCAGCTATTACGTCCAGCTTTACTCCTCTCATTAGAAGCGATTTGAAACTCAAAAAACTGCATGGTAACCTTCGAAGTTTCTATTTATTATATTTCTTCTATTTAAGTTTCTACTTACTTTTCTTATTTTTTGAATTAAAAAATATTTGAATTAGAATTGCAGAAAATGTCCGTGGAACTCTCACCGGTGGATCGGCTCAAACAATCGGCGGCCATCCGAAATCCGCTCGTCCGAAATTTACTCTCCGAATTCTTCGGAACTTTCATGTTATTGGTGCGTTGAAGAGAATGATGAAAACAATTGAAATTAAATTTAAATGCTAAAATTTAAACAAAGATCACTTTTTAAATGAATAGTTATGCTTGAACAAAAATTATTTTATTAAATCACCTACCAACTCGCACTAAGCAGAGGTGTTATAGCTTTATCTTTAACTAAATTGAAACATCCTATTTGAAATCAGGATTTTGTTCATTAAAATGGATCTTTTTTCAAAAAAACTTCAAATCAATGATACGGTGTCCAGAATACGTTACAATCAATTACATTTTCCTCTTCTCTTCTCTTCTCTTACAATCAATTACTCTTCTCACCACTCTGTTTCCACAATCCAGAACCAATTGCACCCAAAAAAGTTTAAATTTTTAAAGCAAATGGCATCAAGTTTAGGCTAATAAAAGGAAGCATTTGCCAAAAAAATTGGGCCAACTTAAAGCTCACACCTTACCCACTTCCTTTTTTAAATTGAAACTAACTTTTTAAATTTGCATTTTGATCAGAGTTTGTATATCAAACAGGGCTACTAAAGGATCAAAAAGTTAAAATTTCCAAAATATATAATCCTTTAATCTTGCATCGCTAAGGAGGAAAGTTTCGCTATCAAATAACTCAAAACTTTTTCAGTTCATCGGTCTGACCATCGTCATGCAATTCATCTTGACGCACGAGAAGCTCAACACGTGGATCAACATCAATATGGGATGGGGTTTTGCTATCACTTTTTGTGTCATGATGACGAGTCAGACGTCGGGTAAGTGAACCAATTCGTTCTCAAGTACGCCTTATCCTATCCGGTTTAGTCTGGCTTGGTCCTAAAGAAAGAGTGCGAAGTTTGGTTCAACCTGGCTTGGCTTTAGGCCAGGCTAGCAGCCTAAAGTCTGAACTGAACTGAACCTGAGCGGGGCTGGCTCAAGTTTGCTCGAGTCGGGCTTAAGCAGCAAGTTATTTCAATCGGCGCTAAAGATAACAGTTTCAGAATGTATAAGAGATTTTCACGCTACAGCTACACTTATTACTTAGTCACCAGAAAAAGAGTCGCCCGAATTGAAACTTGAGTTTTTCATCTGAAATTTTTGAACACTTTTTGATTTTTGATGCAATTTTGGGCACGAATGATAGGTTTTTATAAGTTGAAACGAAAAATAATTGATTTCCAGGTGGTCACCTCAACCCGGCGGTTTCCTTTCTGATGGTCACTCTGGGAAAATTGTCCGTTCCACACTTTTTCCTCTACTCAATCGTGCAAACAGCTGGCGCTTTCATTGGAGCTTTCCTTTCGTATTTAGTCTACTATGGTGGGTTTTTGAAATTTCCTAAATGAAGTTTGAATTTAAGATAACAAAGTAATTTTGAAACCAAGAACGATCTATAATTAGCCAAAAGAAGCCAGTCTTGAGCCGACTAAAAGAGTCTCACCTTGAAGTACTTTGTGCTCTCTCAAATTTCGTAAACACCCACTTTCTGGCGCACGCAATTCTTCCATTCCCCTCCTGATACCAAATCATTGCTGTGAGAGGAAATGGAAGCGTTGAGGGCGCCAGAACGGGGATGTTTACGGGGTTTGGGGACACAAAGTACACCACTGAAATCAGAAATCAGGTATACATATATTGCTTTCTTTACGCATCAAAGATAGCCCTCAAACTTGAAACCAAGAAAATTTTGTTCGGAGATGTTGATAAAAGAATTTGAAACCTTAAAAAAGCATAGCCTAGAAGGTAGTTTCACATTTTGACAATACAAGAATCAAAGTCTCAACTTGAACAAGGACTTTGATGGAATTAAGGATGCAATAGAAAGTCATTAGACTCTATTTCCAAAGTTTTCCAAATTTATCAATTTCTTGATCTAAATGTCTAAATGTCAGCTAATCCACTTTCCAGATCAATTCCAAAAGTTCTCGGGTGATCGCCGGGTTTTGGTTGGTGCGCTAGGGTCGGCCGGATGTTTCTGCTCGTTCCCTGGGACTCACGTCAGCAATTTGACCGCCTTCTTTGATCAGGTAAATGAACTTTGAAATGTAAGTTATTTAAGCCTTTTGGAAGAATGGCATCCCACCCTACTATGCGATAATTTTGCCTACTGACACAAGCAAATTTGAAACATTTTTTTCTTTCAGGTAGCCGGCACTGGACTCCTCTGCCTCTTCCTCTGTGTGATCGTCGACAAAAGGAACAAGGTTTCAAATTTGTCAGTTATTAAAGGAAAAGTTTTAGCTAGTAATTTTTGAGGCTAGTAGAGTTTGAGTGACAATATATTATAGTTTCACATTTGATTTCTAGTTTCAAGCTAATCGACTACTAAACGCATCCTTTTTTAAATAATGTATCGCTCGATGAAGAAAACCCTCTAGACATCTAGATTTTAGTAGTTTAAAAAGTCCAGAGCTCTTTAAATGTCATGCTAACCAATTGCACTAGTTTCTTAGTGACAAAGCGTGGAAACTCGGCCAAATTTTTCTTGGTTCTCAATGCAAATGGAATCCTGCTTTCTTTTTGAGTTCAAAATGGAGAAATTATTAATTTTCCACCCTCAGAATAATTTTTTCACTCTTTTTTCATAATGGACCAGTGACTCCTTCCATCATTAGAACTCAGACCTTACCCAGTTCTTCTTTTAAATTGAAACTAACTTTTTAAATTTGCAATTTTGACCAAATTTAGTGTATAAAACAGGGTACTGGTGGTAGCTTCTTTGGTTCCGAATTAAGATCAAATTTTGTACCCAGGGCTTGTGGGTAAAAAGTCGAACTCTGATGCTAGACTGCTGACTTTACGAAAAACTGATGCCGAATGAAGCATCTCCATCTCCGAAAACCCTTTGAAATACCTCTATTTATCTATTCATTTTTCACTCTTCACCTTTCCAGTTTCAAAATCTCAATTTCAAATTAATCGACTACTAGACGCATTTCTTTTTAATAATCCTGTAGATATGTACAAACGAGAATCTAGTATTTTAAAATGTCCGCAGCTCTTTAAATTGTCATACCAACCACATCTTCCCGTAAATTATCATAAAAACATAAAAAGACTATAATTTTAAAGCTCTGCAGTTTCAAGATACAGATAAATGACCATTTCAACCTTTAATTTTTTGAGATTGAAACTTTTCCAATCATTTTCCCCATTCAGATTCCCGACATGCTGCACCCGATCTGCTTTGGATTGCTGTTGATCATGATCGGTGAGTATAAAATAGGCTGAAAACAAGCTTTTATCCATTATTCAGGGTTCTCGAATGTTTAGTCAATCAGAGAATCAGACAATAGCTAACTAGCAGTAAGAGAACTGCAGTAAGAGTCGAATCAAGCTTTGCCATTCAAAAGCCTGCAGTGTCCTCAATGAAATTATAATGATTAACAATATCTACATAAAGTCATGAGCCTTGAACGCCTTCTAAATTCAAGGCTGCTCGATGGGCATGAACTTGGGCTATCCGATCAACCCGGCAAGGGATCTCGGCCCTCGACTCTTCGCCTATTTCATTTACGGAAAAGAAGTGTTCACGTGGGTTCGAGGAAGTTTTTGAAATTGAAACAATTCGCCTCCAAAAAAGGGAAATCAAGTTTCAATTTTGATCCCGTTTGTTAACCCTGATTGAATTTAATACAATTTCAATTTGTTGAATTTTAAATGCAATTTTCTTTCCTGAAGTTTCCTCTTTCCTAAGTTATTAGAAACTAGAAATGACTATTTAAAGCCTATTTAAAAGGCTATCAATGGAATTTTTGATTTTAAAAACCCGTTTTTACTTCTTGAGCTGCCAATTCCAGTTACCACAACAACTACTTCTGGATCCCGGTGGTGGCGCCGTTTTTCGGGGCGGTTCTCGGCGGATGGTCGTATCATCTCTTCGTCGGCATCCACATTGAAGATCCGGTGAGATTAGTTGAAGGTTATTTAAAAATCTACATTTTTAAATGAATCTTGAATGAAAAGAACGAAAAATTCGTTAAAAAAACCAAGATTTTCTGGTTTCCATACAGAATGAGAATCCGTCGTTGCCGTCTTTTGCCATTCTCGTCATTTGCCTTGCTGAGTGCCGAAGCCAGCTAGTGACGAAAAGACGAAAAGAATGATACTTATGCATCTTTCCCACCCCAACGATTAAGGTTAAATGCAAATTGTTCACTTGTACACCTTTTCCCACCGCACTTTGAAATTTTAAAAACAAATCTTTACATATCACATAGGTAAGACAAAATAGATTAATTTTGTTCAACGAGCAATTTAATGAGCCTCCAGATGTGTGCATCTGGAGGCTAATAAGCTGATGGCCTAATAAGCTGATGCATAAGAAGGAAAGGCCTAATAAGCTGATGCACAAGAAGCCTAGTTTGCATATAAACTTGTGAGGTGGGAAAGATGTATAAATACCCGAAAAATAAGAGTACAAAACTAGAATCTTCAGCTAATGGCTATTATTTTATTATCAAACTAGTGCAACCTTTAAAAGTCACTTGAATTTTGTCCCACCAAAACAACGTGTTTCAAAGTGAGAAGTGTTCAGACGTGATTTCGACCGGTAGAAGTGACCTGCCGGGCTTTGTTATAAAGTTAATCAAGTGAAGATCCAGTGGATTTAAAAATTGGATAGATCATCAGAAATTTATATTTTCTAAAAAACTATAAGATTAGTTAAAAAGAATTCAAGGAATTGTACGGTTGAAAGCTTAAAAATGAAGTTTCAAATTAATCGACTCTTGTTTTCAACGCAGAGCGCCATTTGTTGGTTGGATAGAAAATGGATTACTCTACGATTATAGCTATTGAACATTCAGTTTATTTCATTCGATCTACCAGATCAGATTTTCGTACAGCCTTTCGAAAACACTTTTTTGTATTTTTGTAAACCAAAATAACTTATTTCAGTAAACCAAAATAACTTATTTCAGTATTAGGAGTGTCTAGAGGCGATCTGGGTTTGTAGTGTTACCAGTTATTCTTTTATTTCCTCAAAAAGAACATTTTCAGATCAGATTTGAGAGGCAGATCCATAGAAATTAATATGAAAATAACTAACAGTGATAACAATGATAAACAATGATTTTAAAAGACAAGTTTCAACTTTTTTGACTATTTTTTAAATTCATGAAATAATTAATATCAATTGAATCATTTTTCTAGCTTTTATTATAGATTTAACTAAAAAAAACTCAGGACATTGATGAGGAGAGACCCGTGCAACGGATGATTGAAGACGGCGAGAAAAGTGACCGCGCAGAGCACAAGAGACTCATCAAAGGGTAGGAAAAGACATTCAAGTATTACCTAACTTCTTCGAGTTAGATTAACAATTTTTAACCAGTTTTAGCCAGTATTTAAAGTGTACTTTGTGCTCTCTCAAATCCCGCAAACACCACCTTTCTGGTGCACTCAATTCTTCCATTTTTCCTCGGTTGCTGTGAGGGGATAATAGAAGAATTTAGTGCACCAGAAAGGGGGTATTAACGGGGTTCGGAGAGTAAAAAGTACAATGTGTCTAACTTAATTTGGTGACCATTATTTCTTGTACAGATTAAATCCAAGAAAACTAATTGAGGTTACCAATTTTGAAACAAGATTTCTCATTTTTTTCGATGTTTCAAAATTTCATTTCAAAGTGTTCGGCTAAAGAATTTTGGTGCTAATAACGCTTGTTGCTTTGAGTCTTAATTTACTTTTTAATTATACAGAGTGCTGTCTGTAGAACTGTAATATATTAAATGAGCATCTGAGTTGGTTGCAGTAACCAGCTAATCGCCAAACAACCATTAGCTACGGTCATTGGCTACAGCGAGAATTCGATTACCTAATTGAAGTTGAAACATCAAATTTTTAATCATTAAATTTTTTATTTAAAGAATTTTAACGCTCTTTTTTTAGACAATGGGTTGTAATCTACTGAAAGAGTAACATTTTCCACAAATTTCTTTTCAATTCAATAGAAACTAATCACTTTTCCAGCTTCAACACCAGCGTTTGAGTGAAAAAGTGAGGTGATTAGTTGTTTGGTGAAGGGGAAAAGCTAAAGGAAATCGTGTGTATAAAATTTTTGGAGTTTCAAAGATGAAGGGGTTACCCTGCAAGTATCTAGAAGATAATCCAGTCATCTTTAAATGAAAATGAAAATTCTTTTCAATACAATGAAAGTAAATACCGTAAATGCTACTTACAATTTATGTAAAATTTTGCATTTTTTTAAACACTTAGATAACAAAATTTCGAGCTTTAAGTGCTTTAAGCAATAGATAAAAGGCTAAGAAAAGCTTTAATGAAGTCAAAGATCTGATAAAAAGCTCTTGAAACTACCTTTTTGAACTCCTAAAAATTTGGCATTTGGCTAGGGACACGAAAAGAATTCTAGAGGATAAAGCTGAAGAAAAGACTAGAGGAATTACGGTATTACGGTAGAACAATTCGAGATTAGAGGAATTACGGTATTTTATGTGTTTTTCTTCAAGAAAAGCAATCAAAACGTGTGAAAGTTTGCCAAAAATCATTTTAAAACTTGCCTTTTTGCTAGTAATTTCAAATTTTATGAAATTTATTTTCTAGTTTCAATTTACTCCGGTACTAGCTTTTCAAAAGAATTCTAGTTCTTTCACTTAAGTTTCTTTGCAAAAATCATCCAAATTTTGGTTGGGGCTTTGATTAGAGAGTTTACGGTCAATTGATTGCATTCATAGGCATTGGACTAGTACTTTAAAAAATACAAGTTTCAAAAGAAATACAAGTAATTTCAAGTAAAACCTTGGCTTTTCCCTTCACCAAAAATTCCCTTAGAAACCCTGAAAATGTTGTATTTGAAAAGAATGTTTGAAAAAAAAAAAAATGAAACATTAATTTGTTTCAGGGACAATCACTGAGCGACGATCTCCACGAAATGATGCATTTATACTTAAAATTCCATATTTTTTCTATCGTTTCCGCAAAACTTTACGCAAAGAAAATTCTTTTTTTGAGTCTTTCTTGATATTTTTTTTTCTGTGTGTGACTGTGCAATTCTCAAATTGTGCTTCAAAAAGGAAGTGATAGTCATTTCTTGATTAAAAAAAGTATTCAATCTTGAAAGTTTATTGAAAAACACAAAAAGAAAGACATGTTTTCAAGTTCAGTGGTTTGTCTTGTTAAGAGAAAAAGCCATGCCGGTGTAGAGATGATTGGTAGAGATGATTGGTAGAGATGATTGGTAGAGATGATGGTAGAGATGATTGTAAATGGTGTTACTCTTCTCAAAAATGGCACTTTTTGAATTGCAGTAACCAAATTACAGTATTACAATCATCAAATTACAGTAACCAAATTGAAACCCTTTACGGGATCTAGAGTTTGCAAGAAGTTGTTTGTTTTGAAATTAATTTCTTTACAAAATCACTATATTTTGTCTCAGATACAACAGCTACAGTAGGCCGTATTCTTAGCTTTAAAAGTGAAGGGCCTAATCAGAAAGCATCTAGATGAAGGGCCTAATCAGAAAGCATCTAGATGAAGGGCCTAATCAGAAAGCATCTAGATGAAGGGCCTAATCAGAAAGCATCTTTGATATATCTAGATGCAGGTCTAGATCCCATAAATCCATAAAAAAGACGAGATTTCTGGTTTTTTTTTTGCTTGATTTCTGATTGACGTAATATTGACGAATTGATTGATGTAATAGTTGAATTCCGAAGTTTGTAGAATAAAAACCATATAGTTTCGTCATTTTGTTGATCATAGATCCGTATGAAAGAGTTATTGCTTAATTTCACCCGTTTCCGCAAGCTATTGTTTCAAAATGATACCTAGAAAAAGCGTATTCGATAATTTAGTCCTGGATTTCTTGCGTGCTGACAAAGCGAGCTCTGAATGCTATTTTTTGCGTTTTAAGTTCAACGGCTTTTTTAATGAGGAGCAAAAGGGAATTCTGACTGTTCAAACAAAAATCGAGCTAAAAATATTCTTTGAGTTTGCGGAAGTTAAAAACTGGAAAAATTAAGTTTGCCGGAAAGGTTGTGCTTGCCCGTTTTTGAGTAATATCTTAACAAAACAAGTATACCGTATTTTCTCTAATAGTAGTGCACCTCGGCGAGCCGAGTTGGCGACGATTTTACGGTTTCCAAGCTTTTGCAGAAGCTCAACAATCAAATCCCCAACTAGATCTCATCGTCAGCTACATTTTCCGGCCCCACATCGATAGGTTCTGCTAAGCGGTTCTCGAGATTTCGAGCAATTTAGGCGACGCTCAGGGTGCACTACTATTAGAGAAAACACGGTAGTTAACCTGAAATGGTTCTTAAGACTTAAAAAACAATGATCAAGTGGCCAAAGGACTTACCAAAATATCAAAATTTCTATTTAAACAGGCTTGTGAGTGAGCCGTTTTTGAGAATTTCAATTTTAACTTTCCACATCTGAAAGTATTTCATTTGAAGTAATCTTTTTATTGTTTTCTTTTGATTTCATCATTTTCTGAACAATTTTTGCGTGAGGCTCCAAAATTGTGAATGCATTTCAAGTTCATTTCAGTTCAATGTCAACATTTCTCAAAAAAAAATTTCTTTTTCAACAGCTTTACAAAAACAAAAAGGAAACAAAGAAAAAAAACGGTCTATCTCATAGAAATTATCGTGAAAATTGAAAATTAACGAAAGTCGGTGTCTCGAAAAATGCCTGGATCACAGAAGGGAAAATATATGAAAATATTCAGCCTGTAAAGTGATAGGTTTCAAAAAACAAATCTCATCCAATGAAAATACAAAAGAAATGATATAAAATGGGAATTTACAAGGCAATTTAGAGCTTAGTTTTTAAGGCTTAGAGTTTGATAGAGCTTCTGTAATGAAATTACTGGACAATGAAATATGATATTTGAAAAACGATCGTCACTTTCGCGCGTCTGTAACTCCCTTGTCTTTACCGTATTTCTAAATATTAATATTACCATTGTGTAGCCCTTGAAAAGAGCTTTCAGAAAATGTAGAACACTAATAGTTTAAACTCAAAGACAAGGGAGTTACAGACGCGCGAAAGTGGCGATCGTTTTTCAAATATCATATTTCATTGTCCAGTACTGTACCTTTCCTATCTTTCCTATAATCTTTTTGAAAATTTCCATTTTAAAGAAAAAAAAAGACATTAAAAGGCCCAAAAGTTGAAAAAAAAACAGAAGCAAAGAGAAAAACAGAAGAAAAGAAAAAGAGCTTACAGAAAATTTTTAGAAATCAATTTTATCCAAAAAAACACAACCATTTATCTATGAAATGTGTAAATTTACACGTTTAAAAAAACTCTAAAAATAGCAAATGACCAATGCATCCACCCGAGAAAACGAAAAATGGAAATTTCAGGGAAATTCTTTTAATTTGACAACACTCTGCAGCAACATAAGTGATTGATTGGGGAAATCTTTTTGAAAAAAGGAAAGTTTCAAAATATTCGATTCTTTTCGGGAATTTCGATCACTTAATGGATAGGCTAAGAGGAATTAACAAGCAAAATTAACAACCAAAAACTCAACTCAAATTTTCCAAAACTTCATTTACGATTTGCATCTTGTTTAAACCTTTAGAAAACCCTGTTCCCTTAGAAAAATCTGATATTTGAATCTTGAAACATATGGAATTTCTAGAATATCACAGATTGGTCATAGGATTTACGAAACAACAACAGAGATTATGCCCAAAAAAATGGCAATGAAATGAAGAAATTGTTGGGGATTTAAAAGCGTTAAATGTACTGTAACTTAGCCACAGTACACTCATCAATTAACCAATTAATTGATAGATTTGAGTGTCTTTTTAGGTAAGTCTATCGATTTTTCAACTCTCGAGCCACACGTTTCGTCGCTCGTCCACAGCAACATCCCAACAGGAGAATCACCACGATGAACAGGGCAAACCAGGAGAGGAGAGACGTCTGAAAGTTGGGTAATTCAACCAGAACGGTATTTTAGAGTCTCATTGTAACCGGAATCGAACCCATAACCTTTGAAACGATAACCAAGCTCGGTAACTAATTGGTAAACATGCTTGAACACTTTAAGATTTAGTTTAAATAGGTTAGATAGTTAAATCTCCAATTTACGATCTGATTTTGGTGAATAGCCACTAAAAAATTACCTAACTCTGACAGCCTAAAAATTGGAAAAGTATTGCGGAATTCTTTGCGGAATTTTTTGCGGAATTTCGCGATTTCGCGCCCCAAATTGTCCTCATTTATTGTTTTGTAGCTTGTTAGCTGAACATCTTGTGCTAAAGCCTATATAACCCAACTGTTGTTCATTGGATCCTTCTTTTTTTACTTTTTTCTACTTTCCTTTCATCGTGTGAAAGCTGGACGAAATTTTTTCTGTTTTTATCGTCGCTTTTTATTCAATTGTCGATTTTGTGTGAAAATTGCTCAAGTGAGAGCCCAAAAATTGCCGAGTCAGTCGGCTATTGAACATATCCAACAAGCCAAGCGATAGCTTTTATTTAGTACAATTAAGGTTAATTCTCAAGTTCTCATTCACATTATATAGCCTAAAAAAAGTCAGTTTCAAGATTTCACTTGATGAATAATCTTTAGACTAATCGATTTTCCTCGGGATCCACTTTAAAGTTTCAACTTTTTTTAAGTTCAAAAGACAGTTCTGTATTTTAATTGGCTTTGTGAATGACTGGCTCTCAATCCTGTTCACATTAGAAGGTAGTAAATTGCTTCAATTCTTGTTTCTTGAGTCAATCGGCTATTGAATAAAGTGTCTTAGTTGAAGTGAGATCAGATATCTCGAAACAAGAAATAACGTGTCTTGAGTGAAGAGTACCAAGCAAGCAAAGAAGATTTCTTTACACTGATAGGTTTCTCTTTGAAACTCACTTTATTCGGATGATCTCGGATCACGTCGATCAACTCGCCGAATGTTTCCGGCAATGCCATTTGGTATTCCTGAAAATTTAAATCATTTTCGAAAATGTAATTAAAATTAGAAGAATTTCAAAAAATTTCAGATTAGCCGACTAAATTGAAACCACCAAATGAATGTCATTCAATTCTTACCTTGGCAGCCAAATGGCAAATGATTTTTGGCTAATTTTAAGCCATTTGGTTGTCAAAAATAGTATCAAAGTAGTTTTTTAACGAAAAAAACTCACGGCATGCGCTTTCTGCCACAATTGGTGCCGCTCGTGGAGTTTCGTCGCGCACTCGGGGTTCATTTTGATCGACGAGATCTCACGCAAGTCCATCAGACATTTGATCACTGAAAAGGAATGGATAACAATCAAAATATGAATATTTTTGCACTTTCTAGGATTATTATGAAGCATTTAACAGACTAGGCACTATTGCACATAGTTATCACATGAAATTCAGTTTCAAAATGATTATTGTGAAAGCCAAGGGTCGACAGGCAATGATTTCTCGTTCTTCGAATGACTCTTGCAATTTCCCCCAAGTTTTGAAGTAAGGAAATGGAATTGAATAGTTTTATAAAATGTAAGTTTCAAGATGATTGACTAGATGGGAGAATAGTTCACATTAGTACAGTTTTAAAGTGATATCTACATTCTAGATATCTACAATTTTAAATGTCTACATCTAGTGATATCTACAATTTTAAATGTATAGGGTGTCCGGAAAAGAAGTGGTCATCGGTTTGAGTCTGGGAAAATTTTCTCGTTGATTTTTCAAGGCTGGTGTCAAAAATGGTTTTCCCTCAGACGTCGCACAACAAGATGAAGTTCATTTTTTTGATGATTTTGTGAATGCATCGGCCGGGGAGCTCAAAATCCACGTATAAATGAAAAACAAACTTTTGAATTCCTTTATTTCACCACAAATCTTTCTACTTTGTTTTTAAAAAACTTGTTTTGTTCCTTTACGTGGATTTTGAGCTTCCCCGGACCCATGCATGACCCCCATTAACAAAAGCATCAAAAAATCGACTTCATCTAAGGCCAAACCATTTTTGACACCACGATGAGCCTTGAAAAATGAACGAGAAAATTTTCCCAGACTCAAAGCGATGGCCACTTTTTTTTCCGGACACCCTGTATACTGTAATTTGAATAAAGTACACCCATAAGCAGGCTACATTTTATTTGAAATTCTAGTTAAGAGCGGCTTGATTGATATCTGTAAGAATTTGAATCTAATGGATACTATCAAAATTTTCTTTAACTAAAAGATAAAGATGAAAAAGAAAAGTTTCAAAATGATCCTTATGAAAGTAAAAAATGATGGCTAATAATATTGAGCATTGAGTCCTTTTGCAGATCCGTTAATTCTATCATTTTCTCAGCATCGAAGATTGTAAAAAACTGAATTGCAAAATGTTCGCTTTGTTTGGCTTCTTTTTTGTTTGTTTGTTTGTTTGTTTGTTTGTTTGTTTGTTTGTTTTTGTTTGGCTTCATATGATAATGATGTGAGGGCTAGGTTATGCTAATTTTTGTTTTAGCCCCACTAGAATCCTACCCAGAATTTGTAAAATTCAAGTTTCAAATGTAATCAATGTGTAAAAGCTGAATAGAATAACGCTTGATTGATCCAATTTTCAAATTTCCCCCTTCCAAACCTCGTCCCTCTCCCGGTGGGACATCCCTGCAGTGCCTCTGGATATCGTTTGCGCAACTTTCGTGCAGAACAGGGTCCAAATGAATGTCCACAAGGGATTCCTGGGTTCGCTTGGCCAACTGTAATCAACTAGATAAGTTTGTCTAATGAAATTACACGGTACTATGTAACCTTAGATATAGAAAATGAATAAAAACCACTGATCAGTAAGAAAAGAGCCATCTTACAGTATCTTCAGTTTTTTAATTATCTAATAAAACTCAAGTTTCAAAGAACTCAAGTTCAAAGTCTAAATTTTGAGGCTAGTGAGCCGTTAAAGTCTTAGATGAGAAGATCAGTTTCAATTTTAACATAATAAGAGCAAAAAAATGAAAGTTAATATGCAAAAGCCGTTTTTCGATTTCCCCTTACCTCTTCATTACACGATTTATCCTGAATGGCTCCTTGAAAGAAATCGGCTTTGAGGCATTCGATCACGTTGTCGTAGTGACCGCCCTTGCTGAGGATTTGACTCGTACAGTGACGATCGATCGCGTTTTTACACGCCTAATGTAAATAAATGTTTCAAAATTTTGATTCGATTTTGTAACCAACTTTGTACAATGGCGGATCGAGTTGCACGTCAAATTCGCTTTCCAGGATCATATTCGACATCTAAACAATTAAACAAAACTATAAATCAGAATTTAAAGCTTTTGGTCTTGCTTAGGTCTTAAATCCGAATCCAAAAGGCAATTTGCGATTCTTTTCTGGCTTTTTCCATTTTTTGCTTACCTCAATGGTGCACTCTTGCGAGAAGTGAGCCTTTGAGCCGCCGAATCCTTTGCGGAATTGCTCGCGAAGGCCTGGAAATGATTTCTTTTGTTTGCAACGAAACTAAATAACTGCTGAATTGAACATTTTCATTTTAAATTATAATAATACCAGCGGAAAACGCTCACTAACGTCCACGCAATCTAAGTCGCAATTTTGCCGCGCGCAATTTTGCCAATGGCTGCGCACAGACAGACAGACGGACTTCTCTTCTGCTTTATATATAGTAGATCTCATGACTGTTACGATTCAACAAACTCCTTCCAAGCTGATTAATTTGAAACACTCACAATTGACGACAACTCCTTCCAACGTTGTCTTGGCATAGCGTTCATCGTTGATCTTCTTCATGTCCTCAGTGCAGCTGAAACGAATAGATTAGATGTTCCTCATTCATTTTCAGACAAACTACCGTAATCCGCACATCATTTTTCACTCAATCAGCCCAATTTTGGTACCATTCGATAGGGATCACAAGGCTCAGTCAATGTTACCAAAATTGGGCTGATCGAATGGAAACTGGCGGGCGACTATGGTAGTTTGTCTGAAAATCGATTGACCAAGAGAGCTCTAAAAGAGCTTTTGCCTTGGATTATTTGAAATAACTCACAAAGTCTCAGCCTCTTTTCGACAAGCCGTCAAGAAAGCCGGTCGAAGGCGCACATCTTTCGCTTGCTCTTTCATACGCTCGTGAACCACCTAGAGATTTGAAACTCTTGCTAACTTTGAAACTCTTACTTTCAGACACGGCTTTTTTAGCATGCGCAGGATTTTCGTGTTTGTTAAACAATCCAACACTCGATCCGGTTGCACGTTTCGGCAATGGCTTTGGATGTCCGGAGCGCAGAGACGCTGAAAAGGGGGAAAAACTGTACACATTGCTTTTGATATTCTAGTATACTTGTTCAGATACGATCAGTTATTGAGTTATTGTTATTGAGTAACCCTTTTCAGCCCGAAAGCCGACTAGCTTGAAACAAGGAATTCTGAATTAGGATGAGAAAACAAATTAAGGAATCTCAAAGGGTCTATAAGCTATTTGGTTTCAGAAAAGAATACTTGTGACTTTTTCTTCACGTAAATTTACAGAATTTTCATTACATTTACATAAGAATATGAACTTGCACAGTCCAGGCATTTCTGACATGGAAAATTGTGAAATGATTGAAAATTGTTGAAAAATGAAACTTTCCGAAACAGTGTGTTTCAAAATTGCTCAGTTAAAATCGTTTACTGACCACTTGAGGTCGGATTGTTTTGTTTCGCTCACCTGTAACTCGTCGTCCAAAGTGTTATCAGCTGCCTCGAACTTCTCACGATCGAACACCAACGCCTTGCAATCGGGCACTAAAATTTGACAAGTTTCTAGGTATTGAAGAAGAAAATGAGCTTGACAAATGTTAGTGTTAACGATTTGATAAATCTTTCCTTCAAAAACTGACCCAATGAGTCGAATCCCTCTCGGAGACATTCGATGACCTCCTCGAATGTGTTCTCATCCTGCCGCTAATTTGTTTACATGTTTACAAGGTTTGAAAAGAATAAAGTTTTGCGTAAATCTTAAAATTAGACGGATTAGCTTAGCACCAATGAGCCATTACCTCTCCTCAATCCAATTTCTCCCCGATAACCTTGAAATTTCTTACTTTGCATCCCAATCGCTTGATATCGCTCTCACACTTTCTCCACAAATTCGGATCCGCTTCTTTCATGTTTTCCTTGTCGTCGAACTGGAATTCATTTGTAAATCAAAAAAGAGAAACGTTTTAAAATTAGGGTGACCCTGGGCTCTACGATTAGCTACGATTAGCTCTACGAATTTTCTGGGCTCTACAATTAGCTATATTAGCTAGATTTCCCACTTCGATTTTGACTGGACATTTATGGGATAAAATAAGCCTGAATCCTGAAAAGTCGCAAATGAAAAAACAGATACTTTTGGTGTACTTTGTGCTCTCCGAATCCCGTAAATAGAAGAGGAAAATAGAAGAATTGAGTGCACCAGAAAGGGGATTTTTACGAGATTTGCGGGACACAAAGTACACCAATGGATTTTTGACGAAAATGAGGGAATTTTTGAGACGTTCACACCTTTGGGGAGAAATTGTTTCAACGAAAAGACAGTAGAATGTTTTTTGAGTTGATCTAGAATCTTAATTAAGAATTAAGGCTTAATTAAGGCTTTTGAAAGAAATTGTAGCACAAAATTTGAATGTGCAAGTTTTAAAAGTTTAAAAGTTTAAAGTCTAAAGTTTAAAAAAGCTAAAATAAGCTATGATGTGGATTTCAAAAATGGTGTTTCAATTTTTGGGATTTGTTTAGGGTGAGCTCGACAACAATCGTGTGTTTTTTTTTGTTGTTTTTCAAATTGTTGTTCTTCTAAAAAACTCATAAAGGCTTTTGCCAGCTGTAACTATTATTTCTGTTGTTGCAAGTTTCAAAAAAAACTCTTATCCCACTCGAATTTAATTGCTGAAATGAACACTGAAAACTTTGACTGGAAAAGATAATTCTGAGCCATTTTATAGTATTGGTCTCAAGTTATTTAAAAAAAAAATCAATGAATCAATCAATGAAAATGATTTGCCAAGCTCCCAAAGAGATCAAAACGAAAACCCGAAAATCGTGTGTGTGTAATGGCTAATCGAGCTCTAAACTAATCCGTTTTCTAAAAAGTGCCCTTTTCTCCAGTAAAATTGTCTCTATTTTTTATCCAATCGATCCACTTTTTGTCTAAGTTTTGGGGGGTTGGACAAATGCGATCTTTTTTTTGCGCACCTGGACATTTGCGCACCTTTTTTTGCTGGAAAAGGCCTTAGGAAAGGTCGTAGAGCTTCAAAAATATTTCCATAGGAGGGAATCGTATGCGTAGATTCAGAATTTTGACAAATCACACCTCGCTGACACGTCAAATTTGGACTAAAAGGCAAAAACTACGCAACTTAACGCTTTTCCGCAGTTTTTGCCTTTTAGGCCAAATTTGACGTGTCAGCGAGGTCTGATTTGTCGAAATTCGGAATCTACGCATGCGATTCCCTTATGTGGAAACATTTTTGAAGCTCTAAGACCTTTCCTAAGGCCTTTTCCAGCAAAAAAAAGGTGCGCAAATGTCCAGGTGCGTAAAAAAAGGTCGCATTTGTCCCACCCTCAAGTTTTGTGATGATATTGAAAGATATAAAAAGTGGATAAATTGGATAAAAATAAAGACAAGATTACGGTAGAAAGGGGAAACGTTTTTTAGAAAACTGATTACTTTAAAGCTCTCTATTAGCCAACAAACAACGGGGATGTATATATATTTGCATAGCGGTGAAACAGAAAACCAAACACTCACTTGTGTTTCTACCTGTTCTTGTTCCAAATAGGCAACGCGGAGCTGCTTTTTACAATCTTTCGCCAAGTCGTCGCTCTGTCCGAGCACTCGATGCAAGAATTGCACCTCCGAAAGGCAACGGATGATCGAGGCTCTGGAAAGGGTTTTTGAGACTTTGGAGATCTCCCTTTTCGGTTACTCTATTTTCTAAAGTACACCGATTTCGGCTCAAACTATCGTAATCCACCCGCCATTTTTCATTAAATTAGCCCAATTTTGGTATCATAGAATAAGCCTTGTCATTCCTTGTCTAATGATTCCAAAAATTAAGCTAATCGAATATGGGAAGGAAAATAAAGTTTCAATTTGAGGGATTATCCAAGAGATTTGAGCTGATTAGTGGTCGTAATTTTTTTCCAAAACGAACTTTTCATTTCCTTCCCGACTGCAATGCTTTTGAATGTCAGGTCCGCAGGATTGTTGGAATCTGAAAAGTTATTGATGCTTTTGATTCTCAAGTGCTAAACTGATTGAGTCTTTGCAATTGTTCCTTTTTTTTTGTTTCTATCGCATTTATCTCTTATTAAAAGTATTCAGATTTGCATAAAAATGAATTGTAAAAAGTACATTTTAAAGTACATTGTACATTTTAAGCTTTTCGATGTTGTCTCTGTTGTCCTGTTTTTCTCAAACTCACTTGAAACTGAAATGATAGTCTCGCAGCGAGATCAACTCGAAGTGGTGAACGTAGGATCTGAAATGGGAAAATGAAGTTTCAATCTTAACGACCTCCATGAGTTTCTTGTATTCTAGTAGTGATCGGCTACGGTAAAGTGAAATAAAAGTATTCAACTGGCAAGACCGTAATCCAGCTAATCTTAACTGAATACCTTAAACTAGACTGAATATCCTAATCTAGACTGAATATCTTTCGAATATTTGAATTAAAACTAAATATATTCAACCTTTCAGCTGCATACTTTCTATTCTGGGATACTATAGCATCAGAGGAGACATCAGAAGCCAGAAAAGCCAGAAAAGCCAGAAAAGTCAAACCTGCATTTCGAGTTCATATGATCGGAATCTTTGTGCTGAACAAGACACTCCAAAACATCGCCATGATCAATCTCCTCGTTTTTGAATTGCTGAAACAAATTAAAATGTAAATTTTACAATCGTATAACAGTGTTTTGTAATCATTCACCTCACAGTGCGCCTCGATGACCGGCTTGCAGGCTCTCGTCAACAAACGGTTGAGCTTTGTGTCCTGAAAGAGTCATGTTTCAAATAAAGAGTATTATCATATTACTTTGCCATACTTTAATTAATTTTTCTGGATTTTTTTGAAATTTTACTATTTAATGGTCTTTTTTTTGTGAAAAACCCCCGGCTAAAATTGAGTAGTTTCAAAGAAAATATGGTTGAAAGGCTTTCTTGTACCTTATTCTAAGCTGAATACCCAATCTAGACTAAATACCGCAATCCAGCCAATGTAGACTGAATACCTTAGTTTTTTTTAGAAATTCAACATTCTTCCCATCAATAAATGTTATAATACAATTATTTGCGTAAAGCGATTTTTTTGGTGAGCTGCGGACCATTAAATAGTAAAATAGTAAATTTTAAAATCACCTTTGCCTCCATTTCGGTGAATTTCTTCACCTCATCGTAACAAGGCTTGTGATGCTTGATGAAATCTTTCTCCTCGAAATGATCTTGTAAGCATTGCATCTCCTGGAAAATTACTTTCTGATTGGATTTTATTTTTTTTTGGTCAACTGCTGTAAATTAGCTTTATTACTACAGTGCTACTGCACAAGAATCCCTCAAACTTGAAACACGGGTTCTAATCGTTCCAACCCGTCTCTTCGTTTGTCTACTGAGCATATTTTGTAGTCTCAAAACTCTCGAAAATACCTCCTTTCTGGCGCACTTAACTCTAAACTTCCCAGCAAGGATTTGGCGCAATATAAAGGATGTACTCACTAAACTTGTAACGAAAATCTCTGTCAATCCTTTTTTGCCGTTGGAAATTTAAGGCTTTTCTTGTCTTTCTCAGCACCAACACCTCGATTTTGACTATCATTCGATGCAGAATAAAATTGCGCGTCAAATGATACCAAAATTAACTCATTGATATTAAATTTCGAGTTAATTTTGGTCCCATTCGACACGCAATTTTATTCTTGAGTTAAAGATTAGCAAATATGTTTCAAATTTACAAACCTCTTGTGGCTGAATGTTGTGGGAACAGTACTCGGAAAGGGCTCCCCGGCAGTTCTCCTCGACTTCTGGAATAAGTGAAACGCGGATGGCTCTCTCTCTAAGCACTCGTCGAACCTCTTGTGTACATTGGGGAGTCAACTGAAATGAACTCTTCATTAGGAACATAAAAAGATGCGTTTCATTATTAAGGGTATTGAGGAAATTGTTGGGTAAACAATTCCGTATAAAAATGTTTTTCCCACTCACCGGATTCGTCTCATCGTAGGCACTTCGGTAGAGGCAGGCCAACACCTGTGGCCCCGGATCGACCTTGTTTGCATCGTTCGTCTGCATATGCCAATTCTCCAAAGCTGAGCATCTAAAGAGAAATTTGATGATGTAAATTAGACTTTCGTTTAGATGTCTTTGTGATCTTTGTGATATCAGTCAAATTGTCCCATTCATTCGCTTGCCAACCCTATATTCTTTGAAACTTTCAAAATCTCACTTTGAAACGGCGTCTTGATGACAAGCCTGGTAGAGTCGGGGATCCAATGTCCAGTCCCGGGCCATGAAGTATTGGACCTAAAGTAAGAAAATAACGTTTTTCAAATATTTTAGTCAAATTACTTTCCCCCACAACGAACCTCGATCAATCTCTGCTCACATTGTGGAGTCATCTTGTCCGAGTCCACGTTTTTCATCAAACATTGCAGGGTGGCTGCCTCGGATTCAGCGTCTTGCTGGCATGGACCTAGAAAGACAAGTGTCAAGCGGATTCAATTATCCAATTGGTTCGAAAAACAGCTTCAAACTGGTTCAGTCACCCAAGTGCTTCGAATTGCCCCTACCTTCGATGATATCCTTGCACGACGCGAACAACACCTTGTCCACCTTGTAGTTCGAACCGATGTCAGCGATCTGGAAATATAATTTGTGTTTAAAAATAAGAACCATAAAATCTTTTATCGTAAAGAGCTGATAATTATTTTTGAAAAAGGAATTTTAAGTTTCAAGTTTTTTCAAATTAAAAAATCTCGCGTTTTGCTCATTTCATTTGTTGAAAAGCTTGTGTTTCAAGTTAAACGGCTTAAACGGCTACACTGCAACGCTTAGGATCAATGGTTTAGCCGGTTTTTGCGTTTTAGATTATTAATAAATTCAATTTCAAGAGATCTCAATGGATACAAAAGTAGAGACAAGATTAGATTATGGTATTAGAAAGTTTGTACACTTTAGAAAACGAATTAAGCAAGAGCTATACTAACAGTGGTGCTAGAGTGTTAAACAGCGTTAAACACTCTGTTTACAGGAAAAAGGGGCAGTTTTTTAATCACTACACAGTCAATAAAATGAATTGTTTTCTTGAAATTTCCCTATTTTTTCATTCCCTTTACATTTGAACTGACCTTGACAACTTCCCCAAGTGCTTGCATGCATTGTGCGCCGAATTTCTCCTTGTCTTTTCGCTCCTTCGCGTGCGCCATCAAACAGTGAAGGGTTCTGGAAAGTTTTCAAATGAAAAGAATTGAAGAATGCTTTTTTATTCAAGATCTTTTGATTCTCATGCCAAGCCACTTGGAACTCATCTACCGTAAATACTGTAATAGTACCCCATCCCCATAATGACGGTGCGGCGTGTTGCGTAGTCTAGCTTTGAACGCGTTTTTCTCGACACTGGTTTATGCTACAATGCGCGCTGAGATATCAAAAAATAGCCCTGAATTTCAGCTATTTTTTGATACCAAAGACGCATTTTTTGAAAGTACGGGTGCTTTGAAAAAAATGAAATACTAAAAAACTTTAGCGACTACGCGACTGTACAAGGGTGATGGGGTACTATTACAGTATTTACGGTATGTTTTCTATTCAACATTTACAGGGTGTCCCAAAAAATAAATCCACTTCGAGCGAGGAGAAATTCGAGAGTCAAATTTTTAAAATGTTTCTGATGGCTCAAGATATGGTGCGAAAATTCTTTTTTTTTGCGGTCGGGAAATTTTGATGTTTTTTCATGATCTTTACCATATCATGACCCTTTTATGTATGAAATTTCTGAGCCACGACTATCACCGCCACCATATGAGTCAATACCATGAGACTGACATATGAGAAATGAGATTTGCCATCAAATTAAAACTTTCTACTGGCATTGTGATGCATATTACTATTAAGATAACTACAAATTTAAACCATACACTTTATTGATCAGCGTTTCCTTGGAAAAACGTGACATTTCTTTAAAAAAGCACAAGTTAAAAATCTCTTATATATAACAGATTATCATATAATGTAGATGAGTGAAGTGTTTGGCTAAAAATCTTATTTTAGATCTTAACTCTAATATGACACCACGATGCGAGTGGAAAGTTTTCATTTTATGGCAAAAGGTGGTTCAGAAATCTCTTGCATGGTTTCCCGACCCCAAAAAGAGATAATAAAGTGATTCATTTCATAATAAAGTGATTTAGACTTTGAGCTTCAGAGTTGAGCAGTATTAATCGCATCATCCCTACTACCTTGAGCCACCGGAAACATTTTAAAAATTTGACCCGAAGTGGATTTTTTTTGGGACACCCTATACTTATTGACAAAGCTCATGTAGCATCTTACTACTTCACTTATGTCCCTCAGAGATTGCGTGGCATCTTACTACTCTCTAACCAATAAAGTTGAAACACAGAAGATTCAAAATCTTCAAAAAGGTATTGAAATGAGTACCGATAGAAGTAAATCGTATAAAAAGTAATTACATTTAATGTTTTAAAGCTTTAGATAGAATTTTTGAGTAGATTTTTCATGAACTCACCGTCCCTGTGCCTCAATATCGCCTTTCGGTGAACACCATTGATCGATCTCCTAAAGGAAAATGATTATAAAATACGTTTTAACCACTCTAACTATTCCAGATTTGTAATTTCAAATATGGAAAGCTATTTTGGATATAGAGAATCGTTTTTGGAGGAGAAAAATCGTTTTTGAAATCCATTGAAATGAAATTCAATGAAATTCAATGAAATTCAATGAAATTCAATGAAATTCAATGAAATTCAATGAAATTCAATGAAATCCATCCAATGAAATCCATCCGATGAAATCCAAATGCTATTAAAATCCAATTGCTAGGTAAGAAGCCGCTTTGAATTGAAACAAAAGAAAAAACAATAAGTCAATTAAGCTCCAAATATTTTTAACTAAGTTAACTAAGAAGAATTGTGACACTTGATCCTTTTCCGGTCTAATACTTCATGGGATGTCTTTGTGATCTTTGTGATGTCAGTCAGCTCTCAAATTGTCCCATTCATTCGCTTACCAACCCCTGGGCAAAGCTGGGCAAATTCTAGCAACATTGCAAAGCATATTGTTAGCTTTTTGAGTTGATTTTAAATTTTAATTTCTAGATTTTCTTTAACTGATTTCAACAAAAATCTCCCTTGATTGCCCATTTTGAAAGACTCACATTTGCACAATTCAAGACTACTTCGGGCGCGATTCGGAACTCGGTCATCATCATTTGTCGATGTGAGAGCATCTCGTGTTGACATTCTTGTGAGGGTGGGTTTTTCTGAAACAAAAGCATATAAAAATTTGATAAATACGGCTAGAACAATGGGAATTTAAATGTCTTGAAGTTATCAATAATACCAATTATTGAAGCCGACTCATTAAATTTTTAATTTAGAAAAAAAAATCGAATTTATTGTTGAAACTTTGAGCTTTGAATTGCCGAAAGATTTTGTAAAGATTTTGGGGAACTGGTAAAGTAAAAACTGGTTAAAAAAATGTAACTTTTATGCCTAAATATCCTTTTAATAAGCTTTTACATTTTTCCAAAAGAAGTGTTCTGTTTTGAAAAATTGAGTTTCAATGTTTCAAAAGTTGTTTCAATGTTGAAAGAGCTAGTGTCGCTTTTTTTGAGCATTCCATTATTTTCAAAAAATTTATATCTTTTTGTCAAACAAATACCAAGCTGAATGAATTCCGCTAGGATTGAGCTCAATTTTTGACTAACCTCTTGCGTCTTCGCTCCATTCTCCAAACACAACAAGATCCACGTCATATGGAAGTGCACGGCGGCGTCGAGGTTATTTTGCGCTTCGCAGTTGTATCTGAAAGACATTCCTTAAGCTCTAACAAAAATGATATATTGTTTAAAAAAACATTTAAAAATTGAATTCTTTTACTCATTAAAAAGTTGCCTAACTTTAAGTTTCGATTTTGAAAGTGAACATTGCAAAAAGTTTTTGATTTTAACGAACATCATTCTGAGCTCGATGCTTTTCAAAAAGCTAGCCTGAAGCCATCTCATTTGAAAGATACTTTTTGCAATATTTAGCCGAACTTTGTACTGTAGCTATTCCGAGTGGCTGCTTCATTATTTTTCAAATTTATAACCTTAAGTGATCTCATTAGAAACATACTTTTTCAGATCGGCTGCACAGGCTTTCGAGAGTGGATGCGCCATTCGGTAGTCACGACCCATCAATTGCGCGCGCTCGACAAGGATTTTTGAGCACTGAAAATTGAGTTATGTCCTTTGCCGATTGCTCATTTGCTTGTAATTTGTTATCGATAAGTAGTCTATTCGAATTGTGCAATATGCAAACCTCAGGCTGCATTTCCGCCTTGTTCCTGTTGACGATCAAACACTCGAAGACTTTCCCTTGACCGGCTGGAACGTCTCGACAGAATTTCTGAAGTAACAAGTTAGAATTCAATTATCATTTAACTAAATTTTGAGTCTATTTTTATCCAGAAATCTACAATGACCCAAGTATCAAATAATAAAGTGATTCATGGTCGATTTAGACTTTCAGTTTCAAAGTTGAGCAGTATTAATCTTTACATTTCCCTGTTAATTACAACTCCTTTGAATTTCTACATTGAAACAGCTTGTACTTGATTTAAATTAAGCTTAAAAATAACAAGAATCATCAGTATACCATAGTGCTTTTGACAACTTTAAACAGGATTGTTTCTAAGCCAAATTTCCAGGCCATATTTTTCAATTTTTGAGTCCTGCCTTGGTTAACAATGGCTTTTTGGAATAGTTTTGATTTCATTTACCTCTCGATCTTGTCGACAAGCAAAGAAAAGCGGTCGATCCAAATGGAAATCGTCGGCTTGCATCTCGGCCAATCGCATCACCTAAATTGGGAATTCAATTCGAAATTTCGAAATTCTATGCAAGACAAGACAGTGATTCCGATTTTCATTAAAATCGCAAAAAAATGAAACCTCGTGTTTGCAAGTGTCCCCGATTTGCACTGGTCCGCCCTGTTTGTTGCCCTCTTTGACCAATTGTTGAATGAGACACTCCAGAGCCATTCCTGAAAAAGATTTCTATTTACAGCTTCATTTTTATTAGATAATATTTCGAGCCTAATTAAACTGATTCAAATTTTTCTAAAGCCAACAATATTGAAACATCTATTTTGTTCGGTAACTTTTTTCGCTCGGATCAGTGTCGCTTTTTAATCCTCAAATTGGTCCGACTCTTCGATTGTTGATTGCTGAAGCATTTCACAAACTGACCCCATTCTTATTGGAATTTTTTATAAAATTAAGTTTAAGCTGAAACAGTCAAGAGCACAAAGTACACCCAAAAAACCTCTAGTTTCAATGTAATCGTCTTTAAATTGCAAACAATCATCTCAATCGTCTCAATTAAAAAACTAACTCTGCAAGTTTCAACTATTTCCTCACTAACCTTGCGTATGTGGCACGGCAACTCCCTTGTGAGCCTTATCTGGGGTCATCACCTGAAAAAAAAGAGCGGTTTCAAAGAAGACATGAAATTGGAGCTCATATATTTATGCCCGTGTCTTATAGTTAGGTTTTCAGTTGTTTCTAACTATAAGCTTGAAGTATTCAATTATTTACCCGACCTATACATCATTTTTAGATATATTATTACCTGACAATTGAAAGATTTCAACTCGCTTTCGCACTTCTTGATGAATGGGGCGACGAGACGGAAATCGGAGAACGCCAGACGCTCGGTTCGGACTGAAAGGCTTCAAATTCGTGCCAAATAGACATTACAATAATACAAATAAGATAAATTGATAAAGAAAATTTAAGTGTACTGTAGCCAGGCCACAAAAAAGATCTAGGGAGATTGGTTACGGTAAAAATTAAGGGGATCTTTTTATGAAGGTCGGAGAACTGGTATCACTAGCAATTTTTCTCATCCCGAGTACAGGAAAACTTTGAAACATCTTTTTCAATTAGGCGTAGATTTTCATTTTGTCTGATTTGTCGAAGATCTTGTCTTTTAATGATTTTGCCTTGAATAAATCGAATGCTTTAGTTGGACAAAGTAGTTGCTTTTTTTAAATTAAGTTGGATTATCATTAAACTATCATTAAACTTACAAAGGAACTGATAACATTGGCTCTCTTGGGTGACATTGGCGACGAATTCGATCATACACGAAAGGGCGTAGCCGGGCTCGGTCTCCTAAAAGATTTTCGTAGTCAAAAAGTTCTTTTTTCAATATTGAGTAAGTTGAATAGTAAGCAAGCTTGCTAATGCTTGGATAATTTCAAGAATTCAAATGCCAATTAACATCCTGGATTATTTAATGGCCTAGCCTTATCCAATGGTCAGTTAAACCGAATCTTTTGTAATGTTGCATAGTCTGTTCAAGCCAGGCTTTTGACGGGCTCATTGACAAAATCTGCAGTAAATCGTGCATTATTTCACTCACCTGTGCACAGTGTGCCATTGCCGGGCGCTCTTTCATCTCTTTCTCGCAGTATTGCTTCGCGGCGCCCAAAAAGCGCTCATCTTGCGTGAGCCGCTTCTGAAACAAATGTGTCAAGTTTTCTAAGACAAAAGAAGTTTCGGAGTGCACAATTTTGGACAGGCTCTTTTCTAGGTACTTTCATAAAAGGCAGTCTTAACGGGACAGTCACCCCAGTTCCCTAAACCAAAACCTAAACCTAAACAGTTCCCTAAACCATTCTGATTTGAAATATGTTCTTGTGACTGTACTTGACCAATTGTTCAAGACAAATTTTGCTAAATCTAGGCTTAATTTGTGAAAATAAGCCAGTTTTTGATCGATTAGACTAAAATAGTAAAAATGCTTCTCAGAAATTTTCAAGTTTCAAATGGAACCAAGGTTTGTGGAAGGTGCGAAGATTAATTCTTCCTTTTTTGGGATTTGATTAAAGCTATCAATAAACGACAAGGCTAACAATAGCACGATCAATCTTTTTTCTTAATATCCTTGCTATTTTTATCTTTGATTCATTTCCTTGCTCACCTTGAAATCCCAAACGAGTGTCTCACAGGCCTTCGTCAGTGTCCCCGTCTCTTTTTGGCCCGCATCTTGAAGGCATTCAATAATCGAGATATCACTCTTCAAGTCGACTCCATCCTGAAATTATTGGCTCATTATATGTTTTGGCTATGGCATACTTTATTCTCTCTCAAATCGCGCAAGCACCACCTTTCTGGCGTGCTCAACTCTTCCATTTTCCCTCACAGCAACGATTTGGTGTCGCAAGGGGAAAATGGAAGAATTTAGTGCGCCAAAGAGGTGGTGTTTTCGGGATTTGAAAGCTTAAAGTATAAGTTTCTTGACTCAACTCACATGATTGCAATACTTGTGAATGTCCTCTTTGCACGCGTCGAAATCGATGATGTGCTCGCCGCTGGAAATTTGCAAGTTTCAATGTTTTTGGTCAGGATTTTTGTGTTCAATTTCCGAGCCCACGATCTCTCACCGCTTGTCTTCACTACTTTAACGATTTCCCAATGTATTACCATTTTGTTTTCATAAAAAGTCCTTTCTGCATCAAAACTGGTCTCTGATAAAATTTGGTACATATCCCATTCAAATCCTTTACCCCATGAGGTTGCCACGTTTTTCACCAGTTTCCCCCTTTCCCCTTACCCCTTTCCCCTTTCACCCCGGGCTAAAAATTCTCATGAAGATCTCGGGAAAAGACACGAGAATCGCTCCGGACACAATCGACCCGCAAAAACCGGTTTTTTTTCTTTTGTCCTTCCCCATTCTCGGGTCGATTTTTGGATCCTTTAGCCAAAGATTTGCCAAATTTGAGAGAGAAATCGTTAGTTGATCATTGGGATAATTGTTTGTTTAGACTGTTGTTTAGATTGTTAGAAATGAGACTGAGACGTGAGTTCGCTAAAGATTCTTGCGAATTGATGTGCAATAGGGGAAAGTTGGGACTTTGCTAGGTTTCTGAAGTTTGGCTTGTAAAAGGAAAGTGATATTAATCTATACAAAAGTCATTTCAAAAGTCAAAAGTCAAATATTGAGTTTCAATTTGGATGAAGTGAATTCGTGAAATTCTAAAACAATTTGCCCACGAAACAACATGTTCGCTTTTTCGCAAAGATAAATATTAGCATCTAACTAATTTTCTAACTAAATCGATCGATCAAATCGTAAAAATTGTTAGAAATTTGTTCAGTGATTTGTTTGATGATGATGATTCACTAGACGATCACTTTTCACGCGAAAAATCGCTCCTATCAACATTTTGGGCTTTTTTTCTACACTACAAACGAACAAGTCAGATTGATTTCAAATTGAAAAGTTTGTTTTGAACTAGAAATTTTTCCAAAACTGTCAATTCTCCCAGTTCCCCAACAAAAAGCAGCAAACTTGTTTATAAAGGAAAAAAAGGTAAAAGACGCCCGTCAAAAGCAATGAAATCGACTCTATTGATCGTTTGGTTTTGGGGTTTTTTTGGAAAATATTGGAAACATTTAAAAAGAAATCGAAGATCTAAAGGGATTTTAAAAAAGCATAATAGTAATTGGATTGGCTGTAACTGTTTGCTTGGCTTACAATCAGCAAATGGAAACGCTTGAAAAATATAGTTTCAATATTTGTGGCTTAAAGTTTAGAAAAGCCGCTATCATTTCATTTCATCTGGTTCCAAAGTTTAAAACGCTAAGTTTCGAAATTTTACAATGAGGTTTTACTAGTGTTTTTCTAAGCAGTTTACAAGACCAATATGCTCTTTTTTCTCAGATTTCAATTTACTCACTTTTTGCCGGCTTCCACATTCACATTGTTGTTTCCTGCTGGGGCTGCCTCGTCGGCTGTTACTAAAAAGAATTCATAATCGCAATGATTTTATGAAATATTTTTTGTGTTTCTTGATTATTTAATAAGCTTGGAGATTTGGAAATTTAGAAATTTAGTAAAAGAAATTCTTTCTAACTATTCGAAAAGACAATGTTTCAAATTTAGCGCCTTGTCTAGCCTAAAAGCTAGTGTTTCTAGTAATGTTTCTGTAGGACAAAAATTGCCAAACCCACTAAATACTTCATTAAATTTGCTACGGTATCGTAATCGTTCCTCAATCATCAATTTATTAGAAAATACGAGTTTCCTAGATCCTAGATTTTCCGCGGAGCCTATAAAAAGGGTCATGTTTCAAATTTAGGGCTTTGTCTAGCGCAAAAAGGCGAGCTACTATGCCTGACAAAAATGCCAAGACCCACTAAATACATGGCTAAATTTGCTAATTTATTTGTGTTCTGCTGTGACTGTAGTTCTTTTGGATAACTCACCAAATGATTGCACAAGAAAAGCGGCCGCGACGAGCCACAGCCTCTTCATTTTTCGTGTCTCTTTGTGTTTGCCCGGCTCGTTCACCCGTTTGCCTGGAATTGAAAAATTTGTGTTTCAAAGTTTTGGGGATAAAGTTTAAAAAGTGCAGTCATAATAAACTTGGTTTCAAAATGGAAAAATTGCTTAGGACTCATGATTAAAGCATGAAAATTTCTCGTCGATTGATGAGCTATTGGTCAGTCGATTCAGCTTTTTTTCCAAAGATAAGCTAATGTTGGTGAAATTTTTAGATGATGGAATAAAAGGATCGCTAATACACATGAATTCATGCTGCCAAAGGTTCTTGCCTGTAGTACAGACCCTGTACAGAGTTTAAAACCTCTTTTTTTAGGTTGAAAAGTTCAAAAATATGCTAATGAATTTATGAGATGGCGTCAGAATGTGTCAAGAACGTAGTTGAATGACAATTTGTGGGAATTTTCCTTTTTTTTTGAATGGTAATATGGATTTTAATAAGCCTGAGCAATATGGCAACTGAATAAGCCATTGAAAAATGAGCAGCTTACCACATTACCATTCAAAAGGAACATAAAATGGGAACAAGAATGGCTGACCATTTGGAATATCTAAACATCAATTAAACGTGAGATTAAAGAGTGTAGTACATTGCTCATTGATCTAACATTGCTCATTGATCTAACCGGCTGCACATTGATCTAACAAGTACCGAAAAGCACGACTAAATCTTCAAAGATCACTGAATTTCTAAATGCAAAACGAATTGCTATTCGAAAGCAAGAGCCCAAGTAAAAAAACAAAACATGCTACTAGTATGCGACTAGCTAGAAAGCACCAAAGAGGAAAAATATCCCATGTATTTAATATGAAAATACAATCTGAGCCAAAAAAAGCATAAAATAGAAACAAAGTTGTTCCAATCGAGCCTAGAAACTGTAAGCCAAGGAAGTGAGACCAAAGCTTGAACATGAAGCGAATGACCGCATAGATATAGCTATTAGATATGCAAATAAAAGCAAAATTTATCCATTGTGCCATTCAAAAAGGAGCATTAAATAGGGAAAAACACGGCCCTCCAACTCATCATTCCTCGCCTTCTCTCACCGTTGGGATCTCTGCTGGGATTGCGCGCGGCCTTTTCAATTCTCGACGACAACCCGATCGCCGTTGGGCGAATGTTTTGCGGAAAAAGGATGCGCAAAAATTGAGAAACTATGCGAAAATTGGAGATTCAGGTACAAATAGGGGGGAAATAACTAGACAGAGACGGACAGAGTCGACGAAAAGATCCACCAGAGGAACGCCCCCAGTTTCCCCTCTTTCCCCTCGCCCACTTTGCACCCCGTCATCCGAATTCTCGTTATGCCACAAGATATTGGTGTAAATTGGAGTACTTTGTAGCTGAGAAATTTGCCGACCAATTTGTCAACAAGTTTTTCAGTTTTCGAAAAGATAAGAATGATGAGTGAGCAAAGGAAAGTGGATTGTTGACTAGAATGCGTTTCCTAAAAGGCACCTCTTTTAGACAAACTACCGTATTCCACCCGTTATCTTTCATTCGATCAGCCCAATTTTGGTAAATTGCCTTGGCCAAAGGACTCACTTATAGACAAGATTAGAAACAAAAAATTTTCCGCAAATGTTTTCGAGATAGACGAAAATTAGCCGTGTTGAATCGACCAAATCCCGCTTTGGATCCTTTGGTTCACATTTTACAATTGTTGTGCTATATAGGTTAACGTTTTTGTTTGCTAATGTTTTGTTAAGTACTTGAATATTCAAGTGTTTTTGATAAAAGCTTATTTGGCACAAATGATACACACAAATGGCGCAAAAAACACGGCGCTTTTGCTAGCACTTCTGAAATTGAGCAAGTAGCTGCACTAACTGCATTTTCGAAGTTTTTTTCTTTGCACTACAATTTACAAATTTACTCCTTAGTAAAGAGAGCGATCACAAGTGGTACACGAGCAAATATTCGGAGCACATTGAGCAAATCATACAAAAAAAGTGAACGAGAAAGACAGAAAAACGGGGAGGAAGAAGAGAACGAGTGAGTGGAGCACAAAAAAGAAAGCAAAGAAACGATCGAGGGAGAAAAACACTAATTGTTACAGATAAATTCAAAGTATCGATCATTACTTCGTGTCGTTCTTGGGGTTTGGCGAAGTGTCGTTGCCAGGCACCGCTCCACCTGAAACGTGACCATAGAATATCATGTTTACAGCTCATTAGGTTTTGCAGTTAAGAGAATTGCAGATCACTTCTATAAAACCAAACAATAATAAAGCACTTACCCAATGCTGAAGAAACGTTCGAATCCTTGCTCTTGCCGGCGTGAGTTGGATTTCCCTCGGTGGTGGCGGTGGGCGTGCTTGGCGTAGGCGTAGCCGAGGACGAGTCCGCAATCACGACACCACGGTATTGAACGAGCGACTGTTGTTGACCATCCTAAAACGAAAGTTACTGAAGATCAATTCAAAAACATTGCTCGACAACAAAACCCACCTTTGCCTTTGATGGAGTTGAGACGACGAGTGGTTGACTGGAGGTTTTCGGCTGAAGTGGTGGCATTGCAATTGCTAAAGAACAATGAAAGTTTAGTCAGCTTAAAAACACTCACGAATCGACCCCTGTACTTTCGGAGTAAGTTGAGAACGACTGCTGGGTGATGGAAGCGAGAACGAGACACGTAGCGGTTGCGGGACCGATTCTCTGCACGTCGACGTGTCATCACCATGATAGATCTTCTAAAAGTATAGGTCAGCAGTAAAACTTGCAACCAGCTACTAACTGTATTGTACAAGAGTGACAAGTGTACAAAGTTAATCAAAGGTCACCTTCAACGCTCCACTATCCATTCCGATTTGTTGCAGCACTTCCAATGGGAGACGCCTAAACAAAGCAATGAGTGAGTGTTTATACCAAGACTGAGCCTCGAACTGGATTAATTTCGTTAAAAAAACTAACTCCTTTGTGATTGGTAGTTGAATGGTTTGGGAATCGCGTTTTGACTCGACCACTAGCAGTTCCACAGACTCCTCAGCGTCCAGAATCGACGAGGCAATCTCATCTAAAATTTCTCAGCTTCCCCAGCAAACGACTCCAAAGTAAAACTGCCAGCAAATCTCACTTTTTTTGGCAACGAACTCCTTGACGAGGGTCTCCAAAATCTCCACCGAAGTTTTCACCTAAAACGTTATATAAGTGAATGCAAAAAATTGTTTTACCTCCTCCAGATTAGCCTTTTCGTGCGCCACCGAGAGATAAATGAAGTGATGTTGATCAAACTAAAGAATTCACAATAGATAAAGTGGCTGATTAAAATGAAACCGTTCGATGCGCGACGTAGAGTCGTCGAGAGGCGATAATGTACATGGCAAGTGCTTTCGTCATACGATTCACCTCACCCTTGGAGAGACTTGGCTCCTAAAAATAAATCATCCACCAAATCAAATTAAACACTTACATAGTACTGCACAAGGCAGGCGATCTTTACATATTTCCGCTGAAGGGGCTTCTCGGTCGATGCGGCTCGTCTGATTGGAGCGGAAAACTTGCGCAGTTGTGGAATCCGGCTCGTCACCATTTCCTCCATGTGAGCGGTGAGGTCGATGAGCTAAAAAGAAGCTTTATATTCGTAGGTCAAATACCATATGCAACAACTGCTACAGCACATCAAACGATCATTACTTTCTTAAGCTCTTAATAATATCAAAGCTCACGTTGTTCACATAGTTTCGCAGTCCGTGCACACCAAACAAGCGCATATCGATCCACAACTTAAGCCCCTTGAAAGTCGTGTCCTTATTGATCGTCCATGTCAAGAGCGCAGAGTTATCTAAATGCATATAAATGAAAAAAAAAAACTAAAAAACAAAACGAATCTCCACCTGCCGAGCGGAAAGGCAAACAATGTTGTCGTTGATCACGCGTCCAATAGATGCAAGGCGATGAGTTGTTCAGGAAGCAGCGTGGAGCATTGACACACACCGACATCGCGTCTTCAATACTAAACATTTCCGATGAGTGATGTTTGCACTGAACTTCTTACCCAACGCCTTTCGGTTGATACGAGGGATCGATCCAAGCCACACCGCACGATGCCGCATCCACGTGAAGCCACAAGTTGTATCTAAAAACTATTCATGAGAGATGGAGCACAAAGAAAAACCTTCGAGCAACCACAGCAATCGCTTTGAGATCGTCCCACGAGTAGACATCACCGCTGCCGTACGTGCACACAACAAACGTCGGAACGAGGCCCTCGGCGAGGTCCTGAAAGAAAAGATTAACCAAAAAATTGACAAAGCAAAGAATCACCTTCTTGATCTGTTCCTTCAGCTCTGCGCCTCCCATTGCGTATTCCTTGTCGATGCCAGGGCGTAGGATTCGGTGTAAAATGTTTACCGTTGTGCACACGCTCTCGAAGTTGGTATGCTAAAAAGAATTTAATTTATAAGCGATTCGAAGCTAAATAAACTCACAGTTCTGTTTCCATAGCAAACAAGTCGGGATGAGAATTCCCGGGCACTCGTCGCCGAATTCATAGCCGAGAGGGCCGTTTGAAGCTGAAAAGACAAAGTTATCAGGGTTAAGCAACAAAGAAATCTAACTTGTCCAAGTTTCCAATGACGAGCCGCCACGATTGCGTGTAGCAGAGCCACCGTGAAGTTGTCCATGATCGTGCCACCGCCCGGAGATTCCTAAAAACCAAATGGTTAATAGCGTTCGTTATTCAAATATCCACCTTGATGGCTCCTTGATAGAGGAAGGCTTCTGGCAAACCAAGCGCTCGTCCGTACCAATTCACGACGCACATCTCGAGTTGCTTTCGCCCGGAGACATCAGGCTAAAATTTAGAATTAAAAAAGAGCACAGTGATAAACCATCTCGTACCTGTTCAGTCAATCCAATTCCAGCGGCAATCGTGTCAGAAATGATCGAGGTAAACGAGTGGCCGTTGCTTGGATGACCGTGAAAGCGCGGGTGTTGCCTATGCGAAATCTAAATCAAAACACATTATTACATCTACAAGCACAACAGCCAAGCTAAACATGGCAACCAACTCACTCCTCTCAGAATCAATCCAGTAATGTCGGCCTCGATTTGGTCAAAATCTTCCGGTTGCTCAGGCGCTTGTCCCGGCAGTATCTTCAACAGGGTGCCGGGTGGATTTTCTAAAAAAGGTAGCCCTTTAAAATCGATACCTAGAAAAACTTACGACTTGTTGCATCGTAGAAGCTCGGCGAGGAGAAGTGAGTGGCAATGAAGTCACTGACTCGGTGCATGATTGCGACGAACTCCTGCGCGGTGACCGGTTCCTCGATTCTCTAAAGACAAATATTGCAGAGGTTATACTTGCTCAAATCGACCAACCTCGGCCGAAGCCCGTCGTCGTGGTTCAATCGATCCGTTGACCTTGTTCTTGCTCTTCCTCGGCGGTTCCTCGACATTGTGCGACTAAACAAAACATTAATCAAAACCAGTGATACAATAATTTTTCGTAATTGAAAACAATCTAGGACCAAATAGTCCACTCCAACTACCACTTTACCTTTTTCGTGATCTCCCAACGCGCATTCTCGACCCGATTTCGGCTTTCCGCCTTTAACTTTCGCTCGGATTCCTTGAGCTTTTTTCTAAAAAATCTGGTTATCAAAACATCGTCAAAGAAAAGACTTACTTCGTGTCCCGGAACTTGTGGCACATAATGGCGGCAATGATAATGATGAAGACGATGGCCAAAAAGAGGAGTATGATTTGCCAGATGGGAAATCCTTGTACTCTTGTGAGGCCTGTGAAGCCACCTTTCTAAACATTCAGTATAATTTATATAATTTAGCGAGCTTTAGCCAAAAAGCTATTACCTCTTCAATTTTTTCGGGAATTTTTCCGATCAAAGTCCACTGCTCTTTGAAGGCTTTGATTTCGTTGGAGAGCCGCGCTTTCACGTCGTGTTCCGACAAATGCACAATTTCACCGCCTTTGCCAATGTAGAGCTAAAATTTTAAAAATGAAACAATTCACAACAACTTTAGCTTCCAACCGCACTCCAAAACAACCAACCCCATTCTGACTGGCCACCCAAAGATTCGATTGCTTGGCATCGGCTCGTTTCACGCGTCGATTCGTAACTAAAAGGTGAGTGTATAAAAGCAAATAGAAAAGTATAGAACTCACGCTGTCCCGTCAATGTTCTTTTGCCTCGAAGTGTTTCCACACTCCCCTTCTTCTTGCTGGTGTTGTTGAAGGCAGCGGTTGTCGTGATTTCCGGCTTCAAGATCATTGTGTCATCGTCAGCCTCATTCGTGGAATCGGTCATCGGAACCCTTGCCGTTCCGTTGTTGTTGACGGTGATGATGGTGTCGGGGTCTTCAGTGGTTTCGTATAGAGTCGCAATTGATAATGTGGAACACTTCGGTGCCCGAGTCGCTTCAAGATCGCTTCTAAAAAGTAAAATTAGCACAAAGAATCAACAATTTCTCAAAACTCACGTGAGGAACAAGTAGCCCATTTTTGCGTGCATCGAGTGGTTCTGCAAGCAACCCGCAGCCTCATATCGAATTTGCACTTCAATGATGCGCGAGATCTGGCTGAGCAACTAAATTGAGAAAGTTAGCAAAGCATACACAATTGTAAAGCTAAATTCAAAATTCTCCCAAATTTTAATCTCCAAATAATCGCTTACCTCATAGAAAAACGTGTCCTGAATCTTGTAGGGCTCCCTAGTGACGATAACCGTTAGATGAGGCATATCAGCGGCCCGCACAGCGCCCGCATTCACCGTCAGGAGCACGGCGACGCAACAGAGCAAGTGGTGCCTAAAAAGAGAGATGTATTCTAGAAATTGGAAAAGTTTTGTCATGATCATAGCAGTGTTATACTCTATAGTTAAGGAACTAAATGGCAACAAAGATTTTTGATGCAAAAAAGAACACTTCCAAATGCGCTTAAACAATGAAAGTTACTGCAACAAGGGACAACCTTTTCTCAAAAAAAGCTTTTGCACAAAGTGCTAACAATAAAACTTCAAATTTCCTCACCAATCGTTGATCATCGCTTGAAATCCTTCGAAAATCCGTGTGTGGAAGAAAGGGGTCGATGCGAAGAAAGAATCTGGCCCATCTTTGACCGGGAAAACCTTCTATTTGATCGTTACATGTAAATTTACGAAACTTAAATGCTAATTTGCTTTTGTTCTCTTTCTTTCTTTGTTTTTCTCGTTTTTCTTTGCTTTTTTTTAAAACTTTATTATCCATCAACCCGTGCAGAAGATAAAATCTTACAAAATTTGGGGGAAAATGTGATTAGTGCAAGGCAAACGAGAAGAAAGTGGGAGATAGAGCTTTGTACAAAAAAAATGATTTGAGAAGGAGAATTTTTGAGATCAACCCTGAGGCTAAACGGGGAAACGAGAGGAAATCTTCTAAAATGTGCTAACTTTCGGGGGGCAAGGCCCCCCCCCCTGGCCTTAGGAAAGTCGTAGCCAAAATGGGTCGTTCTTCCCGACAAATCAGATCGCGCGCAAATTTGGACTAAAGGCAAAACCCAACACGCCCCTCCCCCCATTGGCGCGCGCGAAATTCGACCCCCCCCCTTCTCAACTACAGTAATCTTGTCTTTATTTTTATCCAATCTATCTACTTTTTCTATCTTTCGATATTCTTTGTGAATCCTCATAAAATTAGACAAAAAGTAGAGAAAATTAGATAAAAATAGAGGCAAAATTACGGTAGAAAGGGAAAAGGGGACACGTTTTAAGAAATGGCTTAAGGTAAAGAATATAAAAAAGCAAATTTACAATTAGCAATTCTTACACAAGAATTTCCTCATCTATCCTTGAGTTCTTGGATTCTTGGATTTGAATTAATAAGAGTTTCAAAGTCGCTCAAATTTCTCCCTAAACGGGCACTCGGATGAAAAGCTTTCTTGTGAGGATTGAGCTTGTGAGTTTCTGCGATCAATCATTTTCATCGAACGATCGAAGCCGGCTTTCATCTGAAATGGGACTGAAGTTTTTGAGGTAGATAAGGTAATCAAATAGATAACAGGATACTATACAGTTGTTTGCCGTTTAGTTTACATTTTATGACCTTACCTCATCAGTAATGAAGGCCAAAAGAAGCCGCCAAGCTTTCACACCATCTTGATTATACTTGACGCAATCCTGAAAATCACTTTTGTAAGATTGTAAGAGTGTTTGAATGCCAATGATAAGCTCAAGCAAGACAAGCCGATTTGAATCTTTATCAATTAAAGATTGCGAGTACTTTATCCGGCATACTGTAGTTAGACAAGAGACTATTCCATCCCAAAATCCCAATCCCTCGATTTCCCCCACCTGTGCCCCAATGACTCCAATCGCCAACTCGCCAAACGTCTCAATCATCGACCCAGTGAAACCACTGTCTCTCATCTAGAATTAAAATGTAAAAAAGTTAGAGATTGTTCATTTTTAACCTTTACTTACTTATATTTACTTATAATTAAAACTTTGAAATCAAATTCTCAACTCAACCCCACCTGTGCATGTTTCTCTCCATACTGCCTCAAAAGCGAGATCTCTTTGTCCATTTCATCGACATTCTCGACGATTCTCTCGAACATTCCAACTAAATTTGAAACTCAACTCTGTTTTACTTTAATTTTATATGCTATTTTAACATTTTCATTCCCCAATCCACTCACCTAAACATTTGCAATGATCGTGCTCAGTTTTAACAAGTGGTGGTGATTCTCGTTCTCTTGACAACGAATTGACGAAAGCTGTCGTTAAAAAGATTGATCTAAAGGTAAATTGAAAGGTTTAAGATTCGAAATATAATTTTTGTACTTCTTTATTTTGTTTTACAACTTTTAAAATATGCGGGGGGGGGGCGGGGCCCCCCTCGGGCCCCCCCCCCCCCCCCCCCGGCCCCCTCCCCGCCCAAAAGGGTCGCATTTGTCCCACCCCCAAAATATGCTTATCATTTTCAAAATGAAGAATTTTGGGTAGAAAAAGAAATAACGTTTCAACATTTACCAGAATACTGTAGATTAAGCGAATAGAAGTATACTGATTTTCCCTGGCAGTAAAAATCTGGATTTTTAACGGTTAACTATTTTTATTTTTGTGCTTACTGTAACTTCGAATCTCTAAAATTCTTGAATTTGCTTTTTGACAAAGTCATGTTTCAAAATAATGGACACCAAAGCATAGTGATCCAAAGTAATGACATAATGTACACGATGGCTACCAAAATATTTGATTCTAATTAGCTAATTGTGAGAACTTTTTATTTTGGAATCCTATAGGGACTGCTGCAAAGGCTTTACTATAACCCTCAAAGAGAATTGATTCTCTTCAAAATCTTGAATCCTTTTAGTCAACTTTTAGCAAAATCTTGAATTATTTTAGCAAAAAGCTTATGTTTCAAAGTGGACCGCACCAAAATGCTGTCAAACATCACAATGGCAATTCTCCATTTTTCGCTTTCAAATCTCACCGAATATCCGGAAATTTGTTCTCCATCCGTCGAAAAACCTGCTCGACGATTCGCAAAAATTGCCCACCACTGTTTAGTGTCGAAAATGAAGCCTGAATGAAGCCTTTTTTTAAAGGTATTTGTTTGACTATGTGACCTGTGCTTTGGAGACTATTTATAAAATATGCTTATCGTATTTCCTGTAATAGAACCCCCTCTAATAGAGCCCCACCCTGGAGGGGGTATGAAAAAATAGACCCCCATCCCTCTAATAGAGCCCCAATCAAATTACAAATCACATTTATGCAAACATAACTATGTAAACCATGGATGAGTTATACCCACCGCATATTTTTCCATCATAATATGTCAATGTCAATTGTCAATATGTCAATACAAGTGGATTTATTTTATGGGTGAACTATGTTTAAATTATACTTCTAGATTGAATTATAGAAGGTAAATGTTAAGCTAAACTAAGAAAGGCATATGTGTAGCCTTTGTTTAGTTAAGTGCTTAAGTATGCGGTGGGTAAAATCCCGTAAGTACTAAATTATGTTTACAAATTAGAATTTTTTGTCATTTCCCATCATTTTTCATTTGTTTTATGCTTATTTTTGCAGTTACTAATTTTATAATTTTCAGGTGCGATGAGTGAAGTTGTTGACGAGTTAGAGGTGTTTCGAATGCGACGAGAAAATGAGCTCGACGGACATTTTGAAGAAGGTCGGGAGCATTTCAACGTCGATGTCGACGGAAGAAGAACGAGAAGATGATAGCAAAACTATGGACGCGCCGAGGAGGGATATAAAGAAAAGGAAAGCTATCAGAAACAAAAGAAAGAGAGACAGAAACAAAACTTGCGGCTGCAAAGATGGGCAAGAACGTTTCGATCAAGGCGTCGGCTGAAAATTTTGGCATTGATCGAAAGAGTGTTCGATCATATATCAGACAAATACTTGAGCTGGAAAAGCTCCACAGGAAACGAAAGCGTCTTGACGGGGCCGGACGCCACTTGAGTTCAGCCGAAATTGATGCATTTTGGAGTGGAGAAAAGAAACGAGTAACACGCCGAATCATTCTCAACAAAGCGTCAAACCTTTTTACCGAGGCTGAACTATCTTTGGTTGATTCCGATGCTTTAATTGATCTCACCAATTGTTAATCTTGCATATTTTGGTTAATTGATTTTTGTTTTAGTATTGTTAACTATGTTTAACTTATCGCCTTTGCTATTTAGGAAAAAAACATTTATTTTCAATCGTTTTGGCTTTGAAGACTATTGCTTTTTGTTGAAAAGAGTTAATTGTTTGTGACATGATGATTGTTGGTTTTGCATGTTTTGAATACCGTATTTTCTCTAATAGTAGTGCACCCTGAGCGTCGCCTAAATTGCTCGAAATCTCGAAAAGCGCTTATCAGAACCTATCAATGTGGGGTCGGAAAATGTAGCTGACGATGAGATCTTTTGTGGGATAAGAGTGTTGAATCTCTCCGAAAACTTCGAAACCGTAAAATAGTCATGAACTCGGCTCAATGAGGTGCACTACTATTAGAAAAAATACGGTAATTGTTCATTTGTTACTAGTTAATCGTTTTTCGTTTTAACTCGGCTATAATAAATATGTTAATTTAGTTTGTTATTTGTGAAAAAATATTTGAAAATTTCCATATATTTCCATCATTGTTTTGTTTTGAAATTTATGGGGGCGGGGGGTAAACTGAAGTCTAATTTCTTGCTTTTTCTGGAGGGTATATGAAAAAATAGAGCCTCATCCCTCTAATAGAGCCCCATGGGGTTCAATTACAGGAAATACGGTATATTATATGCTTATAACGCTACTCATAAAATGAAAGCTCTTAGTCCAATTAAAAATTTACAAGCAAGTTTCATAGTAAAACAAAAAGTTTCATCTTAAGCAAAACTAAGCTTAAATTTCCTAGGACAATACGTTTTTGGTGCGAAAGTCAATTTGATATATTGATATTTGATTTGTTCACCCATTTCAAATTTCCTTTACCCACCTTTAACGCTTTTTTCTGTTTTGAGGTCAATGTGAGGAGTGAAAGGTGTCGTTGTGATGGGGAATGTTCAGAGCCGGGCGGACTTGGTTCATTCAATGACATTTGACGGAGCAACTGATCACTAAAATACAGTGAAATATGAATATGTTCGAAACAAATATATGTCACTTTTATCTTAGGAGTACTAAGAAATTCAACGTCTAAGTGCTCAATCTTTGAGGTAGAGGTTTGCATTAAACATGGATTTACAATTTATTAAATGATCCGATCCAATTTTTACCTTGTTCTCTTTGAAACACCATTTTTCAAAACTTTGAAAAGCTGAAAGCCTGGCGTTTTTATGACGGCTTTTCAATTTTAAATGAAAATTCTAAAATGTTGTACTGTTACTGTAGCTTCAGTACTTATTATTGTACTTCTTTCGTAATGCGTTTTCTAAAACGTGTCCCCTTTCCCCTTTTCTACCGTCATCTTGTCTCTATTTTTATCCAATCTCTTCACTTTTTGTATTTTTCGACATCCTTTGTGAATCCTCACAGAGTCAAACAAAAAGTGGATAGATTGGATAAAAATAGAGACAAGATTACGGTAGAAAGGGGAAAGAAAACACGGAAACGGTCTAGGTAAAAGGAATACTGTAGTCTATATGTTTCTCTTCTTAGGGTTACTATAGAATTTTTAAGTTCAAAGGTAAATTTTTCTTTGTAAACTGTGCTGAAATGAAAGCTTGCTGAAAAAGCTCCTATTTTCTGGATCATTTCCAAAGTTTCCCTGAAAAAACAAACCTCGGCACATCCAATGTTTTCATTTTTTGCATGGTTGGTCGCGAAAAAGCCTCGTCCGATTTGAAGGCTCTCATTTTAGCCATCGAATCGCTGAAAAAGTTCATAATGTTAAAATTTAAGTAAAAAATAGCAAATCATAGCTTTTAATGAGTTATTAGCCTTATTTGAAACAATAAGCTAAGTTAAAAATTCAAATTCAAATTTCAAAAGTTGTTTGATTTTATAAAGGGGAAATAATTCTTCATCCGGTCAACCGAGGGAAATTTGGTAACTTATAAGAAATTAAGTAAATAACTAAAAACAACCATTTGAGTGATTAGCAGTTCTTTACTAAACCTAATGTCAATTAATTTGAAACCCAAGTTTTATCACTGTTTTCCGTGTACTTTGTGCTCTCCGAATCCCATAAACACCACTTTTCTGACGCACTCAATTCTTCCATTTTCCTCTCGTTACACCAAGTCATTGCTGTGAGGGAAAAATGGAAGAATTGTGGTGCGTCAGAAAGAGAGTGTTTACGGGATTTGAGAGCACAAAGTATATTTAGAAGTCTCTAAATTTTAAGCAGTTCGACCTATCACTTTAGAAACTTCAAAAAGTTCAGTTTCAGTCATAAACTCAGTCATTTGTTGAAATTCAAAGATAGTCAAAAATTTAAAAATTTTTTTGTAATAACAATTTTCCAGAGAAATACGTAAAAAAGGTACTGAAGTGGTCTTTGGATTGAAAACAAAACTCTAAATTTCTATAAACATAACGTTTCTGAGGAACTTTTGTGTCATCTCAACAGATACATCAATAAAAAATGCATCAAAATGGGAAAAGTGAGCAAAAAAATGAATTCAACTTGCGGAACCGATCTCGAAAAGATCCCAAAAATATGTGCCACGAGTTCATTTTTTATTTATAGTAAGAAATAAGTACTTGTTTGTCTCTTGTTTTATCTAAATTATAATCAGACAACTGAACCCTAGCCTTGAGAAACTTGAAAAAATCTGAAAGCAAAACAACGCCTTCGATATCAAAAATCTTTCATTTTAATCCTTATTATCAGATTTTCTCTAATAGTAGTGCACCTCGGCGAGCCGAGTTGGCGACGATTTTACGGTTTCCAAGCTTTTGCAGAAGCTCAACACTCAAATCCCCCACTAGATTTGAGTGTTGAGCCTCGGCTCGCCATAAACTTTTCAATTCAAATTTTTGTTGTTATTTTAAAGTGCGTTCCTCTCAAGTAATCCATTTTCAGACAAACTACCGTAATCCACCCGCCATTTTTCATTCGATCAGCCAAATTTTGATATCATTCGATGAGGAATCACAAGACTTAGTCAACTCAGCCCAGATACCAAAATTGGGCTGATCGAATGAAAAATGGCGGGCGATTGTCTGAAAATGGGTGTTTCCTAGAATTCAATCAGGTCAAAGCGAAACGATTAAACTCAAGCAACTGAATATCCTCTTGAAAAACTTGAAACGAAACTTTTTCAAAGCAAACCCACCGCCTTTCCTCCGATTTTTTCGGTCGTGGCGAAACCGAGCGTTTCTCTCCATTTTGCTGGGCGACCAGCTGGAAAATTTGTATGCTTTAAAAAGAATATTATAATTTTGGAAACTGTGATCATTTTAGTCTATGTATTCCTAAAATTAGGCATATTTTTGCACTCTTTCCAGTACTGGAAAGTTGTTTTAAAGGATGCAAAGGCTAGGAAAAAGTTCCATGTTTCAAAGCGACTGAGTAGGATCCGGTTGAAAGTATTGTAATGAAAAAAAAACCATTGATTGTAAAAATGTAAAAATTGATGTTGGAAAAGAGTGTTCCCAAAATCATTAAATCGAATCTAAGCTTGTTTTACTCTAGAGATTTTATGCATTAAATTTCATGTTTCAAAGTTGAGCCTTAAAAATCATCCCCCTCATCTATTATATCATTTTTTTTGCCGAATGTGAAAATATCTTCGCTTTTTTTTGCTCCAGAATTCCTCAAAACAGTAAACTTTTTGTAAAGCAGTTAAGGTAATAAATGTTTCAATGTTTCTAAATTGAGAAACAAGAAGCCCTTTACTTTCATTGACTTTGAAATAGGTATTAAAGCAAAGTTTTAAAGATATTCAAACAAAATGTGTTCCCCTTTAGCATTTAATTTACAATTATCCAGGAAAACTCTTAGCTTTTCAATCAGCCAACCTGTTCTCTGGCCGGACTGAGACTCGGCGACGATTGGGGCTTCTTCATCGGTTCGGCCGGTGGCGAGGGCTCGTACCGATCGACGGAGTATTGAAACTGAAAGGAAAACTGATAGTTAGTGATTATTTCAGCTTTGAAAATCAATCTGGATATGGGCTTGGATATGTAAATCATAAATCATTTCGAGCCAGGACTAACTATTAAATAAACTGTAGCTGGCTGAAACCAGAAAACATTGAAACCTCAAATTTTTAAAAGCATTCAAGCTAGATTTTGAATTTAAACTCGCCAGATTACGGTACCCATACTTTAGTCGAGCTAAGGTACTTCCGGTAGCCTTACTTTAGCCCCAACTTGGAGGCTTACGATAGCAACATTTTAGCCTTTGGTCGGATAACCAGATTATGGTAGTCGGGTGGTGCCAATAGGGTTATGGTGATCATGTTTCTGTAGCCGCAGTTTATTGTTAAAGGTAAGGTTAACAGAGAAAGATAGCAAATCAATTCTCCCCAAAAACAACCTTGGGCACTTGATGTGTCCTCTTCAAATGCAATGTAGCCGGCCTTCTTCTCTCAATTTCCCGCCTCGTCCTTTCCGCTGAACAGTCCGCCATTCGGTAACTGAAAAAAAAGGTAGATTTGTGTGAAAATAGGGAAAAGCTAATTAATTTTCGTCAAATTCTTGATCCTTTTTTGAGATGAATAATGGAAAATAGGGAGAATAGAACGAGAATTAAAAGGGAAAAATGGGAATGGGATTACGAAGAAAAACTTGGACTTAAAGATGGATTCTTTGAAACATTGATTTTTGAAAAATCTCGAATTCGTCGCAAATTGTATATGGATTTTAATTCCACGTTTCCGAAAAGGATACCATTCTAGCGATATAATGGTACTGAAAAATTACCGATATACTCAATAATTTTTCAGTAACCTAACAAAGAAATAAAGAAGAATTTTCCCTAAAATTAAAAAAAACTCAAATTTCAGAGTCATGTTTCAAGTTTGGCGACTTGAGGATACATTACATCGCTAGAATGGTATCCTTTTCGCAAACGTAGAATTAAAATCCATATACAATTTGCGACGAATTTGCGGTAATATGCTTGCAAAGAGACTTTTCAAAAAGCAGCCTCATTTAAGACATCCAGTTGTTCAGCATTTCAAAAAGAGATTTTTGAAGAACTAGGAAAAAGAGTTTCAATTTGAACAAGGAAGACTGAGTTTAATTTTGGCTAATAAATGGAAGTTAAGTTTTGTTCAAAAATCCATCAATCAATTCAAAAACGCAAAAAAATGACTACAAAATTTGTGATTTGAAAAAAGATGAAAAAAGTCGAAAAAAATTGAAAAAGTTCACACGATTTTTGAAGAATTTCCGAAGAAATCAAGACTTTTTTTACGAAATAAATTTCCGGAGTTCGATTTTTGAGTTTCAATTGAAGAAATTGGTTCTTGAATTCAAAAAATGAATAAAATTATTTCGTTATTTTTAAAAAGTAATTTATCTTGATGAATTGCACAACTATTTTCTTTAAATTATGACAAATTTCCCTTTTTGCTTGTTTAGAAAACAGGTGTTTTGAGAAATGAAAAAACAGGACCGTTTAAAAAATTAATTGGGTTAAAGAAACAGAATCACGAGTCAGAAAGATGTTTCAAAGTTGCTTTGTTTGGGTGACGATGCCGAGGAAGGCGACATTAAAGTCTACAAACTGAAATTAATGTCCGCCAGTTTGAAACATTTACTTTCCGTCCTTCCTCTGCTAGGTGTGCTTTGTGTTCTCCGAACACTCGTAAATACCCCCTTTCTGACGCACTCTATTCTTGCATTTCCCCCTCGTGACACCAGTTGATGCAAGGGGCAAATGGAAGAATTGAGTGCGCCAGAAAGGGGGTGTTTACGAGGTTAGAGCACACCCAAAGCCAGTCACTTTAGCAAGTTAAAAATTTTAAAACAAAGTTTATAGATCTAGATTTTCTATATCATTTTTGTTTATTTTTTAATTTACACAGAATGCAAGATAGTTTTTGATTTAGAATGTCCAGAGTTCTTCAGGTGAAATAATTTTTTAAACTAAGAGTTTAAAAAAAGCATTTTACAATACTGAAATTTCCTTTATGAGCTTGCAAAAAAGCCTTTTTTCTGAAATTTCAGAGTGGTCAAAAAGGCAATTGCTAATTTCCGTTGTATTAGAATGATTTGCACTGCATTGCTGCAAAAACAAGTTTTTAGATGAGCCGAGGAAATTGGAACTTATGATTTTTGAAATTTTCAAAGCATACTCGAATTAGTCAGCATCTGAATAGATGATAGAGTTATTGTGAAAGCAGAGTTTCAAAATAAACCGGGGAAAAATCGAATAACGAAATGCAATGAGAATTGTGTTTCAAAGTTATTGTAGGCAAATCACCGGCTTCCGATTCAATTCCTTCCTTCCGAGAAATTCAAAAATCAGCCCGGGTTCGAGAATTAGAAAACTGAATTCTTAAATGCTCAGTGAAAACGAAAAGATTTCAGAGTACATGTTTCTAGTCTCAGAGTTTATGTATTGAAATATATAACCTCTGAGACTAGAAACATCTCATCCCATCTCTTTTCTTTCTTATAATTTATTTGATTTTATCCGAAAACACCGAAAGATTTTTAACGCGGCTCACACTGAAAATAAACTTTTCAAGATTGACCTCAAATTGGATGTGAATTCAAAAATAATATTTACCAGGACTGCTCCAAAAACCAAAACCAAGCTAAAGCTAATTTTTAATTGGTCTTGGAACCTGGAATTTCAGCCTTGAAGTTGCATTTGGCCTAAAACCCTGGCTTTGATTTGGCTTGGCCTTAACCACTTCCAGATACGAACAGTTTAAAAACTCCAACTAGATATGGCTGAGGCTTGTTCAGATTTGAAATCATAAAAAAGGTTGGACTGATTAAACCATGACCACGTTGAAGTTGCGGATATTGAAACTTAATGTTCAAAATGGAGACTCAAAAATGTATTTATGCAAAACAGGAATTCTTTTGTTAAATAAGACATTCACTTATCAAAAAACTGCTAAAATAGAATTTTTAGATAAATGCAAATTTTTTGCACTGATAAATTATAAGAAAAGAATGAAGATTTACTGGGATGCAATTAATTTCTGATTTTTCAGCTGAAAACTGAAAACATTGAAACTCAACTTTTCAAAATTTTGAACCCAAAAATGAAACTTGCCCTGTTGTTTTCCCTTTGCGGAAAAAAATGGTGGAAATAAATTTTTGAGTCGTTCAAAAGCCGAAAAGAAACGAAAAGCATCCCGAAAAACCCATTTTTCTCTACACTAATTAGCATGCATCGGGAAAGAAAGGAATTGGAATGAAAATGAATGAATGACAGAATGGAAACATTGGGGGCTGTTTTCTAAAACGTGTTTTCTTTCTCTTTCTACAGTAAACTTGTCCCTACTTTTATCGAATCTATTCACTTGTTTTAAAAAATGGATTGGAAGAGGGGAGTAGGTTTGGATCTCATCTGAATAGCCATAAGCAACTTGAAATCTCTTCAAAACCGACTCAAAAAAAAGTAACGGTTAACTTTTTTCTCAAAGAGTTGCTCAATTTGAAACCTGAATACAGTAAGCTATAAAGGAAATACAGTAATCTTTGATAATTAGAGTGTGTTCCGCACGAGTAATGCGTTTTTTAAAACGCAAACCTACGAAAAATTACCGTACTTTTAGCGAAAAAAATATTGCAAAAATTGGCGCAAAAAATCACGAGCGACGAGTTGTATACGACTCTTTTTAAAGATATTCAGCCGTTTAACTGATTTGGTGGCAATTTCCCCTTCACATGTAAAGATATTCAATTTACTCGACGTGTAAAGAGGATCACTCGTAGTTACTCGACCAAAAAACGTCGATTACTCGATTACTCGTCGATTACTGTTGTATAATGTTGTAATAATGTTGTAACCTGACCAGTTGTAAAATGAATTGAATTTTTAAAGATTGAAAAGAAAAAAAGCCAATGTTTTAGAAGATTCGAAACTTTATTAGAAGAAAAATAATTCATTTTGCATGCCCCGATGAACTTTTTTTTTCTCAATTATAGGTGAGTGAGTTGTTATCTCACAAAGAACTCCCCCAAAAAAAGGAATGTCTCTTCCTTCAAATAGACGGATAAGTGGCTGAAAATAACAAGTGTCTAGTCAATTTGAGAATTGGGTTATTTACAAAGATATTCATGGATCAAAGGCGGATGTAATTGGCCGTATTGAAGCCTCCAAATTGAAATTAATGCCCGTTAGTTTGAAACATTTATTTTCCGTCCTTGTTCTGCTAGGTATACTTTGTGCTCTCAAACACCCGTAAACCCTCAATTCGTCCATTTCCCCCTCACAGCAACTGGTGCCATGAGGGGAAAACGGAATGCGCCAGAAAGGGGTTGTTTATGGTGTTCGGAGAGTACAAAGTACACTCAAAGCCGGTGACTTTAGCAATTTCAAATCCTAGACACAGCCAAATACAAATCTCTAACAAAATGCATTGTTCACGTTCGAAAATAGAATTTCTTTTATTATTTTTTTAAGGAAAAATCCCCCATCTAAATGGGTCGAAATGAAGTCGATTAGAATGAAAAAAAGAAGAAAAATCAAGGGAGAAAAAGGGAAAAATGATCGAATTACGAATAGAGTCTTCTCGTTTTTTTTTCTTAAGCTTTTTAAAGAAATGACATCGGTAAAATGTTTTAAAATGGTTATGAAAATTGAAAAAAATCAAGAAAACCAGGAGATTTTAACGGTTTCATTGAATTTAACTCGAAATCTCTCAAAAAAAAGTAGATCTAAACTTAAAATAAAATTGATGTTTCAAAGTTTTGGGTAAAATTTTGGGAACTCAGGGATTAATGTAGGTTTCTATTTGTAATCTTTTTGATAGATATAATCTTTTTGGGTGAAAAAATCGCTTTCAAGGTTGAAGTCTAGCAAGTTTCAAACCAGAATGTTTCAGAAAAAAAAATGATGTTTCAAAATTATTAATCAGAATTGAGCATTTCAGTCATCAGTTTCCACTTGACACTTGGCGAATAAAAAGAATTCCCATTAAAAAGAATTACTGTTGAATTACCTGTTGAAAAGCCGATTTTTCTATCAGGAAGTACTTCTTGTTAGTTGGAGAAATTTCTTTTTCCAGAATAAATGAATAGATGCATGAATGGGCGCTTGATTATGGACTGATTAGAGGCTTTCTCTGGATTCTTACATTCAATCAAAAAAAAAAAATGTTTTTCACTTTTTGGGTGAAAATAAGCGAATACTTTTGTTTGGAGGCGTTGGCATTTAATTTGTTTGATAATCAGCTCTAATCAGTTTCACTACCTATTACAGCTTTGATAGACTTTTTTAAAATACCATTTTACAAATTATTTGGTTTTAAATTTAATTTTTTTGATTTGATTTTGATTTAATTTTGATTTACTTTATGACTTTAATAAACATTGCTAATTAGCAATGTTTATTAAAGTGTGGTCGTATCAAGATCTTTACATCAATTACCGATTTTTCGAGAAAAATAGCGGTTTTCCTTTTGATGAAAATTTACAAAAAGCAAGTTCAAAAGTTGTAGTAGGCATACTGTAGCTAGGTCAGAAAATATTCTCGAATAAGGCTCATAGAAATGTCAACTTACAACGTATTTGGCTACAAACTGTTTAAGCAAAGTTTAGTAAGTAAGAAAAAATAGCGGAAATAATCCAGAACTGACAATCTGTCCAATAAAGCTTCAGGGTTCACTTCTAAGAGAAACAGTTTAAGAAAAAGATTGTTTCTAGAAATGCTATGAGCCGTGAAACTCTTGTTTAAAGGATTTTAAAGGATTTAGATGCAAATGACATAACAAAAAACATTCTAGAATTGCGCTAAGAAGATAACTAGACTTTGTTATTTGAATAATTCAAATTATTCAAATAACAAAGTCTAGTTATGTTCGAAGTGGAAACTTTTCTATTTCAAGCATGAAAGGAGTCTGAAAGGAGATCTAGGGAAGAGTCTGAAATTCAAATCAGCTGTAAAAATTGAGGAAGAGATTTTTGGACAGGGATTTATGGGCACAATGTACACTATTCATTCATTAAATTTGCTTAATTTCATTAAAAGATATCAAACTTAAAATCCATATATCCATCTCAAAGTTTCTTTTTTTCAATAGCTGACTCCGATCAAGGAAGTAGGACAAGTGCATCAACAATTTTAATGCATAAGCAAATGTGGGATGGATGATTGAGCATTGTTGGGTTGAAAAGAAAAGGGATAAATGTTGTGTTTTCTCTTCCCTCAATATGAGCTTCCTTTTTCCGTCTCGTATTCCATTTTTTCTCCTCTAACTTTTCCCCTTTTCTTCTTTTTCTTTCGAGTAGTACGTGAGTCTGGCAAAAGAATGCATTTCTGAGATGTTTTTTGAATAAAAAAAAGAAAAAGTCGCCTTTCTTTTGAAACTCGTCACGTACTCATTGAAAAGTTTTTTCTTCGGTCATAAAAGCTTTTAGAAGGATTGTGAAAATGAGAATAGATGTGAAAGGAATGAGATGTTTGGAACTAAAGTTTCAAAAGATCTTGGGAATTAGAAAAAGTCACTCAAACATCACGATTGACGATTAAAATGGTTGGTTCATTTCAGTTATCCTTTATTTTGAAACCAACATTCTTTCGGCTAGGTGAAATAAACGAAATTGTTTTTAAAGCTCTAGCAGACTTTCAGACGGCTCTAATCGGGCTTAAGGCTTGCAAACCAGGCTGGACCAGGGTCAAACAGGATCCAGACCGAGAAGTAAAGTCAGGTCACGCAGAACAGATATTGACATAACAAAAAGCATTCTAGAATTGCGCTAAGGGGACCCTAGGGACTGTAGGCCAAGTCGGGTCTAGCTACTAATTGACATTGCTGACTAAATAGACTGGACGGTCCTCAATTTCAATGGAATTATCAATTTTCAAACCCAATTTGACCCTGAATACCTTGAATTACTTACTTTTTTCGAAAGAAAAACTCCATTAGAGGAATATTTTAGCCGAATAAACCAGTCTAGAATAAATGGAAGCTGAAAAAAGTGGAACCAATTTTTTGAAAAAGAAAAAAATGACGCCAAATCACTAAGCAACATTTCGTTTTTCTTGAGCTCGTCGATAAATCCATCCCATAAATCCCTTTTAATCCGCAAAAATCCGATAGAATTTTTAATTTTTCCGGGAAAAAGCTGAGATAATTTTCCGTTTAAGAATTTTCGAAATTTCGATGTGATGGGAGAAAATTGTAAAGTAAAATGTTTTAAAATTGTGCGAAAGGGGAAATTAAAATTCGAAACTCTAAACTGATCGAATCAAAATGAAAATTGGCTCTTGAAATGTTAGGAAAAATGAAAAATCGGGTTTTGGGTGATTTCCAAAAGTTGCTGATAAGGTTTTTACAAAAATTGCTTGATTGATGCAAAAAGGTGATTGATTTTGAATAGAAAAATGTGGTTAGAGTGGGCACGGATGTTCCGAACAGGCCTTCGAGTCTGTAAGCCGGGCTGATCAGTCCGGGTCCAGACCTGGTTGATTCAGGTGCTTTTTGTGGATCAGGTCAAGTGGTGTCCGACCCAAGCCTGTGACCTCGATGCATTGTGAGCAAAAAGATAGATTGAAACATGATGCCATAATCTGTAACCCTGACTGGTATTTGAAAATGGCCAGGTCTGACTTTTAGGATGAAGTCTGGCTACTAGCTTACCACAGGCTGTTCATATAGCTTGGCCAACCACAGTCCGGCCAGAAATTGACTTCTGACCTGATCTGGCCTGCAAAAAGTACTTAGGTTAGCCTGGATCAGATTCTGGCTTTGCTTATGAGCCTTAAACGTCTTAGGAATATCCTGGTGTTGGCCTGGCAAATTTTGGGTTTTGGGAATAGGCCTGCACTTGGGTGTTTCATTTTTCGATATCCATCTATAGTTATATCATGGTAGATATGAGAGACCACAGTGCAGTTTCGAGCATATTAAACCATGTTCAACCAATGATTAAACTCGAGTTTTTCAATCAAAACCGTTAAAATTTGAAACTTGTACTCTAAAAGGGAATAAAAATGAAATTCTTTCGAAAACCACACAAATCATTTGAGTTGAAATTAAATGGCAATGTACGTCCCGACGACTGAACTCATTTTTGATCAGCGGAACCACTGAAAATTGAAACGTGCACTTTAAAATCGAATAAAATTGAATTCTTCCGAAAACTCCGCAAAGAAGCAAGTGGGCTAAAAGTTAGAAGCAATTTGGCTTAGCCATTGAGGTCACGTGCACTGGTTTAAGCAGAAACCGTGTAAGTTAAAACTCTTAATTTGAAATTTCAGAAAAGTAACAAAAGAATCTTGAGTACTAGGCTTAAATAAATTGCCGTAATAAATAATTATTATTACAGTTTTTGCACGCTATTGCAGTACTATATTATAGAAAACGGTGATTTGATGATGCTCTAGGAATTTTCTGAAACATTATCTTTCTATGGGTGACTTATGGAGTTCAAAGAGTTTACAGGCTTACCAACAATTACCAAAAAGTGCTCAAAGGTTTATTCGTAGTCCAAAAAGACTGTTAGATCCCGGGTAGACCTTTGGATAATGCTCTTTGGATAATGCTTTTGTACCAAATAATCACATTAAGCTAAATATTTTTATTAAAGATTTCCAGTGTTACATTATTATAGTTTTTGCACGCTATTGCAGTACTATGTTATAGAAAACGGTGATTTGATGATGCTCTACGAATTTTTGACATTGGTTTAAGCCTATGAGTGGTACAAATTGAAACTTTGATGCGGATTCGTGGGTAATTGCAAACGTTTAAATCTGTGTAAGTTAAAACTTTTAATTTGAAATTTCAGAAAAGTAACAAAAGACTCCAAAAGACAAAAGACAAAAGACAAAAGATCTTGAGTACTAGGCTTAAATAAATTGCCGTAATAAATAAGTTGAAGTAAGCGCCAAAAAATTTGTAACATCACCTTTTTCCCTTTTCAGGAAAAGCTAATTTGTAGGCGGCTCCATTTTTTTTTTCACACGGATCTCCCAATTGCCACCATGAGTCCGTCCCCGAAAACTGAATGGGACACACACAAAAAAAAATGAGAAAAGAGATGGATGGGAGTTTTTTGAAACACACACATTTTTGAGATGGTCTCAAAAATTACCTGATCAAAGAGCAGAAATTGAAGGTTTTTTTTATGAATTGAGCTCTTCAAATAGGGCATAAATGGGTTGGTTGACTATTTTAAGTTATAGCATTTTAAAATATTTTGAAACATGAACTTTTAAACGCTCTTTTTCTGAATTTTTGACAATTTTCTAATACTAAATTGGGTCTTTGCCCCGCCAACAAGTTAATATGCAAATTTATTCTTAGCATTTTACTTTATCATTCAATTTTTGCATGTTTTATCCAAGTTTTGATAGATTTTGAATAGATTTGAGTTAGAATTAATGAATATAAACTTAATAAAGTCATTTATACTATTTTCGCGTAGCTTTACCAAAACTTAGTGCCGGGGGATATTTACATTTATCCTGTTTTCGTTAGCGGGGCATGCAAAGTACCAAGTGCAAACTGCTTTTTAAGCTACACTCTCAGCTGTTTGGAATTCATTCCTAATTTGATTTTCGAAAGTCAACATTCTGGGAGTTATTAATCGGACGTTTTCAAACCAGACCCTCAGCTTGTTGAAACATTCACTTTCAAATGGGGCTTTTCTGAAGCATTATCTTTCTATGGGTGACTTATGGAGTTCAAAGAGTTTACAGGTTTACCAACAATTACCAAAAAGTGCTCAAAGGTTTATTAGTAGTTCAAAAAGACTGTTAGATCCCGGGTAGACCTTTGGATAATGCTCTTTGGATAATCACAGTACTTTTTGTACTATATTATTGAAAAGTACTATGTTATTGAAAACGGTGATTTGATGATGCTCTAGGAATTTTTGACATTGGTTTAAGCCTATGAGTGGTACAAATTGAAACTTTGATGCCGATTCGTGGGTAATTGCAAAGGTTTAAATCTGAATATGAATGCATGGAATAAAGTGGGTAATTTTCGACATTAATCCCATGAAAAACTTGATAACTTTTCAGCACAAAGTTTGAATTGATATTGGACTGCTAGAGTGACTGCAGTGGTTGCAATTATCAAAAGATTTCTAATATTTTTGAAGGAACCTTCTTGTTCTCCGAATCTCTCCACCGTGTGACGTTGTTGGTGAGAGATAAGCGGAATTTGGGGCGGAATGAGTCGAAGAATTTAGCTCTGATGCATCTCGAAGGGATTTTCGTCTTTGCAGAGCTGATGGAGGCCTGGAAATCGAGTTGCATGTGCTTCTAAGCAGTGCAAAAGCAGTTTTTGATTTTCTTGATTTCGTTTATTTTGAAATATAGTTGAAGACTCACAAGGGCAAGAGATTCTCTGGATGTCGTATTGGCTTCTCGAAGTGAAGCGGTCGAAAAACACTGTACCCATCTTTGGACCACATTTTGAGGGGAAAACTGGAAAAGATTATTTTTCCAAACCAAAAACGCAAGACCATTAAAATTGGAGAGTGCATGAAATAATTAAAAATTTTGAAACTTGCTTTCTCAATCTGAAAATTGCTATTGTTTTAAAATGAGTTAGAAAAGTTAGAATTGAAAAATTGAAGTCTACTTTCAGCTCATTTAACTTTGAAGCTCATTTAACACTTGAAATGACGTCGGAAAATGAGTTTTTCAGAAAGATATTATATATTTTCTAATCTGTTTTAAGTATTTGAAAGAGAAATGTATTGATTAGAAAAGAATCGTTTGTCAAAGGTTGCTGAAGTTGAAAACTTGATTTTTAAAACGGGTATTTATCTGAAACATCTGAAAAGCTCATTATTAATTTAAATTTTTAATACTTTTTCGAAAGTTGATATTAAAAATTACCTTTTGAAGTCTAAATTTAGCCAAAAAAAATCACTGAAACACTGAATATTCGAAAGTTTAAGCGAAAAATTCAGAATGCTTTGCAAAATTGGCTTCTCATAATTGGATTGAGGAAATATTGAGAAGGAAAAAAGTAATTGGAGATTGCAGAGTAAACAAATCTGAAAAGAAAGAAAAGCTAGGAAAGAATATTCAGCTGAAGAATTGAGTGTTAAAAGGGCCGATATGATTCGATGGGAAAAACAGCTGTGATTCGGGGAAGTGAGCTGGGAAAAAGGAAGTTTCAAAGGTGAGCAAGAAATTTGTATTTCAATGCTCAATGATATTTGAGCTTAGGAAATGCTAAAAACACAGTAGTTGCCAATTTTCGGTGGGATATTTTTATGAAGACTTTAACCTTAGCCTTGCTTTTCCAATCGTTGGATTTTTGGAGGATTATTAAAGAAACTCATTTTCAAAGATGCAAAAAATACCGTAGAGTACAAAAAATACTTCGCTTGTCCTCCTACAGTATTCCGGAATAAAGAAAATACTAACGAGACTGAATATCTTTAAAAGTCTTGAACTGAAGCTAAAGATAAAGACTTGTCAGTTGATTACTGCGTAGTGAGATAGTCCCATTACAAATCCATTTTATACAGTGTGCTTATTAATCTTGAAACTCAGATTTAAAACTTTGTTCTTCTTGGCGGAAAAGGCAAGTGACCGAGATAAAAACCTAATAATTGTTAAATAGTGTAAAGGTTTTTTAAAAAAAAATCAATATTAGCTTTGAAATTTGTGTACAAATTCGCGTGAAAGGGAAAATTTCAAAGTTCAAAAGAGTTTTCTGGAGTTTCACACCGAAAATCTATTACAAATAGGAAAAAGTTTGAAGTTTTAGCTTGGCCATGTAGATAAATGAGATTACCAAAACAATTATGGTCTTGTAAGACAATACTTTGAAACACAAATTTTGAGATCAATAAAAAATGTTTCATCGATTAAATAGTAACCAAAAAAAGTACAGTAATAAAAAGTTGGCTAAAATCGATAAGAAAAATGAATTCTTTAGCTTTATGAGTTGATTCAAATGTAAATATGGCTACCAATTCGAGTAACAGTATCACTGTAACTTATCCTTATCCTTATCACTGTAACTTTTGAGTTAGTACTAACAAAAATGAGTGCTAGGTAATAAAATGCTTTTGAAATTTATAGGTTTTTATCGCAGCTCTCATATGCAAATTTCGGCTCTCGCCGAGCACACTCTCAGCTCAGCCGATTTTATGTCTGATTGTATGGACAAATATCTCGAGTTTTCAATTTGCATCACTTTGAAATGAAATTTGAAAGAAAATCAGCAAATCAGAGAAATCCGTGAGATCTCTGGAAGAGTTGGCTATTAATCCGTTTTCTAAAACGTGTCCCTCTTTTCCTTTCTACTGTAGTCTTGTCTCTATTTTTATCCAATCTATCTACTTTTTGTATCTTTCGATATTCTTTGTCAACCCCACACAGAAACAAACAAAAAGTGGATAGATTCGACACAAAAATAAAGACTACGATAGAAATGAGGAAAGGAGAGAAGGAGACACGTTTTAGAAAACGGATCGAAGAGAGGAAAGCATTCTAGATAACGGTTAAACTATTTTGCATCAGCGAGACTTGATCTCCAACGCTTTAATGACTAATTCCAAAAATGAGCTAAGAAATCTTGAAACCCTATTTTCTAAAAAAACGGCCAAAAGCCGTCAAAACAATCGCCACTTTCCGATTCAAAAGATTTCGTCAAAAAAGGTCTCCAAAGAAATTTCTCTTTGAGATTTTTGACGAAGAAGCCAAAAAGGAGAAAAAAAAAGGCTGGCGTAGTGAAAATGATTAAGAATTTAGACGTCTTGTGAGAATAAATGGGGTTTTGAAAAAGTCAGCTGAAGCCATGCTGAAGAAATCAATGAAATTATTTCTCCGTTAATCGAATTTTGGTTGGGAACAAGTGTTTGAGAACTCTAAACCCAGTAGCTTTGCCGCTGAACAAAATATACAGCAAAATTGATCTAAAAAGGCTTTAAAAGTAAGCTTGTACTTCTTTGTGCACTTGTGTATCAACTTAAGCTAGTCTAGGCCAATCTTTAGAATTCAATGAGAAAAAAATGGAAAGATTTGAATAACTTTTTAAAAGATTTAGAGATTGTTCAGTTTCTGTTGGTGTACAGTTTCTGTTGGCTGAAAAGCTCTGTCAGTTGTCAGTTGAAAATCGCTTCCAAATCGAGATATATTCAAAATAGATAGAAGAAAATAAACTTTGGATTTAAAAGCTTCAAGGGACGTTTTGGCAAGTCGATTTTCAAAATTTCATTCAAAAATCACAAAATTGCCCGCTTAAAATGATTAAACAATGAAATAATCGGACAGAAATCGCATCAATGACCCGCTCGCTTTCCCCATCGATCACACGCTCATTTTCGAAGCGAATATATTATTTCTCATGTCGTTTTTTTTGTCCCGAAAAATTCATTTTCCACCTCATTTTCCTTGCTCGATTTCTCGGCTTTTTGTCTTTTTTAAGGGAAAAAGAGCTCATAGAAAGCAATTTTCCTTTTTTTTTTTGCCTGCTTGGTCATGTCCGCTTTTTGAAAATTACCGCCCTTTCATTTCGGGGGAAAAGTGAAAACAATGGAGAATATCTACAAATGTAAATGATATTGTAAATAGAATGAACCATCTCGATATATTAGAGCCATCTTCAAAGTTTCATGCTCAGAATCTTAATGTACTCAAAATTACACGAGGATTTGTCTGTCTATCAGGAGATGAAAGTCTAGACCATTTATAGCTCATACCAAACATTTTTGAACATGAATGCTAACTTTTGAAATCCATTAAAAGATATTACAGTAGGTTTGTTATTTTACGGTGCACACTACGGCTACTACACGACTACGATCGATATTTGGAGTGCCGGTGCGTTGATTGCTTTGGCAAGTTTACAGGCTTTGGCATGCTTTGAGCAGTTCTCTGTTTAGGCACGGTATTCGGATCGGTTCTTTTTCCCGGCCAAAAGGAGATTTTCGACCTGATGGTGGAGCTGATTCGAGTGAGTTTCGGGTTTTTGATTACAATTTTCCCCGTTTAGGTCCTCGGCACACCGACGAAAGAGCAACTCGAGCAGATGGGCAACGATTTGAGGGACATTCAATTCACGCCGATGCCGCCGACACCCTGGCTAGAGGTGAGATTTGTGCTTGGCTGTGTCGTTGTGCTAAGAGCTGACATTTAGAACTGGTGCCAGTTTTCGCACAATGATAGCTGGCTTTAATGGGCGTAGAGGTTTTTAAATACTCATTGTGTTTTACTTGGCTATTTTAGACGATTCCACGCACCGACAAGCAGGCCCTCGAGTTGATCGCTCGTTTGGTGGTTTACGTTTCGACGGAGAGGCTGACTGCACAATAAGTCACCGCTCACCTGTACTTTGAAGAGATCCTAAAACCGCGACAGGGTGGGGGCTTTGAGAAGCTTATAACATTAGAACTCTTGGTTGATTTAAAAAATCGGAGTATTTTTAGAGCTGACGCTGCGCTCGGGTCAACCGTTTCCCCCGCCTGAATCACGCTGATCTGCCCGAGACGATGGCCGAAATGGAGTCGGCTTCATGACGCGATCCGATCAACCAGGCCACCCACTCGATCGAGCCGCAAAGGCGACAAAATGTGAAAAGAATTTTTATTTGAAATTTGAAATTTGAAATGTCCTTCGTCTTTAAAATGTCATTTTCCTTCTGTGCTTTTAGTTTTCAATTTCTTGCTCAATCATTTGTCGGTATTTTTCTCTTGTGTGATTGTTGGTGATATTTTGGTGATTTTTTTTGTATTCGGTTAAGCAGCATAAATTGTTTGTGAGGTGTGAGGGAGCTGATAGTTCCAGGATAGGAATGGGGGAAAATCATTTTGGTAAAAAGCTAACAGTCTGAGGCTCGAGAATTCGACGGGTGGCCTTGAAGTTGGGTTGTAGATAAGATAGTTGTAGCTGGATTGTTGAAGATCTTTTATATGACAAAAACTAAAAAGAAAAATGCATTCTGTAAAGTTAAGCGAGCTCTGCGAGTTGTATTTGTTAGAAATTTATTGACTCAAATTAGTGAAAACATTGAAACAGTCCTTCTTCTCAAGCGGCTCCTCTTTGGGTGAAGATCGGTGCTGAAATGAAATTTGTTTTTTCGTTGCCTAAAAAACCTTTATTTCAAGAAACCTGGAGCTTTCAAAATGGGACTTCGTTGCGGTTGAGTGAGCGTTTTATCCTGAGCTCGTGCGTGGTACTTTGTCATTCTAAAATAGAATTTTTTTATAACTTAGATACAGTAATCTTTCGAATTTTGGACAATTTTGAATCAGTAGAATGATTTTGAACCTGTATTGATGAAAATAGTAGATCGGCATGATGAGATACTTGAGAAGAGACCACGGAATGAGGTGACGAAGCAGCATCTGGGGAAACTTTTGTGGATAGATTGGGGAAATGTGCTCCTCACTCCAAATACCTTTTAAAATTGCCCAACTTTCTCTTTCTACCGTAATCTTCGTAATCTGAATACCTGTATCTCATGATTGAAACATCCACTCGTCACCTTCGAGAGACCGATCGTCCCAACGGCTTCACGAGCGAATTTTTCCGGAGTGACGACAAAGAGACCGCCTTGCTAAAATCAAGAATTGAGCTGCTTCAAATTCTCGTAGTTTCAAACTATTCAACTCAAATGTAGATGCTAAAATGTTTAATCACATTATGACAAATGACAATGACATCGACAATTCGATTGATTCAGTTTATTTAGATACGATTCATGTAGACAACTCACCGTATAGTAAACCATTTTCGTGGCCACCAGCGCGGGCGTCAAATATTGAACGCGAATCGTTTTGTACTCGCGATCGATGCACTCGGAGAGAAACGACATCACTGCCTGCAAAAATTGCAGTTTAACTCTTAAAAATCGATCAAGATATACAACAATTCTTCGTCTAGAATCTACATGCCGTTTTTTAATTTTTCATCTTTAGATTGACCTTTTTAAGCTGCATTCTAATTGATTTATTACGGTAGTTATTCCGATTATTGAAAACAACTGTTAAAAACTGCTTGTACTCTTCGAAGCCAAAGTCCTGCCTTGCCAGAAGTAGAATTTACTCACCTTTGACGCACAATAAGCTGCTAGTAGAGGGATTGGCCGGTAGCCTTGACTGGAAATTGAAAGTAAAGCTAAAAAGAAGCCAATTTCGATTTACTATTGATGAGCTTTCACTGCTGATCAGTCTGCCCAATTTGAAACACAAATTTTTTAACTAACCTTGATGAAAGGACGACGATTTGCCCGCCACCGTGACGTTCCATTGTGGGGAGGACGAGTGAGAGAAACTGGAAGCGAGTTCTGATATTATTTGGACCATAATATACAACGTGGATCTACAAATTCAAATTGCTAACTGTAACTTTCGGTAATTGTTTTTAAAACCGTTTTTACGCTGTTACAGGGGCTGTGGAGCCTCGAGGATTAAGCTAAGCCGGTTAAGCATTTCTTGTTTGTTTCTTTTTTGTCTATTTGTTTTACCTCAGCACTTCCGATTGCATTCACGCGAAGGATTTGTCGATCCGCCGACGGGTTGTCCCCATAGCGCTCAAGATTCTCCCTACCGACGCCAACACTGTTCACTGAAAAACTGCGTGTTTCAAGTTTTCCCCTTAATTGGCAAGAGTTTTTGCTTTATCTTATTGAGTTTCGACGTGATTCGGTTCTCAAACAACGATTGCATTAGCATTACAAATTCTGTTCCACCTCACCAACAAATCCGATATCGATCCCGTCAATTTGCTCCCGTAATTTCTCATAGTCGCCGGTCTCGAAATCGAAAAGAATCGTCCGAACGCGACACTTGAAAGTGAGCTCTGGAATTTGGGGCTCGCTGAACAAGCAAATGCAATTCCAAGTCTGACTTGGAATCTTGTTTTAAATTACCCAAAAAATCCTGCACATCCTGTAATTTCTCCCGACTTCGCCCGATGAGCACAAATTTTCGGAGGCCCCGTCTGGCCAACTCGTGCACGTAGGCCCGCCCGATGCCGTCAGTTCCACCACTGACCACTGAAAGTTGAAGAAATGAACTTGTTTTAGTCTTTCACTTCTTTCAATTACTCTCAAAAAGTTTGTCAAACTTGAAATCCCAGAAAGAGTTCAGCATTTTTGTTCGGCAAAAACTTGTTTTGATCTATGGCGATCTATACTCTCAAGAGCTCACGAAATTTTGCGCGAGAAAGAGAATTTACGATTCAGCCAAAAAGGTAAAACATTTACACGAAGAAAAAAGTTTCTCAAAACGAGTTTCTCCAATAAATTGTTTTGAGGAGAAAAGGAAATTGGGAGAGTGACAAAAAAGAGTTCTTGAATTTTTGAAGGTCTGAAAGTTTCCAGAGAAAGATTTTGATCTTAATTAGAAGTAAAGATGGTTGTGACTTCCAAATATTTTGCACACCTGTCCATCGGTGCTCGAATTTGCGCAAATCGGGTGCCCACAAAAACGGCGCAAGCCAGTAAACGAAAACGGCTTCGACGAGCGCCAAGGCGGTACGACAAAACCTGGAATTTCATTTTTCAAAGCTAATCTAAATTTGATTTTCAAATGCCTGACAGAAAAGTGTCTACCTGTACGCCAAATAACTGTTAAAGGCCCAGAAAAGCCAAGTGAAATCCATGCTGGAATTGAGTGAAAGTCGATTCGATCGAAAGTGTACGTGTACCCAAAAGGGAAAGTCTTTGAAAAGGAAATGAAAAGCGAGGAGAATGGAGGGCAGATCTGAATGCAGATAGATTTGAGGGGGAAGGGGGGGGGGATTGAGGAATGGACTGTGAAAGAAGATGGGTTAACCCCTTGGAAAAGACTCGAGGATCTCTCTCACAGGGTTCAGACTCCACCCATTTGTCTTTTCTGGCACGTATGTTATGTTCGAGTTAGAGTTTACTCATTGTGGTAAGACTACAATCAATCAATGTACAGTAAGTGTCCAATAGCACACGGGTACTGTAGCTCAGACAAAGCCAAGTGAAGATTGACAAAGATTTGTAAGATCTTCCCGTTTGTATACTGCTCAAAACTCTCATGTTTGTCCGCGTTTTCTGATTTTGTTTGTTTTCCGATATTATTGCTGATCGAGAAGAACCTTAACTAAATTTTGCAACAAAACATTTATTCAAGAATTTGTAATAATTTAAGAGATCGTATTAGAAAATGAACCAACAACAAAAGAATAAACATATCGAAATACTTGATAAACAATTAAAGTAACAATTATCTGGCAATATTTCATTTACGAGCGGCTTCTGCGACGAGGACTTCGACTAAACAGAATAGTTTTGTATTGAACATAATTTTTACAAACGAGCCAAAATTGCGAAATGAATCGGCTTTTTTTAGCTTTAGAAACATTTTAAACACCAACCGAGCATTTCCAAGTGGCACCGTATTGCCCCCAGTTCCTCTTGCTGGTGGTGGAGAGCGCTTGCGAAGTGGCGAACGAGAACGGCCACGACCAATTGGACTACGGCGTCTTGGCTAAAGAATAATCTGTGGTAAATTTTAAGACTAAACTACCAAAAAGTCAAAAAAGCTTACAGGGCTACGTGCGCGTGTTGGTGGCGCCTCATCACGACGACCAAGTGTTGCCTCAACCTAAAAGATATTTATCTATGTGGGGTTTAGATAAAACTAACGATTAAGAAGTCCAAAAATTACCTGAACCAGTTGCCCATCAATTTGCCCACCGTCCATATGCTTCAGTGCTTTTTCAGCGGCATCCGCGCTTTCATACTCCACGTATCCATAGCCACGTCCTAGGCTTGGGTGCGTTCGATCAGTAGGCAGTTCGCAGGACTTTAATTCGCCGTAGATCGAGAAGATTTCGGTCAGATGTTCCTAAAAGAAAAGATTAATAACGATAACGTTAGTAAGCTTAAATTAAACTTTCTTTGAGATCTATAGTCTATTTATTCCTATAAAAAAAGGGAAAAATAGGAATTTGGCTCGAAACCTATTTTTTGGGTTGATTTTAGTTCCAGTAACCGTATAGAACACAAATAAAACAAATTTAAGCGCCGGAACCATGTTTTTTAGCAAGAAAACTGCAGAGCTTTTGAACGCTTAGTGCACGTCTTACACAAAAATTTGTATACTAGCACTAACCTATCATACAACCAGAGTTGTTCTGTGGGCCTCGGTCCACGCTTTAGAAAACGAGTGCTTGCTTCTAAAACGTGGATCCAGGCCCGCGGAACAACTCCTCATCAAGGATATGCTGTTGGAAATCCCAATTTAGTGCTTGTATGCAAATTTTTGTGTAGGTGGGTTTGTGTAGGTCTGACTGCATAAGACGTGCAGTAAGAGTCGTAAAGCTCGGCAGTTTTCTTGCTAAAAAACATGGTTCCGGCGCTTAAATTTCTTTTATTTGTGCTCTATACGGTTACTGGAACTAAAATAAACCCAAATCCTTATTCGCCTATTTAACCAAAGAAAGTAGCAAAGCATTGTTTCTATGGGTTATCTTTCAATAGGATACCTTAGTCACATTTCTGGTCAGGTGGCGAACACAGAGACGACGTGTGGGGCTTGTCTTGCGTGGAGCAGCAGGTGATGAGCGTCTTGGAGAGCGACGAGCGGCGGGAGATGATCGACGAGGCGAGCGACGAATTGGTGATCGGCGTGGAGGAGAACGACCGCCACGACGAGGTGGAGAACCCGATCGGCTACGACGAGCGCCACGCCGTGGCGATGGAGAACGGCGGCCACCTCGGCCTAAAAATTAGAAATTATCTAGGTCATCATACTGAAAAAATCTAGCATCAGTCATAAATATTGTGCATCTCCTAGTTTAAAACATTGCGTATGGTAAACGCAACAAGAAAATCTTTCTTCCCAATAAATGTTTTGTCCTTTTTTATTGGTAATGATGTGAAAGGTAGCCAGAAATGGAAGACAGTTCAGGCTTGTTGTACAGCCTGGGCCCCAAGACAAATGCGCAACTTCACATGCCTTCGCAAAAACTTACGATCAACTCGCGCATCACCGCCGCCACGACGTGGAGATGGAGAGCGAGACCCCCGTCCTCGAGCTGGACCCGAACGAGCACCGCCTCTGAAACCAGAAAATAAGCAAACAAAATGTGAAGCACTTAAAATTTGTTTAACAACATTAAGTCAAACCTGCGAACCGGAGATCGAGAGCGTGACGACGAGGAGCTGCTTGATGAACGCGATGAGCCGGAGCTAAACGAAAAATCATCAAGCGGTTTACGCGATCTATGATGTTAGCTTAGTTCTTAATAGATTTATCAATGTATTAGCGATAACTGTCGCTAAATCTTTTAATAATGCCTCATTAATCAAATCTAGTTCTTAATACTGAATTATGCTAAAACTCTTACCTTGATCCCGAGCTAGAAGAACCAGATGATGACGAGCTTGACGAGCGCGTGCCTGAACGCTTCTTCTTCGGCTCGTCTTTCTTATCAACCATCACTAAAAGGGAAAGAATTATAATAGCTTATAGAGCATAAAAAATGAGCAAAATAAAGCCAACAGTGGTTAATCATTTGAAAACTTCAAAAACGTTTGGCCAATAGTGATTGGTTATTCGAAATTGGCACGAGAAATACCCAAATAGTACGCTACAAACTACAATTCAAGAAAAGGCGGGAGCTATGCAGCAATTCAAAAGCACGACTAGGTATTCATATTGTAAGCTTGCGTGTAAGAATAAATTTTTAAAAAATGAGAGCAAGAAAAACAATTGCCAAAGGCCGAAATAGGAAATACTGATGGGTACGGTAATAGGTGCTGTTTAGCAACAACCAGTTTGAGCCAAGAGGATCAAGTAAACGATTGGATGAGTCGACGTTTAGCAACAACCATGCGTTTCCAAGCTTGCACGAAAAAAGCGAAATGTCGGAACTGAATATCTTTTATAAATATCCAGCTAAAGGGGGACAAGATATCAACGCGGTTTAAAATCCGAACCGGCTCTGCTCAGAATTGTCCATTTAGAAACAGAAAGATACATTTTGATGAAGTTTATTGGCTTCAAAAAAATTGATATAAAACCAAGATCCAAAAAAAACAATTTATTGGGCAAACAAAGAACGCAATTTAAAAAAGTTCAACTTTTTGACTCCACGAGTTAGGCTAGGCGATCGTTGAAAGCGTTACTTCTCATCTGATCCTTGTGTTTGCTAAAAAGAAAATTTGAGGGATTCGCGTGAGAGCAACTACTAGAACAAAATTACTTTTTAAGTAATTTTGTTGTTTTTTAAGTAATTTTAAGTCTAAGCCTTTAAAATTTAACAAGTTTAGTACAAAACATTTTACCTGCGTGGTTCCAGCTTTGTCCTTTGCGCGCTTTCCCGTGCCCGGCTTCTTAGCACCTTCTTTCGACTCCTTGGCTTGCTCGGCTTTCTTGTCCTTTTCTTCTGCTGGCGGTGGGACCGCGCCTTCGGCTCCTTCAATAGTCGGGAATTCGTCAGTTACCTAAAAACACAACCTCCTTTACAACTTGATCACAACTTTATAAAGATGACCAAAAAGTTACCTGTGTGCAATAGGGATTCGAAACCAATTGTTGATGTTCGTCTCCTCCTCCCGAGCTTTGTTCTTTCGTCTTCTCAACCTGTAAACTTTCCAAAATCTCTTTTGCACAAATTATAGAGCCTGCCGGTTTAGCAGACTGTGGTCTCTCTTGCTCCTTTGCCGACGCTTTCACATCTTTTCCGATATCTTTCTTTGGGCCGAGTGGGGTCTAAAATTCAATATTAAACATGTCACTGACTAAAAATCTACATTTGTCGTTTTCTCCTTTTCCTCGACATTCTTCTGAGATCCCGTTCCCTCAGCCTTTTCGCTTCTAGGCTCCTAAAACAAGATCAAGTTCAAAAGTGTGCAACCACTTCATTTACCTTTTCCTTGTCTCCGGCGGGCTTCTCGTTTTGCGGTGCTTTCACTTCTTGATTGACTTTCCCGGGAGGCGGATTCTTGTGGTCGACTCGTCCAATCGTTGACTTGATCCTCTTGGCTCGAACAGGCGCCGGTTCCTAAAATAAAAAGCTAATGAAAAGCATAAAACTTTAACTAGTAAGATGAGCAGCCAGGTTTATGCATTGGCGTTAGCATCGATTAGCTAGCTGCTGTTTTAGCAACAAGCTTTTAAAAACAGCAATATTAGTATAAAGTTTAAGACACAAGAAATCGTGTTTCCAAATGTTTTCTAGTCGGCTCCTACGTCTAATCAATCATAATCCTCACCGTTTTCTTTTTCTTTCCCCCACAAATGAGTAGCATCGAAGCAGACATCACCAGCGTTACAAAGAATCCGAGCAGTTGTAGTTGCAGAATTACATCTATCATTGTCTAAAGGAAACTTATAGATGAGCAGAAGTAAGATGGAAAAGGTAGAATCAGAAAAACCCACTGTTTGAATGTAGAAAGAATAGAACATGACTTGATTTTAGGAGCGAGCACAGCTCCCTGCAAGCATGAATCGAAATTTGATAAGTTGAATTCATATCTGCGAAAAAGGAGACAACAATATGATAATTTCTTTTGCGGTACTGTAACAACGTTCCCAGTTTTTCGCCAGAATTTTTACAGTTTATAATTTGAGGATTTCAAGCTCAGAACAAAATCTTTCAACTGCCATTACAAAACATTACAATTTCAAATCAATCTTTATTCCAACTTTAAAAAGCAAAACCCGAAGAAGAGAAAAGCATTTACACATTTATTGGAGACACGTAAAACATTCAAAAAAGAAGAACAATGAAGTCAAGCTTTGGCGAATTTTGCCGTTTCCATAACTGTTCCTTGTCGCTCATCGTAAACGAATTCTAAACAACATAATGAGCTAAAATTGGCACACAAATTCAGCTCACAATTAAACTTTGCAGGGAGAGGTTCTCAGATGTTCTCGTAGATCTGTCCTGCGCCGCTGGTTGGTGGAGGTGGTGGAGGCGCGACCGTCTGTGGGCCCGACTTCTCGCCATGGCTGGGAGGCACCTCCAGATCCTCGTAGTATCCATCAATTTTCTCGTCCTTCTTGTAATCCTAAAAGAGAGTTTAAGTTAAGGCTTCCCGTAAAGTTACCGTACTCTCGTAGGCTTGAGGAGGAGAGCAAATTAAAATGGTGCTTTTTGTTTTTGGAAAAACCATAGCCCCATATCACCATAGCCCTTTTGTTTGCCGACGGGGCAAATTTTGTTTTTCTTATTACTAAATAGAAGAGTTGGCTTGATGGGCATCTGATTGAATTGATCGATTTAAAATCAACCATTAAGTTAACATAAAAAGTTAAACTTTTAAGTTTATTAGTGCTGGATTAGAACTAAAAGCGATTCATGCCAAAGACAACGAAATTTCCTTTCCGATTTCTTTCTTTTATTGCACGCTTAAATGCAAATTTAGCGGCATGATGTGCAAATTTTGAAGTCGTTTTAAAGTTTCAGTTGGCTTGTCTTCTTTTTCAGACATTATTTATTCACCAAAAGTTTCTAAAATTGATTGTCCGGTCGTTTTTCGATCCAATCCTTAATCGCTGGGACTGAGTGAACCAAATCGCGATGAGCTTTCATCTGAAATAGACTAGTTCCAAATAATTTTATGGCTCAAATTCAAAAACATTCCATTCAGAAGCTACCCACCTCCGGATACTTATCCCAAGCATTTGGCACAAGCTCATCATAGCGATTCACGTTCTCAGCAAGACACAAATCGGCAAGTGACACTTTTGAGCCAACCTAAACTGAACTAAAACTGACTGAACTAAAATTCAACTTTAAAATACTGTATTCAAGGCGGTAAGTGTGCTTGTTGTCTTCAATTACCGTAGATACTTTAAGATATTCTTTCTCATCACAATAGAACATGGTAAAACAAAGCAAATACCCGTCCTTTAGTCTTGTCGATCGCTTACTTTTTGTTCTTTTGTTCGAGTATACTGTAGCTGCATACCGTAAAGCAGAATATTGGGCTTATGGTATCTTTAAGTACGTAATATTTGATATTAAATCTGTTTTTCAAATAAGCCATTCAACTTGTCATACAAAACATAAATTTAACAGTTTGCAATCAATTCTAAAGGTTTCAAAGTTTTGAAGAACAGAGCAGTGACACCCAAGGTAATGACGAAATAATTTTGCCTCGCTTTCAACTCACCAAGAAGCCACTTGCACTTTTCTTCAAAAATCTCTCAACAAAAATGGGCATGTACTTGTCACGAGCTGGCTCAAAGAGTTCATGATAAACTTTATCCTGAAATTCTTTTTTGTAGGGTTTGAATTTTTCATTTTTCAATTCGCACCTTATCACCCTCCATTCTCCCAATGTAAATCGGGAAAAAGAGTTTTTGTTCTTCAAAATAGTCCGTCATTGCATCGTTAAACTCATCGATTAAAGCAGCTTCGATGTCGCTTTCACCGTAATAACCTAAAAGTTTTAGCACCATTAATCAACTTTTAACTATGCATATAACAGTTAATTAAGTACTGACATAAGTTTCAGTTTCTTTGCTTGACCCTAACATTTCATCTTTTACTCAACAAAACATGTTTCAAGTTGTTCCACTTCCTCATCAGTTTAATCACTTTTTCCGAAAGAACTCTATGTATTAGTAAACTGCAAAAGTCGTGCCCAAATATAGTGTTTTGAAGACGCACCGAATTGCTTAGCAAGAAAGCGAGAAATTGCCAAAGATTGAGCCAAAAGGATTCCATCAACCTCGAGAATTGGCAGCTGGCCGTAGGGAAGTTGCAGAGCTGAATGCAATGGTTTTGAGGTCTACTTTGTGCTCACAAATCCTGCAAACACCCCCTTTCTGGCGCACTAAATTCTTCTATTTTCCGCTCACAGCAAGGATTAGGTGTCGCGAGGGGGAAATGGAGGAACTGCGTGCACAGAAAGGGGGCGTTTACGGGATTCGGCGAGCACAAAGTACACTTGAAATTTTAGGGATTTCTGTTAGAGATTTCGCTCGACTTAAATGTGATTCAAAAGTTTCAATGTGAACGGGGTTAGTTTTTGAAATCCGGAAGCAATGGTGGCGCCATGAATATCTAACTAATTTTTGTAAAATTTATGAATGATCTTTATTTCAAACCTTGATACTTTGTGAAACTCACTTCCCTTTTTCTCGGCCCATTCCTCAAAAGTGATCCTCACATCTTTATAGGGCACTCCAGCCAGAGCAAACAATTGTCTTGAAACCTGAAATATTTTTTGAAAAATCTAAAAATAACTAGTTATTGGAAATTGAAGTGCTAATCACAAGTCAAAAAAAACCCTACCATCATCTGCATTATTAACAAACAGATGTTAGCGTAAGGTTTTCTCACTTTGAAACATGGCTCCCATTCCCATTCCCATTCCCACTTTCACTTTCCACTTTCCCATTCCAACTTTCAATCCCATTCTCAATCAGTTCTATATTCCAAAACCTTGGAAACTACCAGATTTAACATTTTATATTCAACCCATTCACAGTATGATCTTATTTTCTACTTTCATCTATAAAAATGCCCACTTCAGCTCGTCCTCGAAGGTCGAAATAGGTGAGTTTATAAGTCGACATTCAACAATTGTTGGGCAAAATCTTGCCAAATCTGAAACTAAAAAGCTATCAAAATAGGAAAAATATCTAATAGTAAGCTTTTTTTTGGAAATTCAGGAATTGCAGCTGAAAAATTTTTTCTTTGTCTTTCTTTCTTTGAGTGACGACTTCTGCAGGTTTTGACTTGTCCGGTGCTTATCAGACTCAAAAGGCGAGATTCTCATGAAAAACTGACTAAACTGTGATCTTTGTGCAAGCATTATATTGACTTGCATTGAATCTTTATTCTTCAAAATAGTTCAATCAAAATCAAAAGAATACAGATATCAGTTAGGAATGAAGTTTTCAGAATTCAGAATGCATTCTTTGGACGCTTTTCGATCCATTCCTTGATTGCCGGCACTGAATTGACGAGATCAAGATGAGCAACCAACTGAAAAGTTTAAATGCAGAGTTTTGTTTTCAATATTTGGCTTTAGATGGCTTGGATTAGACCCATAAAAAAAAATTTGAAACCTCAGGATATTTATCCATGCAATCGGGCATGAAATCGAGTAAACAGAGAGTCTGCCCGGCGAGAGCCAAATCAGCGTAGGAGAGCTTTGATCCAACCTATAATTTTTCATATTTTATAATTTATTTTCTTCTAGTGCTTATTTGATTCTTTTTTTGCAAAGCTAAAGAGATTCATGAGATCACAAGACTTGCAACATTTATAGAATTCTTAATTTTATAGATTTTCCAGAAATTTTAGATTCCCAACTGCAGCTCATAAAAGGACTTGTCCAACTCTGACTTTTGGCTCAGGCCAACTAAAAGGTTCAACTCTTCACTTTGAAATTTGATGTTTCAAAGTATTCCACTACAAAGCAATCATGTTTTGGTTAATTTTATTCTTTTGTCCGATGAATTTTGCACTTTTCTTCAAGAATCTCTCCACAAAAATCTTTTGTCCGATTACCGTATTTCTTCGAATAGAAGACCGGGTAAAGAGTATCATCGCGTACTCCTGCGTAGCAGCCCTTTTTAAAATTTCTTTTCTGCATAAAAGCTTTCAATCAAGTGCTATAGGACTGGAAAATGGCTCAAAAATCTGTTAGCTCATGTGGTATTTTTGAGCCATTTTCCAGCCCTATAGCACTTGATTGAAAGCTTTTATGCAGAAAAGAAATTTTAAAAAGGGCTGCTACGCAGGAGTACGCGATGATACTCTTTACCCGGTCTTCTATTCGAAGAAATACGGTAATTTTGGTACACTTTAAGACTTGTTCTTGAAAACGAGAAGTTTTCAAGAACAGAGCAGTGACACTCAAGGTAATGACGAAATAATTTTTCCTCGCTTTCAACTCACCAAGAATCCAATTGCACTTTTCTTCAAGAATCTCTCCACAAAAATCGGAAAATACTTGTCACGAGCCGGCTCAAAAAGCTCCTTTCGAGCAGCCTCCTGAAATCTTAGGTTTCAAGTTAAAGAATTAGAAATCGTAGACGTTTCAATTGTCGTTAGACAAGTTTGGTTGGCAACTAATTATAGAGCCCTTTACGGAGAACGTGCAATCAAAGCCCGTGCGTAGGATTTTCTCGAATTTTTAGCAAACTGTCTAAGGAGTTATCAAAAATGGAAAAAAGAATTGTTTGCAACCTTATCCCCTTCCATTTTCCCAATGTAAATCGGGAAGAACATCTTCTGTTCGGTGAAAAAGTCGGTGAACGCGTCGAGGAACTCGTCGATTTGAGCTGCTTCGAAGTCGTTTTCACCGTAATATCCTGCCATTATTATTTAATTAGTTAAGCTAAAGATTCTTAATCTTAGCGACTGAATACTTTATTACGGGTTACTGTAGTGATAAGATAATACTGGGTCTTATGATTTAGCCCATCACTCACCAAATCTCTTGGCCAAGAAACGGGCGATCGCTCCGGATTGAGCTAAAATTACCCCATCAACCTCGAGAATTGGCAGCTGGCCATAGGGAAGTTGGAGAGCTAAAGAAAATTGATTTACAATTCATGCTCAAAAGTTGCTAGGAAAATGGTATTCTCAAACAGGAACAAATGACGAATATTCAGTGACGAATAACAAGTGACGAATATTCTCGAACAATTAGATATCCGATAACTACAAAGAAGACCACTAGACTTACCAAACATCAAAAAAGCCGCTAAACTTGAAACCAGGATATTTGGACTGAAATTTTTGATCCCTTCTCAACCTTATGCTCATTTCAAAGGCTACTACTTTATTTAAAGAAGTCTACAAGAAGCTTACCGAACACAAATCTGTCTTTCATTTTGCCTGTCATTAAACTCACTTCCCTTTTTCTCGGCCCATTCCTCGAAAGTGATCCTCACATCTTCATAGGGCACTCCAGCCAGAGCAAACAATTGTCTTGGCACCTAGAATAACTTTTCGAAAGATAACTAATTATTAAAATACACAATTAATCATAATTATAGTGAAATGAAATGACTCACCTCGCCTCGCCCGCGAACATCGAAATAGGTGAGCTTGTAAGAGGGCATTATCTTGTTTCAGTTCTGGATTCGGATGGATTAAATAAACGAATAGATGAAGGCAAATTAACAATCAAATAACTACAATGGTTATTTTTACTTCAACGGAGCATTTTCTTTACACTGACTTCTAAATCAGGAGCCAAGTTTCAATTTGATGAGAGTTCAGGGTCAGTCAGGGTCAGTCAGTTCAATCTTTCAATCCAAAAGCTTTTTCATTTACTTCTAATCATTTTTAGTTCTAAACCTTCAAAAATACTTAAACTTTAGAAAAAATTCTATTCATGAAAATTAAAAAAAAAGCTTTAAAGTATCCAAGTGAAATGTTCAGATCTAAATTCAGCCAAAAATTAGTCGCTAAATGGAAGAAATTGAGTCATCGCTTTGCCAAAAGCTTTGTGAGAACTTGAGTTTCAAAATATTAGACTTGAATGATCGAATAGCAGAGTGAATCAGCTTCACGCTCTTTAAAGCAAAATTCAGTAAACAGAGCAATTTTTACATAAGAATTTATATTCTTGAAAAGTTGACGCAAAAATTTTGTGTTTTTGTGCGCAAAATGGACAAGAAAATCGGGAAAAATCTGTGTTTTTCTGTGCCAAGAAATGTGGCTTGTTTAGACGTGTTTCGAGTGAGAAAAGAAGAAAGAAACGGGAAATTTCCCTTTTTTAAAACGACCTTTATCACTTTGCCAAGATAAAAGAGCGCGAAAATGATCGTTTTTCGTTCTTTTTTTATCCTAAGACCAAAGAAACACGATGAGCAATTAAAAGAATACAAATTTTGTTGATATTTATGCGGAATTCATTAGGAATCTTTAGTTTTACAAATCTTTTGTCTATCCAAATTTGCTACCAATGAAATCATTTGCTTGGCTCAATACTCAAGAAAAAGTTTTAGTTTTAAAAAAACTCATTTTCAACTTGTAACCAAAGGGTAAAAGGTCAATGAGACGACGTCAAATAAGTTGAAACATGACATTTAAAATTGTGTGTACTCTGTGCTCTCTGAATCCCGTAAACACTCCTCAACTCTCCCATTTTCCCGCGTGAAACCAAATCGTTGCTGTGAGGGGGAAATGAAAGAATTGAGTGCGCCAGAAAGGGTGTGTTTACGGGATTCGAGAGCACAAAGTTCACTAAAAGGAAAACTAAAACAAATTTGGGTAATTGAGCCTGGTTTCTACAAGAATAGCTAAAGGGTTTTTTCAAGGTGTGTACCTAGTTAGTTTTTTTAGTTATTCTTGTAGAAACCAGGCTCACTACGGGGTTTGAGAGCACAAAGTACACAAAAAGCAACAAAGTAACACTATTGGAAACTCATTCCATTGATAAAATTGTCGTGCTTCGAAATAAACCGCACCAGATGAGCTGTTTCTTCAGTTGAGCAGAGTATGATAATGGTATGATATGATAATACTTTCCTAATTCTGAAAAAACAGTTTAACGTTGGGCTCCGTATTTCATCTTGTAGTGGCATAGTTTGAAACAAATAGTTTTTCAAAGCAACTTTATGTTATTTGATATCTATTGATCACTTTAAACACCTGGTGAATGCTAAACAAGCCAAAAACTTTTAAAAAAATCAAAATGCAAAGCTTTCCGCAAATTTTATTTACATTTCAGTGAAATGTGAAAGAATTCTTGGTGTAAACAAATTTTACGAGTGAATCATTGACATTACAAAGAAAGAAAAAGGGGAAAATGACAACATCTTGGTCCAAAAGAGAAAACAAATCAATTGAAAAGAGTTTCAAGAATTTCAAAGAATTTTTGCAAATTTTCTTTAGTATGAAGTCTTCGGACGAGTCTCGATCCATTGCTTCAGAGCCGGCAATGATTGCACTTTCTCTTTGTGAGCGATCAGCTGGAAATTGGGTCTACCGTTCCACGAACAAGAATGAAAAAAATACAGCTAAAGCTATTGCAAATACAGCTATTGCATTTCAAGAATCAAAAAATACAGCTAAAGCTTTGTTTCTTATTCAAAACTAGTTTAATATTTTTAATAGTTAGGGTTTTGTTTCGGATGTACTCTGTGCTTCTCCGAATACCGTAAACACCATCTTTCTGTACTCAATTCCTCCATTTTCCCCTCACAAATCGCTGTAAGGGGAAAATCGAAGAATTGAGTGCGCTAGAAAAGGAGTGTTTACGGGATCGTACAAAGTACACTTGTCCTTTCCCTACCTCTGGATACTTATCGAAAGCGTTTGGGAGAACATTCATGTAAACGCTGATATGCTCGGCCAACATCAAATCTGCATAAGAGACCTTGGAGCCGATCTGCAAGTATTTCGTTCAAAATTGTTCACTTAAAATTCAAATGATCAGACTGCAAACATGTTCAAACTTGAGTTTAAAATTTAAGTGTTTCAACTTTAAATAAAACTAAGGATTTAAATAAGGATGTAATAACTGAATAATCAAGGAAATAATAAAGTTCAATGCTGGTTAGCTGCGGTAAATTTTCGTTATAAAAAAAACCCTAAATCTTTCCAAGATCTATTTTTGCAAAAATTGAATTTCTCCTCATTTTCCCAACTGACCAAGTATCCATTCGGGTTTTTCTTCAAAAATTTCTCGACGAGAATCGGCAGATATTTGTCTCGGACCGGCTCGTAAATCTCCTTGTAGAGAGCGTCCTGAATATTCTTTAATAGTTTATTCATTCTTTCGAAAAACTTAAACGTTTTTGAACCTTAAGCCTTTGAGCTAACAATAAAATAAACGCAAGTTGCAGAATTTGTATCCAAAATAGCAAAGGAAAAACTTTGAATTTCAACTTTTGGGTCTCAAAAACTCGAATTCTAGAAGGAATTCAGATCCGGATGTGTCTTGCAATTGCAATGCAATTGTCTTGTCTTGCTACGGTAAGCCGAAATTTTCTTAATGAAAAACTTGAGGTTTCCACTTTTTGTTGATGAAAAACTTGAGGTTTCAACTTTTCTACTCTGAAAACTGATCTGTGCCGGATAATCTTGTTCTAAATAATCAAAATAATTTTTATTGTAAAAGTCATTCCCATATTTCATATTTCAAGTGAAATCTTTATGTTTCAAGTTATAGGCCATCAAAATGAAACACTTGGGCTTGTCCTGACCTAGGCTTACTCATAGTCAAGCTAACAATAACAGACTGAACCCATACTGTATCTTTAAGCTGAAAAGTATTTGTAAACGATAAAAAGCTTTTAAATCGTTATAGTAGGCCTTTCCTAACAAATTCAATGTCCAAACCTTATCCCCGGGCATTCTGCCCATCAAAACCGGAAAGAAATGCTTCTGTTCATTGTGATAATCCATGATCACATCGGCTAAAGAATCGATTTGAGCTGCCTCGATATCATTGGCACCGATGTAGCCTGGAAATTGAGGTTTTGGGTGGAACAGTGTAAGCACAATGAGAGCGTTTATTGAAATCTTAGTCTTTAAGAAAACAAGAAAAATGTATGGGTAGCTATCCGAAAACTGAATGCTTTCAAATAAGATTTACAGAAGTCAACACTTTTGATATCCTTGTTTCAACTTGAGTGATCTAAATGCTTCAAAACTGATTTTAATCGAGATGCCACTAGGGTTTCAAAGCATTGTTTTTTACCAAAAACCCTCACCGAAACGACGCGCCAGAAAGCGTGCGATCGTGATCGATTGAGCGATCATCGTCCCGTCAACCTCGAGAAGTGGAATTTGACCGAATGGAGTTGCTAAAAAGGTTTTTCACTAACAAATTGCTTTGGTTTGTTGCAGCACAAACCCAATTGCCGTGCCTAAATCTAATTAAAATTCAACTACCTTTAGTTATCCCACTAAAAAAACCTTTCTGGAAATGATCATGAAGACAAATTAGTCTACCGTGTTTCAAAATGAACAGCTCAAAGCGTAAATTGAATCTTAATAGTTCGACATATTGTTTCTGAAGTTTCTAGGTTATTCTCAAAGTAAAAAAATCTAAAAATATTATTTTTAGTCACTACGAGAAGCTTGTCACTCACTTTGTTTGAATGCCGGCCATTGCTCGAAATTGAGCCGATTGTCCTCGTATGGAACGCCGGCAAGAGCGAACAATTGACGGGATACCTGAAAAAGAAAAAGAAATTGTTAAAAACTACCTTATTTAGTTGATTTTTAGCTTCTGAATAGGCTTTTATTTATCTTTTTTCCATTTCTGAAATTCACAATCTCAATGTTTCAAAAGGAACTCGTGGTTTTCTAGCCAAAAATGAAAATGGAATAAGATTTTTTTTAATGATACTAGTCTTCGTGAAATAGATAGATAGTAAAAAATAGCAGTTTGACTGAATTGGAGACACAAGCGTGACCAAATTGGTCTATCGTTTCAAAACGATCTATTGACGAGTCAGTGTCACTTGTGAAGCCAAGCGCTTGACACTTGACACTGACTCGTCAATAGATCTCCTTCCCATCTACTGATACTCAGCGTGCTTAGTGAAGTCCGGTGAAGTGAAGTAAATGCTTTTTTTTGACAAATTGCTAAAAGAAGCTTCGATTAATTAGAGTGTGCAAACGTGTCATTTTCAAAAAATTTTCAGCCCCTCTCCCCAAAGCTTTTGCCCTAATTTTTTTGATTCTAATGCCCATTTTTGTTAAAAATCTACGCCGAAATTAGCAACACAGCGTTAAATCTGCATTCAAAACACAAAAAATTGCATTTTTAAAGGGCTAAATGCAAAAATTGCGCTCAAAATATGTAAATTTTGCCTCTCCAAAAAAAAATTTCTGGCTACGGGCCTGTACAGAGCTGACCCAAATAGCGATCGTTTATTTTGAAACGAGATTTCCTTAGGAGAACTGGGGAAAGGAGCAACAATGTGGATTCACATTGAGACTTAAAAGCACTTTGAGTGTTTCAAAGTTTCAATTTCAAAAGTGAACTGCTTTATGTCTTTTTGGGATCTGTGTTCTGATTAGATTGGCTCGGCTTCGGTTCGCTTAATTTTTACAGCTTCTAAACTCCCGCTTCTCCATTTCTTTACCTCAGCTCGTCCACGCAAGTCGAAATAAGTGAGCTTGTAGTGAGGCATTGTGGATTCTGAAAAGATATAAAAGGTTTTTCCAATAAAAAAAGTCCAATTTTTAGAAATATTGAAAAGTTTCCACATTCCTAGATGAATCCAGAAAAAAGTGCATCAGAAGGAGTGTGTTTATAAGTTTTTTGAGCGCACAAAGTAAATCAGCTAGCCAAGCCAAAGTTAAGCCCAAAAACCAACCATCTTTGGCCGCGCAAAACGATCGAATGTAATTGATCGGATGCATTAAAAACTCCTTTGGGTTAAATTTCTCCGAATCAGCATTCTTAGACGAATTCGGTTGATCAGTCATAATATGAGTGCCGAGTTTTGTCTTTTGTGAAGTTTTTGATAGAGTTTTGTGAAGCAAAAAGGAGATTTCTCTGAGGAGATTTCTCTGAGGCCTTTCCCCCTTTTCTCTGATCATTGCGGCAATAATTGGCTGAAGAAATAGAGAAGAAAGGTAAATATTCTTGGGATCTCTTGGCTCTTTTACTCAAGTGATATTTGAGGCAAAGCTTTGCTCAATCAAAAAAGAGAAATGGTTTGATGAATCAGAAAATTGAGAAATTCTTTGAGAATTGAGATCAATTGGAGATCGAAAAAACAGCTTTTTGAGATTTTGAGACTGAAGTTTGACTTGGTTTTTGCAAAGAAACAAGAAACAACATTAATGCATTAAAATGGCTTCAATCGTTTAGTCATTGTCAATATTGAAACAGAGTTTAAATTTGTTTTTAAAATCGCGCATTAAGACCTATTTTATTACGTTGTACCTAAAAAATTTGTAACATTGAATCTTTAAGTATCACAATTCGCATTTGATTTGTCGATTTTAGCGCGTTGAAGTGTTCTGTAACTTTTGAAAAGTCAAATTTGAGCTCCAACTATACTTTGAAACTTAATTTTCAGCACTAATCCTTGCGAGAGTTTAAGGAGGCCTCAATGAGACTTACCAAGACCAAGATTTGTCTTTTTTTATGAGCTTTTTCAACTAATTTTTGTTTGTTAGACTCAGAAAGTAAGTGTCAAATATATTGAGTGAATAAGTATGGAATTCCGGAATGGAATGGCATTATGGAATTCCGCTATTTCTCGTGGTTCTTTTTAAAATTCCCAAATTCACCCAAATAGAACTTACGGTTTGTTCTATCAGAAAGCTCTATTAATCTTGACAAAAAATTCCTTTTTGGAGTTTCTGAAAATCTTTTGTTTCTGGGGTTTGCGAGAGGCGAGAAGCAAAGTAGTCAAAAATGATAAATTCAAGATCATTCGATTTGGACACTTTTGCCCACAGAAACCTATTTTGATGGTAATCGAAATAAGATAAGATAGAGCATAAAAAGTTTGGTATATAGCCAAATTCTCAGATCAATCTGCTCAGCCTATTTTACGAATTTTCAGAAAAATGGGAATTTTTCCTCAAGTCTGCTTTGAAACAGACTCAAATATGCCTGAAAATGACAATATTTAAATGATAAACATTCCTAATAAAGCAAACCGTAAGTCAATCGGTGAATTAAGGAGTTTTTAAACAAAAAACATGGAAAATAGTGACATTTCATACTTACAGATCCAATAGATTTTAGCAATTTAACAATTGAATTGTGATTATTTTAAAGAAAACGACACATTTTGGTCTTGATTTGAGTAAATTTGAAACAAGCTGAATTTATGGGAAATGCTTTTGAAAACAAACAAGGAGTCGAAGAACGGGTTTTTAACAATTGAAAAGGCAAAATTTATTTAGATATTAAAAACTTTGAAACTTGTATTTTTATTTCTCAAAGCTGTGCTTGTTTTTTCTTAAATAAAGCATTTAATGGACACGATTTGGCTTTAAAACGATTTTGACACGTGAAAACAAAGTTGAAACAGCTATTTTCAGCCGGTTAACTGCTTTTAGATTAGCAAAAGCTGTTTAAAAGGGGGACTAAATCGAGGTGTGTGCCAGAAGGCATGTGTTTACGAGGGTTAAGAACTTAAAGTGCACCAAAACGATCAAATTTGAGCCTTTTGGAAAGTGTTGTTTCAACATTGGCAACTACTAAATGATCTAAAGCATTTTCATTGTTCTGTCGTTTTATCGAAACAAATCAAAAAGATTCAATTGAAGCCATTGAATATTTTAATTTGAAAATAATTTTTACGCGTTTTTTAAGCATCAAAAGGAAAGAATCACAAAGATGGAAAGATTTTCAAAAATTTGGTTAAAGGTCAAGAAATTTCACTTCTCGAAAATCCACTTGAGAAACAAAAAAACGAAAAATTCCTCAACCTTTAGCAAATAGAAAATTTGTGCCGTCAAAAAGACTTAAAATTCTTTTTTTTTCTTTTTTTTTGCAACAGTTCAATGGGAAAGCGCTAAGAACGCTGGAAATTGGAAAATTGGAGAAATTGAGAAATTTTTGGTGATTTTTGCTCATTTTTTCCTTGGGAAACTAGAGAGTTCCGGTGAATTTTTGAGTTTTTCTTTTGGAGAATTTGAGCTCAAGTTTCATGGTTTAGCACTAGAGAAACTACAGGAACACTATTTTTTTCCGTTTTTAATGATTTCTTGGCTTTGGTAACGAAATGGGATCAAGTTTCGGAGTTCGTTTGATCAAATGAGAATCGAGGAAGATCTGGTTCCAAGTTTTTGGAGTCTAGGTAAAGGTTCAAGAGTTTAGCGTAGACGTACACGTGCTCTTCCACGGTCATTGCAGCTCCGGTTCTTGAACAATTTGAGATTTTGAATTTAACGAAGTAGCATCAAAAAAAATCTTATTTAAAGTGTGAGTATAATTATCAATATCAATCGAAGATCTATCAAAGTAAGATAATGCGCCCAAAAATGACACTATTTTGAAAGGCGACTCACACACTCCGTTTAACCTGAAACTTCGATTGTTGAATGATTGGAATGACAACGGAACAAGGTTCTAAATTCAAATATCGTCCTTTTGTGTGTGTTTAAAAACCAGGACGAGACTTATTAAAAAATGCAAAGTTTACAGTCAACTTTCAAGGCCATATTGCCATTTCGCTTTCATGCTCAATTTGAAACACCAATTATTTTCTTTGTTGATTTTATGAATTTTGAAATATTGGTTTCAAGCTATTTAAGCCAATGAGACAGCGTCAAACAGGTTGAAACTTAGAATTAGGTGTACTTTATGCTCTCTCGGAATCCCGTAAACACCCCCTTTCTCGCGCACTCAATTCTTCGATTTCTTTCTGTGCGTTGTGGGGAAAATGGAAGAATTGAGTGCGCCAGGAAGGGTGTGTTTACGAGATTTGAGTGCACAAAGTAGACGGAATACATATTGCAAAGCTCTTTGTAACCCTTTTACCAACTGAAAACTAAATTTTAGAAATGTGGCTAATAGCTCTAAAACTTGAAACATACAGTCTCTAATCCCGTCTGGAAAGTTCTCTATTGGAAATTGGAGAACTCAAATATGTCAAAAAAGATGAGTTTACAACTCTTAAGGACAAAGAACACTCCATAAACCTTTGTACAGAAATCTACAGTACAGAAAAGTACAGAAAGTACAGAAATCTTTCCCTCAGCACAAATTTCTCTAAATCATAAGCCCCCAAAATGTACCTTGACCGAGTATCAAAAACAGGCAGAGTTTACAGGGTGTGCCAAAAGTTCCCGTACTTGTATTTTCTGCATTTTTGGTAATTTTAGGTAAAAAATACGATTTTAGAAGTAAGAAATTCGAATTCCTCGCGAAAAACTGATTTAGAAAACGTTTCTGGTTAATTTATAAGTGCAACGCTATTTAAGACAAGTGAATGAGAAGAGGGTCCGCTGAGGGGTGCTTTGGTCGCACAGTTACAGGGCACAGTTACAGTTATTTCCTTTGATGGAAATTTGTATGGGAAAACCAAGTTCTAAGCTGACTTCCGACTCGATCGTTGACCAAAACTTTATACACCCAATATAAAAAATGTCATTTTTATGTCTAGTTTTCGAAAAACATCTTGGCTCTTGAAAATCTTTTGATCCATAAAAGTTACAGGCCTGAAGCCCCCAAAAAAAATGTGCGACCAAAGCACCCCTGAGCGGACCCTCTTCTCATTCACTTGTCTTAAATAGCGTTGCACTTATAAATTAACCAGAAACGTTTTCTAAATCAGTTTTTCGCGAGGAATTAGAATTTCTTACTTTTAAAATCGTATCTTTTACCTAAAATTACCAAAAATGCAGAAAATACAAGTACGGGAGCTTTTGGCGCACATTGTAGTGTTAAAATGTGTTGTAGTCGGCTTTTTTGATCAAATCCTCGATCAGATTTATCGAAAAAAAAGAGAAAAAAGGGGAAAAAGATAGGATTTCCCGTCAAAAGTCAAGAGAAATTGTGATTTGGAGAGAAAGAGAGAAATTTTCCCTCCTTTTATCAACAATGTGACCGAATTGTGCAATATTGGATTGGGGAAAAAGGGAAATTTTCGAAGATTGGGGCATAAAAGGGATGTCTAAAGGGGTTTTTTTATGATAATTTCCATTTCGGCTCGTTTTCTAAAAAGCATCAGACAAACTACCGTAACCCGGACGGCATTTCTCATTCAATCAGCCCAATTTTGGTATTATTGACTGAGCCTTGTGTTTCCCTCATCGAATGATACCAAAATTGGGTTGATGCATGTAAAATGGCGGGCGGATTACGGTGGTTTGTCTGAAACAAGTGACTTTTGGAACGGCAAACCGAGAGGTATGCACTTTAGTTAAACCAACCTTTAAGACCTAGACCAATTGCCCTTTTTGGTCTCATTTTGAAATGCCTTCTTTTGAAACATCGCCTTTTAACTCTACTTTTACTTTTGAAACATAACTTTAAAACTTTTAACTTAAGAATAACTTTCTAGACTGCAAATGAAAAAGCATTTCTCTTTTCCCTGACATTCATTGTATCAATGTATCAACTTTCTGTTGGATATATTGAATAAAAAAATAAAGGAAAGGTTGTTTCAAGAAAATTGAAACGTTTTAGAAAATGTTCTCTCATATACAAAGGCAAAAATTTGTGATATCTCTAATCCAAACCCCCTTTCAGCTGGTTCAATGCTCTAATCTACTCATTTCTGTCAGCTGAGTTCTTTATCTTGTTCTTAAATTGAGAAAAGAGCCTTGTTGGTACTAATATTTTTTTTGCTATATTTACTAACTATAATATAAAATTTGAGACTAGATCTTTTTGATGTGACATGGCTTGCGTTACTTCATCATCCATATAAAGAAACGGGAAGTTTCCCAATGAAACGAACATTTTATTCAAACCTTGTAACTTTATTTTATTTTCAGAGTTCAGTTCTTCTTCTTCATTTCTACTTCAAATAATTTGAAACTCGTTCTTTTTTTAGAGTACAAAATGGTGCTCACCAAGGCGGAAGAGGCAAAAAACGATGATCAAATCATCAACACGGCGATCACTTGGGAGATTTTAGAGGTATGGAATGAAGAAATTCTTGTCTATCTTTTCAAGCATTGAACTTTAAGCAGAATTTGTAATTCTAATTTCAAGGAAATCCCTGAACAAAATGCATAGTTGAGCCTATGATTAACAGTTCAAAAAATCAAATTTCCAGTACGATATGCAAAAAGCGTTCGGAAGTCTAGCGAAAATCGGTGAGAAACGAAGCGCTCAATTGATGGCTGACGGGAATGTGAGTGTTTCGAGGAAATGAAGGTGTAATGGGAAGGAAATCTGCAATTTATTCACTCTTTGAGTTACAAATTAGCTAATTTAGCAAGATTCTGGGTTGTGAAGTGATAAGTGTTTCAAATGGAACGGGATGTGAATAGAAAAGAAATGTGCAATTAGGTTGTTCTGGTTAATCTAGTATTGATCGATTGGAAGCACAAAGTACAATTCACCTATTTTAGGGTTATGTTTCATACATCGCTTTGGTTGTTTTCGATTGGACGACTGATCGAGATCTTCTACCCGAGAAAGCTGTGCTAAAGGTTAGTTTTAAAGCGAATCGGGTCCACTGAGGAGGCTTTTTGTCAATTAGACTTATAAAAGAGCGATTTCAATTTAAAGCATTAAACTCTCATCTCGAAATATTGGGTTGGAGAATTGAAAACTGCCGGACTTTGAACTAAAATTTATTCAACATAAAACCATCAATTCATTCTAAATAATTTCCATTATTATTGACGACTTCTGCCCATTTTACAGGCAATTTACGGATTCCTGTTTCGTAATAGGATTTTGGTTTTGAATCGAAAAACTTTCAAAGCCAATTTTTGACTGCTTCTTCCGAATCGAAGTGTTCTCCCGCAAGCTCATAACTCATGGTCCGAAATAGATAGTAATCAGAAGGGGCGAGGTCCGGAACCCTTCCCCCCCCCCCCCCCCCCCCCCCCCCCCCCAAAAACCTTTCTCCTTCCCTTTTCTTCTTCTCTCCTTATATTACCCCCCCCTTTAGGCCATGAAAAATATCCTGGTGGCAATTATCGTCAATAAAGAAGGAAGAAAATACCAAAAAAAAAAAAGCTGAAAGCATAATTTTTTCACAATAATTAGAGGAAATGTTGAAGTAACCAAACCCCCTTTCAGCTGGTTCAATGCTCTTGTTTTTTTTATCGGCGAGTCCCGCGAAATAGCCGACAGTTTTCAATTCACCAACCCAATAAAAAGTTATTGGCATTTAATAAAATCCACGTTTCAAGTTTTATACAGTCAAAAGAGAAATTAATTGGCTAATTTTTTCATGGTGATACTCCATTGTCAAATTAAAATTTGAACTGAATCCCTCCAGATCACCTCTTGCGACAAAATGGAGATTCTGATCAAGGAGATGCCGGGGTTGGAGCTGAATAATGTCAGAGACAAATGCGCTGCGGTGAGGAATTTACCCAAATTCAAGCCATTGTTTCAAATCTCACATTAATGGGTTTATTTTAATTTTTTTCACTTCAGATCAACGACAATGAGCTGAAATTCTACAAAAATGCCTTTACAACGATGAAATTTTCCAACGAGCTCCGCGTGCCGCAATTCTTTTGTGGACGAGATTTTGGCATTGATGGAGTGGAAGCGGGTTTGTTTCTAATTTTAAAAATTTCTTTTTCTTTCTCTTTCTCTTTTAACTTCTTTCTTTTAACTCTTTTAACTCCTTTAACTCTAAAAAGATCTTTTAACTTTAAGTTTTAAGCTATTTACAGTTAAGAAAAGTTATTGTCAAAATACCAAAAGCAATTTCTAGGCTATTTCGCCATTGAGCACTTTGACAACGTGGAGAATCGCCATCTCTACAATAACATCCAAGAGTCGGCCGTTTTCGAGATTATTCGACAATTAGTCATCATTCATACGCATTGTGAGTTCAATGGAAACAAATTGGCTTTGAAATTAAAAGTACTACAAATTTGTAAAGTTTGAACTTGGTAGCATCTCTATTAAAGTCGTCAAGTTAGACCTGAAAACAGATCCTTTGAAACTAGAAAATTTTAATCGATAAAGTAACCATTTGAAGCCTAATTTAGTCACAGATATTAGAAATAAAGCTGTAATTTAGAAAAAGCATTTCAATAGCTTACTTTCCTAATAAATTTCAGCCTACAATCATCCGGAAATGATGGGCAAAATAGACGCGAATGTGTACGAACAACTCTATGGCGATTTCATCGATATAAAGGTTTCATTTTAGCAACTTTTTTTTGAGATTTATAAATGTTAATAGTTTCAATGGCTTTAGTGTACATTGCTCTCCGAATCCCGTAAAAATCCCCTTTCTAGCGCACTCAATTCTTTCATTTTCCCAACACAGCAACGGTGTCTCGAGGGAAAATAGAGGAATTGTATGTTTGTGGGATCCGGAGAGCACAAAGTGCATACCAAACTTTTAAGTAGTTTAAGCTGTATTTAAATTTCAGAAAATTGAGAAAGCGTTCCACGAGGCGGGCACAACGTATCCAGAGCTGAAAGAGAAATTGGAAAAGCTCAAATCCCAGCTGAAGCACTTTACGGATTGGGAGACCTATCAGAATAAGCTGCATGAATCGTGTGAGTAAAAACCGAATAAATTTCAAGTTCGACGGCTAAAGCTTCTGCTTTGAGATCTCAGTTTCTTCTGCATTCGGCTCTATCCCAGAATTGGGCACATTTATTCTATTGCTGAACGGGTAAAGCTAATGGCTTGAAATAAGCAAGAAAACAGTAGGCCAGAGATGGGAATATTACTGCGAGCTCTGCCAAGATTATGTTGTCGAGTCTCTGCAAAAAAATTCGAGCCAATTCGTTGTGTTCCAGGCAAGACGCGAATGTTTTGCCACGGTGATTTGTGGACCGGGAACATGTTGTGGAGGAAAGATGAGGCGGGAGACTATCGAATGTTGGTCATGATCGACTGGCAGGTGGATTGACTGGGCAAATAGCTATTGTAGATCAATAGTCTTTTGGGGTGGATAGAGTTTACTTCGGCATTCACCGCAGGCTTTTGTTTGACCTGATAACCGTGTGGCTTTTGATCATCTGTCAGTCAGAATTGAAATCTCTAAGATGCAAAGGATCCTTGAATTTGTGAGTGATTTTAATAGCAAACCCACTTATTAAGTGACTTTTGTTTCAAAATGATGAATGAAGAAATGATTTCCGGCAAAGCAGTCCATCGCTAATTAGCAAGCATAGAAATATCTCGGCTCTTAGTTTTGAACTTCAAACTTAGCACCGAGCCTAGCAGCAAATAAACCAAGCGCAAAAACAGCTCTTGTAGTTGAAGTTGTAGAAACAGCTCTCCTTTTTTAACCAGTCAACCTTTGCAGCTTTGCCATCTCGGCAATCCACTTGATGATTTGGCCCGTTTGTTGACGAACGCCATCTCGAAAGAGAGCTATTTGGAAAGGTTGGAAAGCTGGGATTTTGTAGGAATTTTATTTTAGACGAGATTTCTACTTGGAGACCTATTACAAATGGTTCAAAGAGAACACGAGTGGACACCCAATGCCCTGGGAATCATTTGATGAGGTGGCATTGATTGGGGAACTTCTATATTTATCTTTTCAGTTCTTGAAACAGTACGAGCAAGTCTTCATTTTGACAACCGTCATTTTTGGCCCAATTATGGCGAATTTCACGAAAATGCTCTTGGAGAAATGTCGAGGTGAGTTTCAAAGAGGTCGGCTTAAAATAAAATCGTGTACTGCGCTGATTTCCCAAAGAAAAACTTAAAATGCTGGTAAATAGATACCATGAATTAATTATCTAAGGTGAAATTACCATTATCATTATTCAAATCCATTTTCAGAAGAGGAAAAAGAAGCCGGCTTCAAATGTTATTGGGGGAAATTGGAGAACATGCTGGATGAGTCGATAAAATACATCGAGAAATGGAATTGGTAATCAATTTTTGCTTTTAAAAGTTATTTTTGATGTAGATAAATATTTATTGAGTTGGGAAAACATTTCTTATTGGAATTTTGGATCAGTCATTTCATGAAAATTGGTGCATTTATAATCATTGCCCAATCATTTATTCCTACTCTTGTTTTGTAGTTCTTCTTTCGTTCATCTGATGCTTTTATTCGAACGCTTCCAACAGCATTATCCCCAAAATTGGCTCGAGTGCGTTTTGTAGCAGTTTTGACACAAGTTTTGAAGTCATTTTGAACAAAGACTTTATTTACAGCAAAATACAATGTGCTCATTTGTTGGTTGTGATGTTTAACATTCAACTGAGTAACTAGCAAGATCATTCGGGGAAATCGTTTTTATTCAAAACAAAAACTGAGATAATCTGTCGAAAAAGTTGCCATTTTGAGACGAATAAAAGTATCGATTCCCATGTGATTTCTTTTTAAAAGTCATGGAAGGATGAAAAAGTTTCAAACCAAAAGCTATTCGCTCGACACGACATGAAAAAATGAAAACGGCATGAAAAATGTACCAGATAAAAGATCACAAAGTCACTTAAAATGCAACGAAGTAGCCCTTTTAAAATCAGACACGGTGGATCAAATCTAATCGTTGCTAAGCAAACTTTTTAGTGGTCGTGACGTTTTGAGGGATATCATAACTCTTATACAAGCCATTTCTGAAAAGAAACAGTCGGTGGTAATCCCTGAAGCCGGGTAAGCCTATCTTAAAAAGCAAATCAAATAGATTATGCAATTTTCATCCTTTTAGACGAGGCTAATTTCAAACCCTGCTTCAATTAGGGAGAACTTGGCTAGCGGGAATTTCTTGGGCGACCACGAGCTCTTCAAACATTGAAAGTGCCAATGGAAATCAAAATGACAATGTGTAATTGATTGATTGATGACAATTGATTTGATTTAAAAACAAACTGAAGTAACCACCAAAAACATTTGAAAATATGCATTTACCGAACATTTACCTTTGAACTTTAGCCCATTTGTGGATGCTGAAGAGAATGTGAACGGAAACAGTTCGGCAGAGAACTTTTTAGGATTTCTTTTTTTCAGGAACTTTTTAGGATTTCTTAAGCTTTAAATTCTAAAGCATGAGGATTTCGAACTTTTCAGAGACAATCTGCTTGATGGTATAACAATGGACGTCCAAGGATTCGATTTGGCGAACGAAACTGGTTCACAAGGAAATTAAAGCTGCCACCTGGCAATCAGATTAATGCAACAATAAAAATTTCTTACTTTAGTGGCGGCTTTCAGTACAGTAATAGAATTTTTCTATCAATGAATGAATCACACTTATTACACATGGAACAAATTTTGACAAGCTCATCGGGCATTTTCTGAAGTTTTACACAAAGAAAAGCGTTTCAGCCAAGAAAAAAAACTGATAAGACAAGACATAAGACAAAACCATACCACTCGCTTTTTTTTACGATAATGTCAATTTTTCACTTTTTGCTTCATCAATTTTTTGGCTATTTTTAAGAATATTTCAGTAGTTCAATGGATCAAGATCAAGGACAAGAGCAAGCATTTAAAAACGAGATCGAGATCGATTGTTTGCTTGCTCTTTTGAACGGCTTGGATAAAGCGGTTCTTTTTTTCTTTTCTAAATTCAATTCGTAACGTTTTAGCATGGCGAGATCTACATGCAAGTGATCCTACCAAAGGTCGGATATATGAAGGATGTGAAGGATAAAGAGAAAGCGATTTATGGATATGTTGACCAAATCATGAAAGAGTTATTGCGAATTGTGGGATATAAAATGCTTGGTTTTATCACAATCTAATTCAGAATCTACCGCGTTTTAAAGATCCGACTCTCGTCCGTTTGTTATGCAAAGCATTTTATGGGTAGGACTTTGGCACGATTATTTTTCAGTTGAATGGTGACCATTGCCATATCTATTCTAATAGAGGCAATTTTGTGGTGGTGGTTAAATAATAGAAGCAATAACTATGGATATTCAGCTTAGTAGACCGAATACCCTTCGTTTTGAGCTTTTAAAAATATATAATGCTATATAGGCATTTCCTTGAGAAAAAGAAGAAGAAAAAGAAGATTTCCTTGCATTCTTTGGGAGTGGGACAAATGCGACCCTTTTTTTTTGCGCACCCGGACATTTGCGCACCTTTTTTCCGCACCTTGCCCATTAGCGCACCTTTTTTCGCGTTTTAAAAAAGCTAATATTAACCTAAAGCTCTAAAAAGCTCTAAAAAGCTAATATTAACACGTTGACGACATTGTCACCTGATGCTGTCTGACACATATTCGTTCGCCTGGGACATTGTCAACTGATGTCAGGTGACATTTTTTGTCGAAAAAAACAACGTTGTCCCATGCGATTGTTTGTGCAAAAACGCCATTGTCGTCAACGTGTTAACCAATTTCTATTCCAAAAGTTGTTTTTCTAGGTAATTTGAGGGCGTAGAATCGAAATTTTGACATAACAGAGCGTGTGGAAACAAACGGACGGAGTTATACAAAGAGAAAACACAATTTTCTTTCTGTACAATTTTCTGTAATTTGATCTAGCCGTTTTGTCTTTCAAATTGGTTCCACACGCTCTGTTATGTCAAAATTTCGATTCTACGCCCTCAAATTACCTAGAAAAACAACTTTTGGAATAGAAATTGGTTAACACGTTGACGACAATGGCGTTTTTGCACAAACAATCGCATGGGACAACGTTGTTTTTTTTCGACAAAAAATGTCACCTGACATCAGTGACATCAGTTGACAATGTCCCAGGCGAACGTAAATTTTTCTTGCAATTAGGTAGTCAGTTTATTTGGATCGAATTTGTGGCTTAGAGTAGGTATTTAAATTCTGTCGAGCTTAAGATGCAAGTGATTCTCTTTTATATTCTATGCCATAAAATTCTCACAACTTTAAACATTTTGACGTTTTATATGTTAGTATCCAATCCTTTAGCAAAGAATCTTTCTTTTTTAGTTCTTAGTTCTTTAGATTATTATTATCATTATTGCTTAATCAGCAGTTTTCCTTACATTCTCTTGCATTGACTACGATAGTGAGACCTCGATTGAGATCGGCGACTCTGACGGTAATGAAATTGAGAATAATGCGATTGAATTGATCGATTTTACGATTTTACGATTGAATCGTTTTTAATTGGCTATTACCTAAAGGTTTTCTTTCTAAGAACTACTTCATCAATTTTTTTAGTCATTGAAAAATAGAAGCACAGCTTCCAATAGAAGCGATTTTGTGGAATGATTGAAAAACAAAAGCGCATGCGCATTAGAATAAATACGGTAAATGTGACTCTTAACTTATCGTACCTGGATTTGTTTCAGAGAAGCTGAAGAGGTGAAGGGAACGGATCAAGAGATTGCCGGGTAAGTCTAGATTGAAGTGACAAATTAGCTTGCATTTGGGTCAGGTTGATTTAGCAAGCCCACGTTTTGTTCCGGACCAATGTTTCTGATCTTTGCATTTAGTGCTACAGCCGACACTTGGGATAAATGCCAAACCCCGATCTTTGCCGCATTGCTCGTTGTTTATGTCTCCGATCAAATGAAACAAGTCTTCCAAGATGCTTACGAGCTCAATTGGGTCGATGTTTTTCAGAAACAAAAGGAGTTGGTCGCAATATAACTGTTTCCTCAGGCAATATAACTGTTTCCTCAGGAAGTTTGATGAAAACGCTCATGACCTCTTTGATCTTTGCTATCGTGATCGAACAAAATCAAAGTCTGAAGCGAAGAATTTGCTTCGGGAGGGTTATTATGCGGAAAATCCACCGGAAAATTCGCATTCCAATTCAAGTTTGCTTTTAAGTTATGCGTTGAAATGAAATTTAGAGAATCCCGTTACGTTCTTGCTCGAAATAGCCGACAGGGCAAATACTAGCGTGAGTTGAAATTGATTTTACATTTTCCTGACAATTGAAGTTTTAAGTTTTAAGAAAGCTTCTAGATTTTAGAAATTTCTTGCTCATCCGTTTGCTCAACGATTCGTAGAGGAACTTTGGGAGAAAGGAAGTTTGGAAGAAGAAGCTCCGATTTTCACGCCGAGACGGCTTTTCTGGATCCACGGGGTAAGTTGTAATGGATTGAAATAACAAATTATGATTACAGTTTTTCTATCTTATCTTTCTTGTTGTCTATGGAATTGGTCTTCAATATTTACATCTTATTGGTAAAGGTTTCGCGGGTGAGGAAAATCGTTGGTTGATAATCAGTGGTGCGTGTGGATTGCTTTGGTGAGTAAAGCTAGCAAATGAAGCTAGCAAATGATTTTCGTCAATTCATTCAGCTGGCAAGCGACATTTATTTACGAAACCTATGCGATCAATGGTTATGGCCTCAGCAAATATCGGATATTTGATCGATATAATTTCTGGCAAATCTGGCTACTTTTGTTCTTTTTTCTAATAATTTTCCCTTGTCTGTTAGTTATCTTTTTAAAACCAACAATAATTGAGGACAAGTGAGTTAACCAACTTGGAAAGCAATTTCTTTTTAAATTTAGAACAGAGTTAATCGTTTTGTACGAATCTTTCTTATACATTAACTTCATCTACTGTTCTTTACAATTATTACCCATTTTGGCCAGCTTATTTTTCTTTGACACGATCATCATTACAATCGAAAGAATGGTTAGATCAAACTAGAGTTCGGCAAACAAAACCAAAACCAAAACACCAAAACAAACCAAAACAGACCAAAACCAAAACCAAAACCATAACAAACCAAAACTCAATTTGCATATAAATTAACATGTAAATTTAAAATTGTAAAATGCAAATTTGCCTTTCACTTTTTCTCACTCCACAAAATCTCGCGGCCGAAAAAAGGACCAAAACACGACCTCGAATTTCGAAACAAAAAATAGCCTATGGGATAGATTTTTGGATGCTGATTTCAAATCTGCAAACAGATTTTCGCTAGCACCTCCCAGTCGCGAGATATTGGCGAGTTTTGATTAGTTTTGGTTTTGGTTTTGTTATGGTTTTGGTTTTGGTTTTGTTATGGTTTTGGTTTTGGTTTTGTTATGGTTTTGGTTTTGGTTAAGTTTTGTTTTCCGAAGTCTAGATCAAACTATTCAAAAAAGAAATCCCAATACTCCCTTTAGTTTTCAACCATCTGCCGCTTTTTTCTATTAATCATCGTTTTTTGGCTTATCTATTCGGTTGTACAGGTAATTTTAATTTTAAAAGTTTTCAAATACAATTGACTCCTAGAATTCGTTGCTCGGCACAAGTTGGGGCTGGGATTCGCCGTGGGCTATGTTTATGTAAGTGGTTTTTTTTTATGTTGGCTTCGTCGCGGTCTTTCTCCTTTACTTCTTTTCTGTTACATGTTTGCAGCAAGTATTCTTGTAATCAATATACTTACAGCAATCATCAAGTGGATGAAAATCTTTCAAATATTACTCATCATTTATTTTAGTCAACACTACGACGAAGCAAAAGCAAGAGCGAACGATTTGTGGAATAGTCGAAAGCTTAGGAGAACACTCTTTTATCAGAGGGCCCATTTTCCACCACCGTTCAACTTCCTCGTGGACATGTGTTCATATTGTTGCTGGTAAGCTTTAGTTTAACATTTGCTAAGTAAAAGATGTTTTCTAGTAAACGGCTTCGAAAGGGGCAAATGGGAGGCAATAATTATTGTTATGGGTGAGTGTTTGGAGATGATTGGCTTGTTCGTTTTTGGTAACAATCAAGGAAGCTGTTGTAGTCAATAATATGATTCGGTGTCTACACCGTTATGTACAAAATTTAGAACACTCCCAACTCGAGACATAAAGCCCAAAGGCTTTATGGTTTGTTTGGAAAGATTGTTCAACTCCTTTCTGGGTTGTTCGAAAAGATTGGGCAACATGTGTTCATGTTGTTGCTGGTAAGCTTTTGTTTAACATTTGCTAAGTAAAAGATGATTTTTAGTAAAGAAAGCAATTGTTGTGAGTATGGGTGAGTGTTTGGGGATAATTGGCTTGTTCGTTTTTTGGTAACAATCAAGGAAGCTGTTGTAGTCAATAATATGATTCGGCGTCTACACCATCATGTACAAAATTTAGAGTAGTCCCACCTCAAGACACTTCGAACTTGGCAAATGACGGAGAACCGTAAGCTCAAAAGCAAAATGACTCAAAACATCAAGATATTTAGAGACTTGCGCGCTGTAGAAGTGAAGCATCTAAATGAAATGCTCAAGCCTAGGTTAAACTTTATTACGCCAAAGAAGTTATCTCTCCAAGTCTAGGAATACCGGCAACGAATCGAATGCGGAAATCGATGCTTTGAAGAAAGAAATTTTATCAACTATCAAAGAACTTATCAAAGAAATCAGAGTGACTTTTAGAAACAATCACAGACATAAGAATATGCACTTCTTACCCAAAATTCTTACCCAAATAATGCAAATAATGCAAATCTTACGTAAATAATGGGGCCACTGAAGTGAATAGACAAATAGCTAGACTCTATATTTTTATGATCATGTGATTGTCGTTGTGATTGAATTTTAAAAATTTTATGCAGTTTCTCGTAGGATCAATAAAATTCTTTATCAAATTCTTTCTATTCACACATAAACGTCTGAAAAAAAACATTAACAAATGAGAACCGTTTCTTGAAAATAAAAGATTCTAGAAGTGACGGAGCATTTTGAGAACTGAATCATGAACATCTCGTCTCATTCGGAAGCTGAATAAGTTTTGTTATGGAAATACAAATATCATGTTTATAGGTAGATTGAAAAAAAAATCTCCGATACCCGATTCGGCACCGAATAGCGACGGGACATCTTGGCGGAAGCGGTGGACAATTCGGGCAATCAATCATTGGAGCCGCACATCGACATGGCACTGGCCGAGGATTGCGAGGATAAAGGATTCCGGTGAATTTTTGAGTTTTTTTTTGGAGAACTTGAGCTCAAGTTTCACGGCTTAGCACTAGAGAAACTACAGGAACACTATTTTTTCCGTTCTTAATGATTTCTTGGCTTTGGTAACGAAATGGGATCAAGTTTCAGAGCTCGTTTGATCAAATGAGACTCGAGGAAGATCTGGTTTCAAGTTTTTGGAGTCTAGGTAAAGGTTCAAGAGTTTAGCGTAGACGTACACGTGCTCTTCCACGGTCATTGCAGCTCCGGTTCTTGAACAATTTGAGATTTTGAATTTAACAAAGTAGCATCAAAAAAAATCTTATTTAAAGTGTGAGTATTTATCAATCGAAGATCTATCATAGTAAGATAATGCGCCCAAAAATGACACTATTTTGAAAGGCGACTCACACACTCCGTTTAACCTGAAACTTCGATTGTTGAATGATTGGAATGACAACGGAACAAGGTTCTAAATTCAAATATCGTCCTTTTGTGTGTGTTTAAAAACCAGGACGAGACTTATTAAAAAAATGCAAAGTTTAGAGTCAACTTTCACGGCCATATTGCCATTTCGCTTTCATGCTCAATTTGAAACACCAATTATTTTCTTTGTTTATTTTATGATTGATTTTATACCAACACCCCCTTTCTCGCGCACTCAATACTTCGATTTCTTTCTGTGCTTTGTGGGGAAAAATGGAAGAATTGAGTGCCCCAGGAAGGGTGTGTTTACGGGATTTGAGTGCACAAAGTAGACGGAATACATGTTGCAAAGCTCTTTGTAACCCTTCTACCGACTGGATACTAAATTTTAGAAATGTGGCTAATAGCTCTAAAACTTGAAACATACAGTCTCTAATTCTGTCTGGAAAGTTCTCTATTGGAAATTGGAGAACTCAATATGTCAAAAAAGATGAGTTTACAACTCTTAAGGACAAAGAACACTCCATAAACCTTTTCAAGTACAGAAATCTTTCCCTCAGCACAAATTTCTCTAAATCATAAGCCCCCAAAATTGAGCGAGTATCAAAAACAGGCAGAGTTTTGTGCTAAAATGTGTTGTAATCGGCTTTTTTGATCACATCGTCGATCAGATTTATTGAAAAAAATGAGAAAAAAGGTGAAAAAGATTTCCCGTCAAAAGTCAAGAGAAATTGTGATTTCGAGAGAAAAGGAGAGAAGTTTTCTCTCTTTTTCTCAACAATGTGACTGAATTGTGCAATATTGGAGTTGGATTGGGGAAAAAAATTATCATAATCGACGATCAGATCATTTATTTTGGCTGGATTGGGGAAAACTTTAGTTAAGCCAACCTTTAAGACCTAGACCAATTGCCCTTTTTGGTCTCATTTTCAAATGCCTTCTTTTGAAACATCGCCTTTTAACTCTACTTTTACTTTTGAAACATAACTTCAAAACAAGTTTTCTAGACTGCAAATGAAAAAGCATTTCTCTTTTCCCTGACATTCGTTGTATCAATGTATCAACTTTCTGTTGGATATATTGAATAAAAACTAAAGGCAAGGTTGTTTCAAGAAAATTGAAACGTTTTAGAAAATGTCCTCTCATATACAAAGGCAAAAATTCGTGATATCTCTAATTGAAGCAAAGTCTATTCATGTCTGTCAGCTGAGTTCCTTTATCTTGTTCTGACATTGAGAAAAGAGTCTAGAAAGTTGGTGCTAATATTCTTTGCTGGATTTACCAACTATAATGCCGACTTTTGGACCTTATCAACTTTGAAACAAAGCCTTTTGACCTTTGCGAGTGAAAAGTTGAACCCTTTCATTTCATTTAGAAAACCCTTTGAATACGAATTTCAAAAATAACATCATGTTCTTAATCCCAAAATATACAATACCCAACTTTTTTTCTTGTCAAAGATTAGAAATTGGAGTTCCGCGTTTACTGAGGTGAGTTGTTCCCTTTTGAGGTGGTCAAATTTGAGACTAGACCTTTTGTGATCTTGCGTTATTTCACAACCATATAAAGAAACGGGAACTTTCCCAATCAAACGAACATTTTATTTCAAACCTTGTAACTTTATTTTATTTCCAGAGTTGATTTCTTCTTCTTCATTTCTTCTTCAAAAATTTTTAGACTGAATTTTTAGACTTTAGGCAAATTTTGAGAGATTTGATGAGATCAGATCAACAAAATAAAGGTCAAACAGTTCAATCAGTTCAATAATACGATTCTCCATTCAGCCATTTCTCTTCAAATAAGTTGAAACTCGTTCTTTTTTCAGAGTACAAAATGGTGCTCACCAAGGCGGAAAAGGCAAAAAACGATGAGCAAATCATCAACACGGCGATCACTTGGGAAATTTTAGAGGTAAGGAATGAAGAAATTCTTGCCAATTTTTTTAGCATTGAACTTTAAGCAGAATTTGTAATTCTAATTTCAAGGAAATCCCTGAACAAAATGCATAGTTGAGCCTATGATTAACAGTTCAAAAAATCAAATTTCCAGTACGATATGCAAAAAGCGTTCGGAAGTCTAGCGAAAATCGGTGAGAAACGAAGCGCTCAATTGATGGCTGACGGGAATGTGAGTGTTTTGAGGAAATGACGGTGTAATGGGAAGGAAATCTGCTAAAAAAATCTATTCATTCTTTGAGTTACAAATTAGCAATTAGAAAAGACACGTGCAATTAGGTTGTTCTGGTTAATCTAGCATTGATCGATTGAAAGTACAAAGTACAATTCACCTATTTTAGGGTTATGTTTCATACATCGCTTTGGTTGTTTTCGATTGGACGACTGATCGAGAACTTCTACCCGAGAAAGCTGTGCTAAAGGTTAGTTTTAAAGCGAATCGGGTCCACTGAGGAGGCTTTTTGTCAATTAGACTTATAAAAGAGCGATTTCAATTTAAAGCAATAAACTCTCATCTCGAAATAAAAGGTTATTGGAATTTAATAAAATTCAAGTTTCAAGCTTGATAGAGTCAAAAGAGAAATTAATTGGCTAGTTTTACCATGGTCCTACTTCATTGTCAAATTCAAATTTTAACTGAATCCCTCCAGATCACCTCTTGCGACAAAATGGAGATTCTGATCAAGGAGGTGCCGGGATTTGAGATGGATAATGTCAGAGAAAAATGCGCTGGGGTGAGAAATTTATCCAAACGCATTGTTTCAAATCTCACATTCATGAGTTTATTTTCAATTTTTTTTTCTCCAGGCCAACAACAATGAGCTGAAATTCTACAGAAATGCCTTTAAAACGATGAAATTTTCCAACGAGCTCCGCGTGCCGCAATTCTTTTGTGGACGAGATTTTGGCATTGATGGAGTGGAAGCGGGTTTGTTTCTAATTTTAAAAGATTTGAATGAACTTTTAACTTTAAGTCAAGCTATTTAAGAAAAGTTATTGTCAAAATTTCAATAGCAATTTCTAGGCTACTTCGCCATTGAGCACTTTGACAACGTGGAGAATCGCCATCTCTACAATAACATCCAAGAGTCGGCCGTTTTAGAGATTATTCGACAATTAGTCATCATTCATACGCATTGTGAGTACAATGGAAACAAGTTGGTTTTAAAAATAAAAGTACTACAGATTTGTAAAGTTTGAACTTGGTTTATTTTTATTAAAGTCAAGTTAGACCTGAAAAGCGATCCTTTGAAACTAGAAAATTTTAAACTATAAAGTAACCATTTGAAACCTAATGTAAACAGAGTTTAGAAATAAAGCTGTAATTTAGAAAAAGCATTTCAATAGCTTACTTTCCTAATAAATTTCAGCCTACAATCATCCGGAAATGATGGGCAAAATAGACGCGAATGTGTACGAACAACTCTATGGCGATTTCATCGATATAAAGGTTTCATTTTAGCAACTTTTTTTTGAGATTTATAAATGCTAATAGTTCAATGGCTTTAGTGTACATTGCTCTCCGAATCCCGTAAAAATCCCCTTTCTAGCGCACTCAATTCTTTCATTTTCCCAACACAGCAACGGTGTCTCGAGGGAAAATAGAGGAATTGTATGTTTGTGGGATTCGGAGAGCACAAAGTGCACACCGAACTTTTAAGTAGTTTAAATTGTATTTAAATTTCAGAAAATGGAAAAAGCTATCCACGAGGCGGGCACAACGTATCCAGAGCTGAAAGAGAAATTGGAAAAGCTCAAATCCCAGCTGAAGCACTTTACGAATTGGGAGACCTATCAGAAGAAGCTGCATGAATCGTGTGAGTAAAAACTGAATAAATTTCAAGTTGGACGGCTAAAGCTAAAGAAAACAGTAGGCCAGAGATGGGAATATTGCCGTGAGCTATGCCAAGATTATGTTGTCGAGTCTCTGCAAAAAAATTTGAGCCAATTCGTTGTGTTCCAGGCAAGACCCGAATGTTTTGCCACGGCGATTTGTGGACCGGGAACATGTTGTGGAGGAAGGATGAGGCGGGAGACTATCGAATGTTGGTCATGATCGACTGGCAGGTGGATTGACTGGGCAAATAGCTATTGTAGATCAATAGTTTCTTTGGGTGAATAGAGTTTACTTCGGCATCCACCGCAGGCTTTTGTTTAGTTTATGACCGTGTAGCTTTTCATCATCTTTCAGTCAGAATTGAAATCTCTAAGATGCAAAGCATCCTTGAATTTGTGAGTGATTTTAACAGCAAACCCACTTATTAAATGGCTTTTGTTTCAAAATAATGAATCAAGAAATCAAGCAAAGCAGTCCATCGCTAATTAGCAAGCATAGAAATATCTCAGCTCTTAGTTTTCAACTTCAAACTTAGCACAGAGCCTAGCGGCAAATAAACGAAACAAAAGCAGCTCTTGTAATTGAACCGTGTCTCCTTTTTTAACCAGTCAACCTTTGCAGCTTTGCCATCTCGGCAATCCACTTGATGATTTGACCCGTTTGTTGACGAGCGCCATCTCGAAAGAGAACTATTTGGAAAGGTTGGAAAGCTGGAATTCTGTAGAAATTTTATTTTAGACGAGATTTCTACTTGGAGACCTATTACAAATGGTTCAAAGAGAACACGAGTGGACACCC